TATTATTGTAGCTATTATGCTTACTTTGTTTGAAAAGATCTTGTTTTTTCAGCCTTAGTCAGGTTAGAGAAAGTAAACAGAAAAATAAGTTACTTATGGCTAAGGAGATTGTTATGTTGAAGTAGCTCGTTCTCAGTACTCAAACAAATTTCAAGCAATTATTTAGAAAAGTGAAGATTACAAGCTTAGAAAAGCTGGAATAACTAGTCGTGTATCTACACTAACTTCCATTTTATAAAGTTTGTTGTTAGGAAGGTATTAAAGATGTTTGTTGTTAACAGGATGACGATAAAAGATAGAATAAGATGGTTGGTAGTCTGGTGCCAGGCAAGTAATTTTAAACTAGGGAAAAAGGAAGTTTTTAAATGATTTTAAAAATTAGCATTTTGTTGATTTGAAAAAATTAGGATAGAATGCTAACTTCAACATACAGTAGGCTTTAACTAGAACTGTAAAAAACCTGGACGATCCCAGCTTTTTAATTTGACCTGGCTTTTTTTAAATTTTTCTTTGGCCCGGCATAGTGCTAGAAAAGCGTTTTTTGGTGTAAGAAAGAGCAGAGGGTAGATCTGTAAAGAAGTCGGGCATTAGTTTAGAACCCAACATGATTTAAATTTGCTTTGGCCCGGCTCGACCTTTTATATAAATTCTTTAAAATAGTAACTAGGACAACTTTTACCATACTGCTTTTGTGCCCTAACCAATAATTTAACAATTTTAACTTTTAAAAACGATTTTAAAAAATCATTCATAAGTAGATAAGTTTAACAGCAGATTTTTGGTCGCTTTTATGTCAAATCTTTCGAGGAGGGTCCTAAATTGGGTTACAAGCCGGGCCAGAAGTAGGAAATCTTTTTTCAGATCTAGCTTTAACTATTCTCAAGTTTTTGCACTATTCTCAACAAAATTTATGTTTTATGATCAATTCTTCGCATTAAAAGTCAGTCTTAATCCAACCTTCGAATTTCATATTGAGTTACGCACTGTTAACATTTTACAAAAATGTTTTACAGTCTTTAGTGATAAAAAGTTACTTTTTTTGAAATATTTGTCACTCACTAATCCAAATCTAAAATAAATGATTATAAAACGGCCAAATCTTTTCCGAGCATAATAACATCTTGTTTATGTTTTTCCGCGTCTTATTACAATTTTCTCAAATTAGCTACTTGGCAAATAAACAGTTTTCTCGATACAACTTCACGCTTACATTGATTACTTACGTGTAGATTGTTCAGGTGTATGTCTGTGGGAGTGTATATAATATTTTTCTGGTATATTTGGTATATGTTATTGACTAGTATATTCAGTGTAGCATACTTTGCAGTATATGATAGTGAATATACTAACAAAGCGGCTTTTGAGTGTTTTAAGTTTTAAAGTTGAGTTAAAAGCTACACTTTTTTAAGTCAAACTTTTCGTTGCGGGACTTAAGTTAGGCTCTAAGTTGTGCCCGGTCTAGTGGGTGCTTTTTCAGTTTGAGCGCTTACAAGTATAAAACATACATTTTGGTGTTCCAAAGTATACTTTCTTATTAGACATACTTATGTATAGATATACGTTTGAAAAATCTACATAATAAGCTACCTATATCCATACAACATCTATATTTCTATTCTCGTACCCTTCTGATGTTGTACTTTAAGATTTCCTTGAAATACTAGTTTACTGTGAACGTTGAAAAAGTGTTTTTCTTCTAAATTGATGATTAATTTTTTGGTTTAATGGAACTCTAACTTGTTATAGGCTATTGAATCACATGTATGAATACTGCCAATAAAATATTACCTTAGAGTTTTTTCTGTCTGGCAGTGTTGTTATAGAAAAATTTTTGTTTTTTAGGTTTTCAAAGTTTTACATATTTTTATTTTTGAGAATGTGGGTGGGTAGAGGAATTTTTTTTTATTTTTTTAAATACAGTAGAATTCTTGTACAACAAACTCTTGCATAACGAAATTTTTACAGATTTTGAGTTTCTGAACAATTTGTTTTACAAGTGTTTTACTGTACAGTAAAATCTCTTTAGAATAAAAGTTAAAGAACTTGATCAAAGGGTTATTATAGTTGATTGTCATACCGTGCAAACTTTCTGATAGGAGTTCTATGGCAAACGGTGGTTAAGAAGCTGTCGTTATAAAGAGGTTTTCTCACTATTCAGAGTTATACGCAGGGCGTTTTCAGTTTATAATAAAACCTCTTCATAATGAGCAAATTTAAACTCTTTAAGTGATTTGTTATACAGGAGTTCTACTGTATGTGAACTTCTCTAATTTTTTGAATTTTACATTTTTTTATTTTTTGACTTTAATATTTTTGTTTTTTTTTATTTTTGATGTCATATCATAAAAAACTTATCTAAACATACTTAACAACCCAAGTTTTCAAGCTCTACTTCCATCTAGACACACGCACTCATATATATTGTCATAGCCGACCATAAGCCCTTCCTATTCCCAGTTGTCTAAAGAATCTCATTTCTGCAGAATCCGACGGGATATGAGCGCATGTTTTGTATACGGAAATGTACAATAAAGCCCGAGGGAGTTTAATTAAAGCGTTTAAATTAAAGTCTTTTGATTATTTACTTTGCCTTTTTCGGCGCAATGTTCAAAAAATTTATGCCTTTTTTTCGCGAATTTTGGCTTTAATGTTTAGCCTCTTGCGATTATGAATGTCTGTGTAATCAGAAATTTTTCTTCGCTACTCAATTAGCTTAGTTTTTGTTATGATTACAGTATTTTTTATATATACTATAATAATAATAGTTGTCTATTGTAGTATGCATTTCTATTGACTGTAGTAACTTAAAAAAATCTGTGGATTTTGTAGTATTTATTTTTTGTAGTATGTATTTTTAATTATAGTACAGACTCTGTTTTTATTATACATTGTCTTTAGTAATTCAAAGAGCATTTACAAAGTTAATCTTATAGTGCAGTCTTTATATGTAAGTAGATCTATGCAAAATTTATAGTTGTACTTTTACTATACGAGCCAGTTGCTGTTTGTTGAAGCTAGATTTAAAAGAAGATCTACTAGGCCCCGGCCTGACCGCACAGATCTGTAAGAGACCGGGCTATACAGTGGGGGGCTGGGAATTGGATCTATATTTGGATCTAGGGGCACCATTCGTCTAGTTTAGGTATTGAAACGAAAGTTTGGCTTGAGAAAAGCGTAAAACAAACTTGATAATAAAGCTATTTACTTAATAATAATTTTAAAATTATTAAAAAATTAAATTTAGTTAAATTATTGGTTATTTAAGACACACAAGCAGTATGATAATACAAGTTTTTCTAGTTGGTTATTATTTTAAGAAGTTTATACAAGGATTGAATAGGATCGAAACAAGTTTTAAAGGGGCTAAACCGAAAAACTTGGCTTGGCTGAGATTTACAGGTCTAGCTGAAGCTTATTGTTAGTAAGATTTTGTTATGTTTATTTGAATCGCGGCCTGGTTATGGCAGCAACTTTATTTCCTCTTCAAGGCAGTTATTATAGTTTGTTTTTATACGGCTTTTTATGCTTAATTATAGAGTATTTGGGATCTTTTTTAAACAGATTTTTTTAAATTTGAAATTAAAAATTGTTTTTATTGTAGGTTCCTAAAATGTGTGAAACGATGTATTTCTACTTTTGTGGGCAGTATATTATTTTTGTGCAAAGAACAGTGTAGTTTTTTTCAAGTACAGTACAACTCCAGTATAACAAACTTCTCCTGAACGAGAAAATTTGCGAAAAAAGTTGAACGTGGTCCCCTGTGGATTTATGGAAAAAATTTTTTGCAAAAAATAGGAACAGGTACCTGTGCCGATTTTTTCGACCTCCTCTTTTAGACCAAAATTCCTCGTTTGGTCCTGCACAAAGCATTTAAAATTGCTGTATACTAAAACTTCTTCATAACAAAGAAAATGTCATTCTTTGAGCGATTTGTTATACAGAAGTTCTACTGCATTTGACGCTTATCAAAGTTGTTAGTTTAGTTTTGATCTTACTTTCAAAACGTGCTGAATATATTTTTCAAACGAAAAAACAGGCACGTGCTGGTATGTGTGATGCGTCTTTAACCAAATTTGTCGGTATTTTCATCTAATTATCTTTATGCACATTAAGCCTGCTCGACTCATTATAATACGAAACCTATTAGATTGTAGTATTTTTGAAGGATTGTTTGGGTGTATTATGCTTGTACCGGGTTTAAGACTTTGTTTATAAGACAACTTGCTAATAGGGTTGTGATTTCTGAAATTTGCCATTTTATTTTGTATTATTAATATTATGATACAAAAATGTTTTCTTTTAATGTAAGGTTAGGTCTGGTTTCTTAGTGTTTGTTCTGTTACGGTTAATGGGACATGTACATTTTAGCGGCTGATTATGAGTAGAGAGTGTATGCGGCTTGGTTTAATTGCAAGCGATTTTATAATTGATTTGGTATGGTCAAAAGCCTTGGAGTTTTAGTTTGTAGTCTTTTCAAAATCGGGCTGATAAGTATGATTTTGGCAGAAAAAAATTTTGAACTTTTAATTTTTCGACGTTTTCGTTGTAATAAAGCCAAATCTTTTTAGTATTACACTCAATGGAATGTTACAAACACATCCTTCTAACAAGGGTACCAGACTACTCAGCTACTTTTTGATAGGGTTCTATTACAAAGGGCGGTTAAAAAGTTGTCAGTATAAAGAGGTTGTCACACTATGAAAGGTTATACTAAATAATTTTACTGTACTATAATATAATATTTTATATTGTTTATTGCGTTGTTATGCACTTATTATAACTATAATAGTAAAAGGATATCTTACTATGACGCGTTTTATTTATATGTTAATTATTTTGTATATTTATTAGTGAACAATAACAACATATATAATAACATACCATTCTCTTTAAATTTTTATATTTTATATTATAATTGATATACTCGTATTTCTATAGTTGTACGTAAATTACCAAGATAAACAATATATTAGAATAAACTTTATATATTTTAGAACACTATGAATGGTACGGGTGTAGTACCGCTGATACAACAAGTCGAGTTTCTAGATGCGTTAACGCACAATAAGCCGCTGCCAGCCGGCTGTGAGGCACAGCTAATGATGCCATTGACAGTAGGAACGACAGATTACTACGTCCAACATTATGTGTTTCCAGTACAGTTTATACTTGGTGTGGCTGGGAACTGCATCAATTTGATTGTGCTGCTTAGTGCTGGCATGAAAAATCAGGTGAAATAAAGTTTTTCTGTTATTTTAGATATGAACACTTTCTAATTTGAAATTTTTTCAATTACAGTCGAAACTTTATAGTATGGTTCTATGTACTGTACTATAATACTTATATTACACTACATACTAAAGACACTGTGTTTTAAATTGAAATTACATAAATGATCATTGAATTTTTAGGCGAACACCCTACTGTCGGCTATGGCATTCGCCGACTTGGCGTTCCTGGTATGTCTACTACCGTTTTCACTGGCATCATTTCATTTGTTTTACTCGAGTACGTGGTTTGCATATCTATTTCTGCGCTACAAAACCCACGCTGTAGCTTTAGCCAATATGTTTTCTGTGGCTGCTTCGTGGTAAGTCTTTTAACGTACCTTTTTTCTATTACAATCTTATAGGTTTTTTTAAAAAAAGTTTTATTGTTATTGTAATATACATAGTACTTTCCAATCTTAAAAAACTTTTATATTTAAAATGTAAAAGACTATATTTTTTAATCTAAAATACGACTTATACTGACAATATTTTTAAAAAGTTTAGGATGGTGTTAGCAGTATCAATCGAGCGATTTACGGGTGTACGACGGCCGATGCACACAAGATTCCAGCTTCGTGATCGGTTGTTGTTTACGTTAATATCATTTGTCTTTCTTTTGGCTTTTGCACTCACCTTTTCTCATCACATCGAATACGACGTATCTATAATCTCAACCAAATGCAACACAATCAAGGCTGTGTACAGGCATTCGACTCAAGTAAGGGTGCTATCATTTTTAGAAGCTTAAAAGTTAATTTTTCATTTTCGAAAAAAGGTTTAATTTTAAAAATAAATTATTGTATTTTAGAAAGCAGGGACATCACAAATCTACATAGCTTACATTGGATATGCAAAGATATTCCAAACGGTAATGGGGGTAGCTTTGCCAGTAATAGCTGTTGCCATTCTCAACGTATCACTCATATACTTCTTACGGAAACGAGAAATATTACCACGCCTGGTATCGGACAAACAAATGGAAGCTAGATTTGTGTAAGTTAACAAAATTACAATTTACTTTGCTGAATACGAAGGCTAAAAGCTCTTTTCAAAAGTCAATCCTTTAGCTACTTTTTCAATTTCACGGCAATTTGTAACATATTACACATGATTTTCGAAATACAGTGAGATCTCTTTACTATGTCCCTCTGTGTGTGACACCTTCCTTATAATAACCGCCTTTTGACCGCCTTTGTAATAGAACATCTATCAAAAAGTACCTGAGTAGTGTGACAGCCTCCTCAGAATGGCAAGTTTCAATCAGTCCCTGGGGTGTCATATTAAAAAGAGTTGACTTTTTGTGTCAGTTCATCCTATAAACAATATTTTCTGAAAGTAATGTCCTAATTTGTAGCCGGTACAGTGACGCGGGCACGGTACAACGACAAGAACGAAGAGTGACAGCTACTGTTCTGGCCATAGTGACGTGTTTCACCGTTACCCATGTAAGTTCACTTTTAATTACTATTTTTAGCCATTCCATGCTTTGTAAACAACATTAGCTATTTTTAAGCTTGTACTTGTTACAAAGTATAAATAACTTATTTTTGTCAAAAAAAATATAAGAAAACTTTTTAAAAATTATATTGTTTTAGTTGCCGACGTTGGGGCCGTTCGTTTGGGAACATTTGAATCAGAATGGCGTCACAATGGACAACAATGTAATCACATTACTGAACACATTACTCGTGTCTGGAAAAGTTTTGAATTTTGTGTTGTTTTGCCTCAGTTCCACTCACTTCCGCCAGCGTACGATGGTCATACTGAGTTCGCATTTGGTCAGCCATTTTACAGAAAACTTACTATTATATAAGCAACAAAGCGTAATAGACATCTTAGGCCAAAAAAGCCACAAGTACCTTATGTTGCTTATACAAGAGTTTTTCAGCTACAAAAACATAGTATAGATGGTACTATAATATATTTCTACTATACAGTCTAAATCAATATGTAAAAACCAATTTTAGTGCCAAGAAACCGGGCGTAAAAAGTACAGTAGTATGACAACCAACACTTCCATACCTAAAATAAGTAATGCCGGCTCTCAACATCACTCCATTCATTTGCACGACTCTCTCGACCAGTCGATATGTGGTTCACCCGCTCGTACCGGTCGTCGGGTACAGCTTCAGATCGGGGAAGTAAACACAACTTGCTTTAATGGAACCGAGAATCATCGAAAAGCCGGCGTCACGAACGACTTTAATACGCGGAACAAGCGGCTCTCAATGTCGTCAAAGTGACGTCGGCCTTAAGTTATTATAAATTATTTATTAAATACGAGTTAAAAACACAAAAAATGTATTATACGGAAATAAATTTTTAATTTTGAAAGATTTTGTCTGTAAAACAATTTTAAAATAAAAATTCATTGTTAAATTAAATAAAAGTATCGTCATGACGCGTCACAAGATTGCCATAACGTTTTACGACTAAACCTTCATATCCTACATGCAATATAATATATACTGAAGGCATCAAGTTCTACTACAAGATTACAGTATAACAAAATGGCAAAAACACCAAAACTTTCCGACCGATTAAGACACTGGCCAAGTTAGGTGCCGGCCAAGTAAGATATTCACAAAAACTTGCAAGTTAAAGCAGTTGAACCAGTATTAAAAGGTTTAGCCGATGAACTTACAATGTTTAAACACACAAAATTGATAAAAATTTAGTTTAATAAACATTATTGTGAAAATACAATAAATACTTTCAATTATACACCGTTTTAAATACAAAAAATTAGTAAAAAAATATTTACAATATCAAAATAATATACAATTTCAAACTTTAAAATCCCTGCTCAACCTCTACTACATACTCTGTACATGTACACAACATTCAAATGTAAAAATAAAACTCTACAAGGCTACCAAAACTTCAAAAAAACTAATACCTATATCACAACAAAGAGAACTGCTCGTTCATCTCATGAACAGTCGTATTTAGCGGTAATATTCGACCATTCTCCGCTCGGTAATGTAATCTTCTGTTCGAATCGACCAGTCCACTTTGAGCTACCAAATGAGCCTCAGGCACTAATTCTTCTGTTTCGTTTTCTTCGGTTTTGTTTCGACTGGTCACACAGATATGTTCACAGCCAGGAAATGGGCATACTCCAAAGTTTCTGAACCATTCTTCAACGTGACCTTCATGACCTCCGTGGCCGCAGTCTTTACATTGGGCAAAAATGCCTTTTACTTCGTTGTCACTGAAAGGTAAATATGTAGCATTGTTAATTGTGTTTGAAATAATAACCATCTGTAAATTAAGATATATTAAGAGTTGGACCGCACTCATTGGGGTGTTGATCGTATTTAAGTTATATTTCTAAAACTAGTCTTTTTAAAAACTAAAATACCCTTAAAACAGAAAAAAATATTTTACCAAACTGTACAAATTGCAACAAAGGTAGTACCACATTTCTGGCAGCTTTCTGACGCTACTGGTGCTGGTGTATCACAATTACCACAGTATACTTTTACGTGCATATTCTGAAAACCGCGTTATCATCCTCAAAAAAACTATACATGTCTTACAATTTCGTGTTATTAGCTTGTTCATATAATAGTGTGCTCCCTCTCAAAGAAAATTTTCAAGGTTATGAGGTATAAAATTATTTTAACATCCTATTATAATACTCCTAAAATAAAATGAATATACCTCCTGCAGCGTCTTGACCACTTCTTCACACCCCGAGTTTTTGGCAACAAACGTAGCCAGATCTCCAAATCCAGCGTTTTGTAGTTGTTCAATGTAATGAAGAAACCATGACGTAACCTGTTCTTCTCCAAACAAATCATTCGCTTTTGAACCCATTATAAGACATACTGTTGAGCACGTCTGACTGTCGCACACATCAGTATACAGATTCATAATCTTCTTTAGCCTAGTAACCGGTCCCCACGTGATATGTACACTAGCTACGTTCAGCAAAGCCGCTGATATACTACAGTTACTCAAGTCTACGCTAGCATGAGCCGAATCCACGGAAGACTCTGCTTCTACAGGATGATGCATCTGAAGTCCGACTTCTTCTTCAATGTTCTCTTCATCATCTACATTTTCTTCTTGTTGTTCTTTATTTCCTTCGTTGTCCGAGTCACCGTAATAGATGTCTCCCAATCGACTTGAAGGCATATTCTCCATCATAAGCTCTTCATCGTTCGACACTTCTGTAGCCGCGTCTTCGCAACTCTTGTATCGATTTAGATTCACGGCTTCTGAACCAATTGATCGAAGGTCGGATTTCATGAATCGGGCGCTAAAAGTGAAATTTTTAACAATTCTACCTCATTATATTATGGTATTTCAAAAGCTAAAGATGATTAAAGATAAAATTTACATTTTATGTTAAAAAACTTACTGTTTAGACTCAAACAAAGTGACAAAAGTCTTGCCACAAGGTAGACCTTCGCGACAAAACTCTCCGGATCCAAAGTAAAAGTCGGTTGTTGAACTCAAAGCATCTTGAAGACTTTGAGAGAAAGTTCCTGGCATAAAATTTTCATCGTCATCTGAATCGTCTGAGCTATCTTCCACTTCTTCTACTTGTTCTTTCTTGTTTCTTCGTACTAAAACAACATTATTTCTAATATTTTTTATATTATCATTCCTTCAAAAATATTACAGTTTCAAAAAACAAGAAATAATTTTATAAAATTCATATTTTGCCATTTCGTTTAATAATACAACAACTTGGCATTCCGCAAAAATTTCCCTTATCCCTTCGATAATAAAGTAACATTTTCCCTTTTTTTCTTCTATTCCAGGCCTCAAAAACGTACCTTCCGGATTCTGAATATACTCGAAATACCGATCTTTTCCATCGTAATACTTTCCGGCTTCAAATAATCGACCTTCATTCAACAATATACCAATAACTTTCCATGTGTAACTCAAATCAACATCACCGCATTTTCGAGCCGCTTCGGCGTTGTGATTGCAAATGTTCATGGGATTGTCACCCAAGAAACAGTAGCTGAAAAAGCAAAATTTAACCTTACATGCCAATAAAACACTATAATTCTGTGCCCTTTAACCCCCAAAATTTACATTACAAGAAGCACAGACTCAGTTGAATAACCTAATAATAAAAATAACTTGCTGTTTCGCCAATTCTGAGAACTTATTAGCCAAACTCAAAGCAGCTGGTGGATTCTGATACTGCAACAAGGATGACCTTACTGGATGTTCAAATTGATATTCAGTGTTATATTCTCCTTTTGTGCATCCTTCTGGCACTAAAACAAACGTTTTAAATAACAATATTGCTGATATCGCAATTATAGTACGTACTACAACAACTCAAAAATAATACCTAAAATGACCAATATACCGTGAACCACCACAGATAGTAGTAGTTCATTCTCATGATATAAATAAAAAGTTTTAAAACTTAAAATTTATTTTAAAATTCTAAAAAACTTGACCTACCAGCACACATAACTTCATTGAACGGACTGGTTTCAGACATAGCAAACGGTCGATGATACGAGATAGTTTTGTCACCATTTTTAGAATAATGTAAACTTAGTTTGCGATCTTTGCCACAAGTAACAAACTTTTCCAATCCAGTAAACTGAGGGAAAGCAATATCTAAAACACAACTTTCTTTACACAGTGTTACCCTTAAAATCAATCATCTATAACAATATATTAATCAAATTCAACACTAGTTCCTACATAACAATTACTGAACTCTACATATATATTTAATTATAAAAAAACCGTAATTCTTTACCTGTAACATTAAAATCGTATGTTCCAAAGCAAGAATACGGAAAGAACGGTCGTCTCACGTCCCATTTAAACACCTGAGATTCAGAAGCAGCTACCGTGACTAAATGATATTGATTATCCACATCCCATTTCACTTTATTCAAAGCTGATGGCGTCTCCACCGAGTATACAAAGTCAGTAACATCAGCCAACCAATCCCATACTCTGACGTAGCGATCTCTGCCGGCTGTCGCTATCAGATTCCTGAATTGTGGTGCTGGATGCCACGATATTCCACTGACTGGTCCTTGATGTGCGAGAGTCTCTTTTACACATTGGTTCGGTTTTCTAATGTCCCAGAAGCGAACAGCTCCACTGTCATCACCAGTTACAAAGAGATCTTGTGATTGGGTATCCAGGCCAAACATCATGTCTCTGATTGTGTCCATTGAGCCGCCATTTGGCCTGGAATTAAGATAAAATGATGTTTTATCATAAAGAAGGCTTTAGACTGTGTTTCAATGCTTAAAAAATTAAAAACTTGTCATTACACTACTATCCACATCACAATGTCATCTAAAACAACATAAATTACTAACCATTACGCAAAAAACATATTTAACTATTAAAATTCCTTACACAAAATGAGCAGCAGGTTCTGGACGTCTGATATCGTACAAGAACAAAGTGGCATCTTTAGATCCACTAATAAAAATATTAGGATTGAACTCGTGAAAGCATACTTTAGTGGCCGCTGCTTTGTGAGCTCTGAATTGAAATTCCAAACCAGAACTCACAGCCTCTGGGTCAATAAAACTAACAGCATCTTGAGGATTACTGCCGTGACAATGCTCTAGATCAAATAAGACTATTGATCCTATCGATGAGGTAACTGCTATCAGGTTTTCTCTGTTTGGATTCCATGAAACCGAGCCAGAGAAGTAGAGGTTCATACGACGAGTTTTGGCTCGTAGATCCACAGCCGGCTCAAAACCATCTTCTTTTATAGAGAAGACTTTTAGAACTGAAAATTACAGATAAATTAAGCCGCTATTATTAAGAAAATAACTAAAAAAATAAATAAATCCTTAAAATAATCATATGTTATCTATAACAATATAAGTTAAGCTCTAAACTGTTCTTTTTCTCAAAAATATTTGGTAAAATACGTTTTACAGTCTTTCAAATTTCAATTTATAATAATAAACCGAGTAAAAAATTTAATTCGACGATAATAACACTTAAAAACTACCATACCTGCCCTGCCAGCAACAGCCAGCTGTGTAAAGTCCTTGTTGACCGACAAGGCGTCCATAGGATCATTAAGTTCCATCGTGACATCTTTTACCACGCCCATTAACAATTTCTACTAAACTACCAAAAACCTACAAAAATAATGTAGAACTTCAGCTCTTAAGATACAAAACCCACCTAAAACTGTTAAAAACCGTTGAATTAGATTAGTACGCGCCATTCTTTTTGCGTCAAAAAAAATTTAAAAACATCAAAGTATATGATTAACAAAACTTATCTCATAATAAAATCGAGCTCATAATTAATGTTTATAACCGGCATATATTAAATAACAATCGTATTCAAAACTGCAACTGTCTCAACAATAAATTAAATTAATGAAGCTACCCATCCTTAACAATAACTTAATAAAACTGCTTGACAACCCTCGTGTTCAGCCAAACACATAAAGCTGAATCAAGGCACTATCATATCCACATGTTAAACCTTCTCCAAACAATCTGCGATGATCTTCTGAATCTGCAATCGATTCTCCAGAATCGAGCATCTGATAATACTTTTAGTTCCTCCATTCTTGATGAGCACTTGAGCTTCTAATGATGGTACGATGACCACCGTGCATTTCCCTATATCAGATTGGCCGTGATCAGCTGATATTCCATTAACTTTCAATTTTGATATTAGAGTATCTGCTGAGATCTGTCCACTGTATTTAGCTTTTATCGGCCTGAGACCTTCGGATGATACTTTTGATGTGTCACACTAAAATTTAAGTATAACATAAAGTAATGTAAAGTAACTCAAGAAAAATATTAGGTCGTAGTTCGATCAAATACCCCAGTAAGTGTGGCTCAACTTTGTTCAAATACATTTGTGCCCCCTAACCTTAAAAATTTGCTTCAAAAAAGACACAGAATTATTCGAATAGCCTGATAGAACAATAAAATGACTGTTGAAGTCCAAACCTATTTTACGTAAAAAATTTTTTTAATTTTAAAAAACCATCAAAATATTACCAAAAGTGAGAACTCATTGTCATATGTTGAGAGGTAACCATTGAAAGTGCTCATTGATATATCCTTTTTGAACCTTTTGTTCTCCATCCTCATACTTCCAAGTACATCTGGCATAACAAGTGCACGTTTACGACCAAAATCACCAGAGACATCAACCGGAAGACCATGCTTGTACGTTACAATGTTCTTCTGAAAAAATCATGTTAATAAAAAAAATAGTATTGATCTACAACTTAATAAAAACAATATTTTGAACGCTCGTAGTATAAAAGCCGTATTTTACATTTTATAAAAATTCCAAAAAAAATCTAAATATATAATGATTTAATGAAACAAATTTTTAAACAAAAAAAAACTGTAGAGGCGAAAATTTTAAAAATTTAAGATAAACATATCAAAAATTTAGTAAACACAACCTACATGAACATCAGTAAGCCCGGTTCTCCCTCTCAAGTAGGTGTCAGGTACTATCAGTTGTTTAGGGCACAATTCGGGTAAAATGCTACTTGTAAAATAGTTAAAATCAATTCGAGTATCAATTGGAAACTCATAAGCAGGTATAGAGAAGGTCTTGAAAGCTTTATACACATCTGCCAACGGGTAATCTGGGTCTGAAAAATCAAAGTTAATACTAGAAATTTTATAATATTTTATACATTACATCTTGTGATTAAACATCTATCTTGTATTAATAAACGGTTTAAAACATCAAAAATTTTTAAAAAGTAAATACTTTAAGTTGTAGTTGTAAAAATATTACCTGTAACAATCATAGAGTTCTTTTTGTCATTCCCCCACATTTCCAAGAAGTGAATTGCACTGCCAAACCTCAAGCTAGGATGTCCAGTTAGTACAACACACGGCGGCTTGAAATCTCGTGAAAATGCACCATGAATAGAGCTGTAGACTTTAATTCTGTTCTCTTTGATCAACTGAAATTAACTTATTGCTTATTCAAATTAAACAATATTGAATTAAGTGCCATGTAAACCATCAACTCCTTCCTTGTTTGTCCCGATATTAATGCATCGGCTAACGCTGACAAAGTAATAAGTAACTCACTTCAGTAAAAACAAACGGTTCATCAGCATTGTAGACTCGTTGAGACTTTTGTTCTACAAGATATTCAGGAAAGATGTTAACAAAAGCTAAGGCACTGGCAGCCACGGGTGAGATGAAATAAACTGGAACGTCTCTAGATACTCTAGCCTAAAATAAATGTGATTAAACTATAATAGCTCTATTATTTCTAAAAAACTTGAAATCATCGAAAAAACAACAAAACTAAGTAAATTCAACTTACATTATCCATAGCACTAATAACAACCTCCAAAATATCAAAAACGTTGCCTACTGGATTGACAGGAAACAAAACATTTCCCCCAGCTTTCAATGTCTCTACCATCGTATACGCCAAACGTTGAACGTTGGCCTTCGGATCAGAATTTGCAAATCGACTGATGGATGTTACTATCAAATTATCAATCATTTTGAACGGTATCCAATGTGCTGGCTTCACATGTGACGGTCGGCCTGCACTGTTTGTGATGTATCCCATCTAAAGTTAGTTTATTATACTTTTAAGTAAAAATTTAATGTTTCTCACTCTTAAATTCCTAATATAAGAATATATTTTATCAGTTTCACAAAAACTTAGACCGAAAGCATTTAAACCAACATTACCTTACAAGTGTCATACTCAATAATCCAATTACAAGATCCAATCGAATGTCCAGAAGAAAATGCTGTACATCTGACAAGCCCGTTCACAGTCTAAACGCAAAACTACAACAATATAACTCGAATATTACCTTCGTTTCCCCAAAACTAATCAAAGAGACCTTGTTCAAGGCCTTCTCCATGTGTTCCCGGCTGTAAATCTCCTTCCAGGCTTTAGGATCGTTCAGTTTGGCTTTGCCGAAAGTCTTCCAGAAAGGCTTGTTCTTCCAATCTGTACTCTTCTTATGTACATCTTCCATCATTGACACAAGTTCCTCCAATGCCAAGCTTCCAAGCTCTTTTGTAGGTTCTGTAGCATATACAACACCAGTAAATCCTGTCTCTTCAGTTATGTATGGCAATGCTAATAAACTCATCCAACTTGAAATTAACACGACATCTATCTTTGTAAAATCTATGTTTTGAAGCTGAAATTTAAAACCATTATATTTTAAATTTGTAAGATTGAAAATGCAAAATTCTTATACCTAAAAAAACACCTTAAATCGTAAAAAAACACTTTTCTTAACTCGTAATGCCTAATAAAACACTAAACTTGAAATAAAAAGTCAAAAATTTCCCTCACTTTCATCGGTTGAACCTCTGGAACAGCATCAATCAGTAATTCTCCACCGATCTTTTTCAACCCGGCCAAATTTGGGTCCTTTGGATCAGATGCATGGTTTAACTGCGACTTTTGACTAAAATACTCAAATTCAATTACCTAAAAACAAAAAAACGACAATACAAAAAGACAAAAAACTTACTTGCTGACCAATCTGACTGGCATAAAGTTACTAACGACGTCAAAGTTACATGCCGCGTCCAAGAGAACTGAAGCGTTGGGAAATTGGATATGAAGCGACGGTCGGTTTGGTAAATATGATAAATTTGTCTGAAATAAATTTATAAATTGCTTAAAATAAGGTATTTTACTTACGAGTTGCATTTTTACTTCAATGTTAACATTTTCCGAAAGAAAATTAGAAAAATATTTTATTTATTATTTAGCGCAAGCTGCGTTCGAGTATTTGCGAGCTGCGATTGATTTTATACGACAAAACGTATATTTTAAAAAATTGAAAATTATAATTTTTAACTAGATGCACTGCAAATTTATGCAAAAATGAACAACCATTCGAAAATGAAAATTGGTTTATTCTTTACTTTTGGTTACCGTGGACAGTCGTGTGTTGCCATTCCTTGTCGAAATCTTTGTTTGAATTTGTCAAGTCGAAGTTGTGGTTTTAATGAGTCAAGCCCTCGATCCTAAAACTAAAGAGCCCGTGGCTCCGGTGGCTAAGTTGGTAAGGTTTTACTTTGTTATTTTTTAAACATTAATTTGAGATTTTTGGAGGTATCACCCGTTTTTCATCTTCCAAAGGAAAGTAATGTTATAATTGATAAAAAAATATGTGAAAAGTTGTAATTTCAGCCATCGTTAATCCAAGGAGAACGGTTCAAAATTGCTAAAGGGACTTATCGGGTTGAGAGGAAGATAAAAGACATTGAGAACTGTCGTTTCTATTTGGTAGCCTGCATAGATGACAAAGAAAGAGACAAGAAGTTTGAAGTGAAGGTTCAATTTAAAGACAATCCGTCTGGTTACTGGAGGAAGTTTAAGGTAAATAGAAAGATTTGATGTTAAGTTGTGAAATTTTTAGGGTTTGGCTGATGTTTTAGGCTTAAATTCTAGTTTTTTATTTGAAAGATTTGTTCAAAGTGTAATAATCTGAAGGTTTAGGTAGCAAATTTTGTTGTTTTCTAATTTACATGAGTTGACTATCTTTTGGATAACATAAAAAATTACAGAACGAAGTACCGATTTTGGAAAAAGCCAAAAAATACGAAGATCAACTGCCGAACTTGGTGCACATGTTTGATCATGGAGAGATTGGGGACATCGAAGTTATAGTCTTGCCTTTCTTTCCTCACGATCTGGACAAAATGTACAAGTTTATGGGAAAGTTTAGGTAAGTAAACGAAAAGTTAATTTTAAAATTTTTTCTCGTTTTTATTCTTCATACTTTTTGACCAAAGCATCGGTTTTGATGGCATTTAGTTAGTTAAAAGCATATTTTTGATCATCTAGTAGGTTATGGTGCTAAGACAAGGCTAAAGGTAGATATTGTAGCCAAGAAGAAGCATACAAAATATCGTGCCAATGTGCAGATGGCCTGAAGCAATTGCATTCAATGGAAGTGTTCCATGGCTCAGTGCGACTTTCTAGCTACGTTATGACATCGAACGAGATTGTCAAACTCACCGACTTTGGGCACACATACAACAATCAAACTGATGATGAGTGGGCTTTTTTGTTTGATATTTTTCAATTGATTTTATAAGTTTGATGATTTTGAAGTTATTTTTGAAAGATTGATCAATTTTTACTTTTGGTGATGATAAAAATTTATTTTTCAATTTTAGGGCTCCAAAAGTCCTGACCGACGCTTTTATCAAACCGAACGAGTATTCAGCACGAGGTGCTCACATGAACTGGCTGGGGTCATACAAGGACGACTTGGAGAGCTTGGGTTACTGTATTGTAGCACTATTCTATCGTAGGGGTTTGGAGTGGCGTAGAGCTGGCAGATCAAAGTTGATGTTGAAGATGAAGAAAAAGTTTATGAGCGAACCGGCTGGTATGTAATTTTTTTTGCAAAAAGTATTGTCGAATTACCAACTTTTTTATTTTTAAAGATTTTTAAATATCTGTTAAGCACATTATCTTTCATATAAGTTATTGTATTTTCAGAACATTTGGACAGCGAAAAGTACCCATCATCAATGCATAAAATATTCCTTCAGGCCGAGGCAATGAAACGAACTGATAAGATAGATTACTCACTTCTGACCAGGACCCTCACTACTTGTGCAGAAGAAATGAAGCTTGCACAAGATGCAAAAGATCAAATGTACGGATTCATAAACAGAAGACAACCTTCCAAAGAGTACGTAGGTAGTCGAAGTCGCGATTCCAATGAAGTTTCGTCAGACGATGAGAATAAGAAACAAATAAAAGGAGGAACTCTTCGAAAACGGTCCAGGACTCCTGATTGTGTAAAGCCGGTGGAAGGGCAAGGTAATAGGTCAAGCCAAGATGAAGTTCCGAAGAAGACTTGAATGGATTGCAGAAGAAGGAATTAATATTGATCTTGTTGTATTCATTTTGCTTGGTGATATAAACTAGGGCGGAAATTTGGTTGTTTGTTGGTTTATTATTGCCTTTTGATACAGAAAGGCATAGAAGTTTGTGAAAATATTATTTTGCTACAAAGAATCGATAAATAACGTAAATTGCACTTGGCCATAGGATTCCTCAATCTGCGCCCTTGTTGCGCAGTTCGCGCTTTTTTAGTTTTGAAAGAAAATCTTTGCCAATTCGGAAATTTGTCAAATTTCAATGGATTCAAGCTTCAACAAGACTCGAATCTTTGGCTACCGATTTCTTCCTTCATTTCTATATCCATTTTACGATACTATTCTTCTTTCTATATTCAGTTACATACCAAGATGTCGTTATCCATTCTTGCGGCATGCTTTATTGCCAATTACATCAATATACGACACGATTTTGTCGCCAAAACCGATTAAGAATACGTTCCAGGATCACTATCATAAAATGACACGGTATTTTGTTTGTGGTTTTCATGTTACCGTATGTTTTTCTATAATTTATGTGTTGTTGGGTAGAAATAAATAAAAATTTGAAGGTTGTTACCTAAAATTTCGATTAAAAAGTTTTTTTTAGACTTTGATCAAGTTTGGTGTTGTATTTTGTCTGATGTACATTGGTATGGGTATTCTGATGTTCTTGGACACTGCTGTGAATATGCGGCGGCAATACACTGAAACCGAAGGCGAGCAGATACCTGGTTTTGATGTTATCGTTGCCAAAGTGCCGATTGGTAAGTAAACTTTGTGTTTGTTCTTTTTAAGGTTTACACTATACTAATTTGGCAATTTAGGATCTCTGGGACGTCGAGGGTTAAAAGATGCCGAGTTCTTTGGAGTTATGTTGATGTTACACTTGATCCCGATGTTGACAAGATACTTTTACTTCTTTTTGCCTTTACAAATTTATTGGGTAAGTTTATTTTTCGTTTTATGAGTTTTTATAGTTTTAATATTGTTTTAAAAAGTTTATTAGTTTAAAATTTGGCTATTTTTGTTATCTAATAAAAATTAGTTTAGTCGTTCTCATGCCTTCATACTTGTTACAGAACAGTAGTCTTTTATTATGAAGCTTTTAAAATGTTGCAAAATGAATGGTATTCAATAGAATCAGATGATTATATCCGTATTGCTGAGGATGATCCAAAGGACTTCTTCTATTTGGTCAGATCTCTTCCAGGTATGATATTGATATTAGTCATTGTTTTTGACTTTTTTTATTAAGGATTTTAAACTTTCGTAAAAATATATTGCTGTATCAACTAACTTTACAGTAAAGTTTATAATGTGTGCATTATAGTAATGACACATACTTTTTATTTTCAGAATACTACATTATCTTCGACACAATCGTTGTAGCATCACGACTGGTCGCAAATTTTCTGTGTGCTTATATAGTTGAACGCGTAATGGAATTTTATCAATGGGATGGCGTTCTAAACGATCTGGTAAAATGTGTTAGCTTTTTTATTTAGTTTTATATATATTTTTAAAGTTTGGTCAAAAAGTAAAGAGAAAGAGTACCATTCAGATTGAAGGTTCATTTTTCAAACTCTACACGATGATCATTTTATGTTTTAGCAAGACTGGACCTACGATAACATACTGCACTTTTACAATCGAGTGTGTGAATGGGTGTACAATATGAGAAGCCGAAGTCGAATGGGAGTCAGACAAGAAAGAAATGTACATGATGTCAATATGAAATACTATGACTCTTGTGTTAAGAAAAACGATGATCCTGAAGGGAATTACGTCAACAATAACGAAGGAAATGAGGAGGTTCGGATTATTGTGGATGTGTGACAGTTTACATTAGTTACTCTGGCCATTTCGCGGTTTTTTGGATTGCTGTGGAGATGTGATCTAGGGTTCGGGTTACTGTATGAATACGCCAAGGCATTTGGATTGCGTTGGCTATCATCGTTTATCTTTTGGAATTCCTATGATAGCCCTTGTTTCTGTATATTTCTACTTTCATGTAGCGTTTTACAATTTCATAACTTTTACCTTGAGCATAATTTCCTAACATTCATGTAAATAAAGTTTCTAACCTCATCATTGGGTTTTTATTCACTTTGCGGTACATTTGAGCAACCGGTTGGTTTCTTTTTGGAACATGTTTAGAAGCATCAGACTCCGTGGTATATTGTAAGTTTATTGATTTTTAAATTTTATTGGTACTGGTCAGGGCCGGGCGCGAGGGGGGGTACTCCCCCCCAGAAAAAAAAATGGTCCCTCCCCCCGCTGTGGATTTTTGGAAAAAAAATTTCGCAAAAAATCGGCACAGCTACCTGTGCCGATTTTTTGGTCCCCTGCCCCCAGACCAAAAGTCTCCGCCCGGCCCTGGTACTTTGATAGGTACTGTTTTAAAAAGATTTGTTTTGCTTGTAACACCACCAGTACCATTTTAAAGCTATATTAACCTAATTTTCAGCTCAACCAAACCTATCAACAAGTTCCCTGAAGTGAATACAGAGCCAAGTAGATGGAGTTACGTGCACGGTGCTTCTGATCGACCATTGATTCACAAAACGGTCACTCAAGTACTACAAGGTACTGTGGAGACCGTGCCGAACAAAGACGCTTTTGTACTGCCGCATAAAGAGTACCACAAAACTTATTTGGAGCTTTGGGATGAGGTAAGTATTTTATATTGTAGTAGGGAGTCTGTACAAATTTGATCAATATCTCACTATGTTTTACAGTCACGTCGCTTCGCTCGTGGACTACTCTACCTCGGCTTGCGACCAGGTGATCGTATTGCCATTTGGTCTCCAAACTGCTACGAATGGATTCTGACACAATATGCAGCAGCTCGAGCTGGCCTGATTCTTGTCAGCATCAATTCGGCCTACAAAAGCACCGAATTGATACACGTTTTGGAAAAAGTTGGAGCCAAAGCATTGGTATCGCCTTACAAACATCGACAAGCTCATTTCTATAAGTAAGCTGCATTTCTTCACAAACGTTTTATAAAACATTTGGAAGCTCAATAAAAATAAGATGAAACAAATTATAAGTTGTTTTGATTTTGTGGAAAAAAATGCCAGCTTAAATTTAGGATGATAGCCGAGATTGTGCCGCAAATCGAAGAATACCCGGAGGGCATTGGCCATGTTCATCACAATAAACTGCCAGCTTTGAAGCACTTGATAACATTTGATTACAATTGTCAAACACCAACTTACAAGTGAGAGTTGTTAACATAGTGTTTTTTGTACTAGAGTGCTTCTGGCTCCGGAGCTAACTACGGAGTCAGCTCCGACTCAAACTGGTCCTTAATTTTTAAAGTGCCCGGGGCGGAGCCGGAGCTGAAATTTTCAAAAGGGGGAGCTCTAGGATGTGTTCATGTTGTTTATGATTTATTCTAGATTGATGACATTGTCATACATACTTTGAAAAAGTTTTAAAGTTTGCTTGAGAAGTGAGATACTGATAAGTCAATAAACCCTATCATTTTTAGAGGCGCATGGAACTTTTGGCAATTAGTTGATGCCGGAGGTCAAATGGAAACGGATTTGTTAGAGAAGATTGAAAAAGAACTCTCACCGGATGATGTTTTGACCATCATGTTTACAAGTGTAAGTTGGGTCAATGGGAATGTTAATTTATGGCAACAACTAATGTGATTTGATTTTAAGTTTTGGTCCTATTGTCACACTGGGAAAGAGTTTAAAAGACTATGTAAATATATTATAGGGCAAGACTGGAAGACCAAAAGCGGCTGCTCTGACCCATCACAATGTCCTGAACAACGCCATATCTGTTGGTCGTCGTATGGGTTTGGACAAAGAAGTATGAATTCTTTTTAGCTTGAACTGACATGCTTATTACAGTAATTACTATGTGTTAACACAATTTATGTAATGGTTAGTATTAGAGTTCCCAAAGGCTCCAGGGCAGACCCGGAGCTGGAGCCGGAAATTTTTAAGCATAGATATCAATTTTAGTATGAAACAATAGTTTTGACAATTTATTGCTACTTTGTTTTCAGAGACACAACATTTGTGTGCCAGTACCTCTGCATGGTGCTTTTGGTTCAGTGCTTGGAAGTCTGAACAGTGTTTTGCATTACAGTACATGTGTTTTACCGTGCAGTAGATACAGCGCTTCTCAAGTTTTGGATTCCATTGCAAAGAGAAGGTAAGAAGACTTGTCACGTAGTTTTCTTTATTTACTATGAACGCTTTAATGGTTTAAAAGCAGTTCTTAAATAATTTTATAACTTTTCAATTTTTTTAGATGTACTGCACTGCTAGCCACACCCACGATGTTCATTGACCTTTTAAACGAGCCTAAAGTACGACAATATGACTTGGGTTCACTAAAGACGGGTAGGTAAACATAACATACTGTAAAAATTATTTTTTCTATATTACACTTGTTTGACACAAAAACAAAACATATATTTTAGCCATTGTATCCGGCGCCAAATGTCAGCCTCGATTGTGCAAAGAAATTGTGAATGCTCTTGGCCTAGAAGCTCTTCATAAGTTATATGGAACAACAGAAGTATCACCGGCTGCTTTTATGACCATTCCGAAAGATGAGTACCATACCGTGGGTAATGTGCTGGATCACATTGAAGCTCAAATTGTAGATGGAGAAGGTCGAAAAGTGTTGAGAGAAGAGGTTGGAGAGCTGTGTATTCGAGGATACTCGGTTATGAGAGGATATTGGCATGAAGAAGATCCGGAAAAGAACAGAGGAGTTGAGGCTAATGGATGGTACAGAACTGGGTGGGTTTTTGGTGCTATAATTTGAGTTTGTGGTGCTAAAAGTCTACTATGTTATGGAAGGTAGTGGAATTATAAAAGCTTTTATATTTTGAAAAGCCTATTTTCATCAATAAGTGGCTCATTAATTCCAATGTTACCGAAATTTTGAAAATTTCAGTGACATGGCCAAGATGAATCAAAATGGTACTATTATCATGGAAGGAAGAGTCAAAAATGTCATTAATCGTGGTGGCGAAGCCATCTACGCCAGGGAGTTAGAACAATTCCTATTCACTCACCCGGCCGTCGCTGATGCTCAGGTAATCAATTAGTTTTACTGATCTATTATGTCTTGTAGAAAGATCAATTCATTTCACTGTAGTTTTATTTCTGTTTCAGGTCATTGGTGTATCAGACAGCAGATTGGGCGAAGAGATTTGCGCATGGATTCAATTAAAACAAGGAGCTGAGAACACAACGGCCGAAGCCCTGATTAAGTACTGTAAAAGGGAGGTAAGTTGTCTTTAGCAACAAGTTTTGTACCATAGGTCGATTCTTATTTTATGAATTTGTTATATAAAATTGCAACTAGTAAAGGTGATGCAGAAACTACGGCAACGAATTGGGATAAGCTTAAAAAAGCTTGATGATAAGTTTTATTTTCCAGCTAGCCCATTTCAAAGTTCCACGCTACATGATTCTCGTGAAGGAGTTTGAGTTCCCAAAGCTGAGTTCGGGCAAAATCGACAAGGACAAGATGCGCTCAATGTCGGAAAAGACGTTGGGCATTAATTAACATGCACCTTTACATACTGACTGCGATAAATAAATCGACATTTTTTTATTTGTTTCCATTTTTGAAAAATTTTTATTTTCTCTCAATCGTTATGAACCGATCCTATGATACTTACGGCCGTAATCACGGTCACTGTGAGAACATACCTTTGATGTTGCCAATTATTATTTTTTCTATTTTTTATTTATAAGTTACGCATATAATAATTAACAATTCAACAACTTTTAACTAGCTAAAAATGGAAAAATTATAATATTTGGACTAACATATTATACAATACAATCTGAGAGCTTAATGCAGAATTAATTGGTGTTTTTAAAAAGATTTTTAAACTTATATGTTGGGATTATTACGTAACAAATCATATCAATACATCAACATTTTGCTAAAAGAACAATCCACCAAAAAGTATTTTACCTCAAAATTAACCGAAACAACCTACATTACAAGGTAAAACTCAATCAGAATCCTCATCTGAAATAGATACAGCCTCGAAAGTTGTTGGTTCATCAGAATCTTTCCTTCTTTCTTCTTCATCGCTTGAATCGTCTGATATTGGTTGACTTTCCAACTTGTGGTAGGCCTTGATCCGTTCGCCCATATAGGTCTTCTCGAGGTTGAATTGAGAGAATAAGTAAGAATTGCGAACCAATGCGTTTTCGGCCGCGTCCATTTCGGCATCGTGCACGGTCTTTCCGGAGCCGGAGCCAAGTCGTTTGCCTCTGGAAAGGCAAATATTATACTTGTTATGAATAATATTTTAAAACCTTGTAGGGAAAATGTAGAGCATTACAAAGTTATTGACCAAAAAAAATGTTTTAATCGTCATATATTAACTAAAACCATATTTTAATCGTCCAATTATCCTCAAATTTAACGAAAATATCAAAAAAAATCTCCTTTCACTTACTTATAATATACAACAAGCTTGTATTCCCGCGAGTTCGTTGGACCTTCCATTCCAGTAACTCTGTATTCTGGCACTTCGTCAGCCTCAATTCCCTGGTTCTTGAGTGATAAACAACATTGTTGTAGTTGGGATTTAGGGTCGTTCCAACGAGCAGAGAAAATGAAATACGACAGTCTTGGATAGAAGCATACTCTGATGAACGCTTCACAAAATTTAAAGCCTCTGTCCACGTAGATCGCCCCAATCAAGGCTGAAATGAAGAGGTTATATTGTGATTCATGTTTTTTACAAGAACTTAAGTTATTATGTTTTAGTTTATATTCCTAAAATTTCAACAGTAACACAATATATTATAATTTAAATCGATTTTTTATCACAAATTCCTATCGTATGTCATATTATAGCTCTATAAAAACTGAAAAAAGTCAATAAAATTAAGGACCTTACATTCTACAAGATCAGCCTTGTCTTTCATTCCCAGTGGACCTTGTGTTTGTGAAGGGCTGACCAAGTAACTTGTAAGATCAAGCTCATCGCATATGACCGACTGGGTTTTATTGCTGACTAAACAACTTCGAAGCAAACTCAGATGTCCTTCGTGATGGTGAGGGAAATGACGGTAAACGTAGTCGGATACGAAGAATTGAAGTACTGTATCGCCCAGGAACTCCAACGTTTGATTGTGACCTCTGAACATAGACAAGTTAATATGAAACAACAAAAATTGTAAACCACAATACAAAATAACTCTATTTTACACACAATTTATTACAAAATAACTGAATATACACATAAATTAGTACCAAAATGACCCTAGTTTACATACAGTATCTTAACTTACTGAGTCAAGTTGTTGTATCCCACATTGCGACGGGCGAATGCTCTAGCTAATACTCGAATATGATGAAAATAGATCCCGATGTAATCCTCGAGTTCCGTCAACTTCTGAAGCCATTTCACTTTCGGAATCCAATGTCTATCCGAAGGCGAATTGGCTTTCAACGGATACTCTTTCGGATGGGTCCAGGAATGTAAAATATCCGGAGAGTTGCCGAAAATGGCATTCGATAGAATACTACAATATATAGATATGTGATCATAGACTATCAATATTCAACAGTATAGATTATAATATTGTTGTAGTGGCAAGAATATTAGGTATAAAGTACAATATGGTAAAAAATCGAAAAATTTAAAATTTTCATGTGTGAAAACGTTAAAAAAATTAAAATACCCCCTTCATTATCAAAACATCACCCCAATATTAACATAAAACCCATGTCAACTCAAAAAAAGTCCCCAAACCCACCGATCACACGTTTCAACATCAGAATCCAGATAAACCGCAGCCATTAGAGCTTCAAAAGCGTTAGCAACATCCTTCTTCATGCCATCCTCCTTCATTATCTCCACACCGTGTGCTCTCAACAAGAACTTGTGCATGTTCAATCTCTGTCCAACTGCTCCAAGATGCAAATTCCTTACAAACTTTGATCTCATCGCTGCCAACACACCTTCTTCAACATGAGGCAACAAAAAGAATAGGTGATAAGTGACCACGAGTTCAACAACAGCATCTCCAAGGAATTCAAGCCGTTCATTATGTCCCAATGCTGATTCTTCTTCTTCATTTGATCCAGGTAAAGCCATGGTTTCGATTAAGTTCTCAATTCCTTTTCGCTTTTCTCCAACTGCCGTTGACTTGACTTCTGGGATTTGACTGTAGCCACAATTGCGTAGTGTGTTTTTCAGGTGATCCATATCGACCAAAAAGTTGGTATGATATGTGGGGTGAGTAAAGGCTTGTTCTAGTAGCTCTCGTTTCTGAAACAATGATTTTATAACTATTTTGTTCATACTAAAGAGGTGTTATAACATGTCACCCCATTACGTTCATGGTGTATTCATTCATTGTAAACTTAAACAGCTTTGACATTTGTTAATACAAAGAAATGTTTCCTAACTATCATATAAATCAAAACCCGATGAATCTCTTAAAACTTATATTACCTTAAATCTGTAGTCAATACTTTGTTCAAACGCGTCCAACGACCAGTGATATCTGACCTTGAACACGATAGCCAATGAGATCAATGCATGATGAACAACATCAAAACAAAATCCAGTTTGAACAAAACTTTCAATGTTCATATCAATCGGTACTGACCTTTTATGAGCACTAAAGATAAAAAATTTAAAAACTTTTTTACTTACATTAAAACTCCAAAAAAAAATTTTTTTTAATCAGTTTTGGCAACCCCCCCCCCCCTAAAAAATTCAATCTATTCAGCGCAACACCCCTGCTTGTATCCATATCAGTCTTTAAAACAAAATAAACACAAACCTTTGATGTTTCAAGTCCCTGATAAGCTCCATGACTTCTTTGAACTCTTCACGTTCGTTCTCTGACACCAGATCTTTTTGTGAAGTCAATTTATCCTTCAAAGCTTTGTACCTTTTTTGAGCTGTTATTAAATTTTGTTTGGCGACAGAAGCGTGCTTAGAGGTTCTCAAGGTAAAATGCCGTATCGTGCCGTTCTGATTACGTTTGTCGACATCTACTCGAAGACAGCAGGGTCTCTGAAAGTAAAAATTTTACAAATTTATAAATTTTAAAAAAGCATGCAACTATTTGATGCTACGGTTTACAAAATTTACTTTTTTAGTCGAAAAATTTTAACTTTTAGAAAAATATTATTAAAGATAAAAAAGTAATATCTTACTTTAGCTGGATTACAAATAAGTTCGTCCTTAAGCGACTTTCCGTACGTACTTTTCTTCGTCATTACTCGATTGAAGTTTTCAATAATGTGTTGTAAAACACATGACATTGGTAACACGGCCCTTAATTGTACTCCATCAACTTCTAAAACCCAAAATGATGGAAAAAATTTAAATAACCACAATACAAAAAATTATTTTTTTGTGTCAAGCAAAATCTAGAAAGCATTACTTGATTGATGTACAAATCTCGGTAGAATGTGATATGAAGAACAAGATTCAGGTGTTATACCTCTGTCAATACTGTACAGCTCAAGAAGACCTTCAAACAAGTATGTGTGGAACATTTCAAGCTCTTGAACTGTGTAACCCTAAAAACCAAAACGGATCTCTTTTACGCATATACTCAAGAACAACTACTTTTTAAGTATAAATAATGTTAACAAATCATCATTAAACACAATTTTTACAGACTTACCTCCGCCAATGATAATTCCACAACCCTAACATCAAAACCCGGCAGAATATCAGTGAATACAGTTTCCAGAAAGAAGTTAGATACTGGCCTGTGAAACAGTAACGTAAATCCTTCAAAATTATATGTAAACCCGTTGCTTTCAATCGTCGACACTTTACGAAAATAGTGTGATGTACTACTGACTTGAATAAAGTATTGATACAATCTGGTAATGTTGCTGAAAATATAAAAAATAATATAACGTTATATAAAAACTGTCGTAGACCTTCAATAATATTGTAATACAAAAATAGTCATTAAATAGAAATATTTTCTCAAAGGTAATATAAACAGGAACTTACTTTGAGTTAACTTGACATCGCATAGGTGGAATTTCATTGGGAAATGCACAATGAATAACGGATTCTCGTCCATGTCGAGAACAACCACATTTGTTTGCTCCATACTCATTAAACAAAATTTCAGGATGTAACTTTGCTGGATGTTGTTTTGTCTTTATCACCTTATTAGCCAACCTTGCTTTCTTGTGGCCTGGTTCATCTCCTGAAAGCAATTTATGTTATCATATATGCCACTTCAAATTTTAAAACTAATAACACATAAAATTAAATTAAAGCTCTTATCTAAGACCTAAAAATGCGTCTGACCCAAGTAAAGGCCCTTATAGATAATAAACATACTATGCAGTTTCTGTTTTTTGTCCCAAACCGGCTGAGCCGCACGTTGAGTAGCAATATATTCCAATACATTAGTCTGAAAATACGTCCTCACGCGATCCTGAGATAACGAAGACGTTCTGGATCCATCGACTTCCTAAAACAATGAATCATAAACTAAAATAACTTACTTTCAAATAGAAGTAACTCAAAAGATCTTCGTTTTGCGGTAGATTGAACATTTATAGTTGTCTCTAGCTATAAATATTGTAAACTAACCATGTATGTAATTAAATACTGTAGTAAAACGCATTAGAATACAAACGCCGAGCGAAATGTCGAAAATAATATTTATTTATCGTCTAAAAAGTCCGTCAGCGCGATTAAACATTTTTGAAAAAATTGAGATCGAAATGTTTAATTGGTTAACGAAAAAAAGATAAGTTTTTAAAATATGTTAAAGTGATTGTTATTAGTCAATCGAATTTTTTAAAACTATATTAATGTGCTTTTAAAACACGTCGAGGTGACTATTATCTAGACGTGAATTGAATTTTTTTAGGAAAATGAAATTATTTTCTAAAAAAAGAATGTAGAGTTATCATAAGGTAAAATTATGTGCCGTTAGACATTGTATAATCGTGGTATTGGGTTAATTTGTGCAGGTTTGGTCTGACTTATTTTACAGAAAAAATTTTGCGAGAGGCGAAAGAACTCACTTTATATTTTTGGTTCTTTCTGAATTAACGGACGCTTTTATCCTTCCTCTGCCCGAGTTTAACTTTATGTATTATTTAGATTCTTAACTTTTAAACAGATAGTTTTTAAAAATTTGTATTTTATTAAGTTTCCTGTTGTTATATATAAAAGTTGTAAAACTGCTTAATTTTAACTTTTTAGCCAAAAGTAAAAGTTTTACTTTGAAAATTTTTAATTTGTCGTGTTTCTATTTTTTCAAAATTTTTAAATCTAATTTCCATTTTTTCAGGTACGAACATGAGTAACGACGTATCGGAAGAAGTAAAGAGTGAAGTGATCAATTCTTCTCCGAGTACGAGTGAAGCATGTAAAGAAGAAAGCTCTGAGGTGTTAGAGGAGAAAACGAAAGACGAGCCTTTGCATATTAACATTGCCACTTCTAAAGGGCAATCGAGGAAAAGGTTAAGAACGTAGGTTGTTTTTCTTTTATCTTTTGGCTTTAGGTCGATAAATGGTTCAAAGGTTGCTTAAAAATGACGTAATAGTACTAACAGTCTGCCATATAAGTTCTTTATAGAAATTACGTGATATTTTAAAAGTTGAAAGAAATTTAATTTTTGAAAGTGTATATCTACAAAAATGGGATCTTTATTTAGTTAACGTATCTAAAATTCATTTCATTGTTATATAATAAAATTACAGGAAGGGTTTAAATGCTATAGCACTGCCAGAAGCAGCACAAGATGCTCAGAAGAAGGAGAAAGAACGTTTGGAAAGGCTGGAAAAGCTACGACAAGGTGCTCCTACAGCTGAAAGTTATCAACCGGTAATGCAAGTTGCGACTGATGAAGAGAGTGACGATTGTCTTATTGATTGTGTTATACCAAAGAAGAAACAACAAGTAGAAATTGTAGATTTAAGTTCGGATGAAGAAGAGTTTCAGAAGAATGGATCGATGCAATCAAAAATGTACAGAGTTGTAAGTTTTTGTGGTTTTTATGTAGATATGGGTATAGTATAATCTTTTTGACTTAGAACAGCGTTAAAGGGTTTTCTGAAGCTATTATTGTTTTCCATGATACAATTCATCTTTTATCACATGTTAATATCAAATTTACAACCTAAATTTTCAGCATCAAGAAGAACAGGCTCGAACAAGGAGATTAAGGAGGAAATCTGGTACATTGGACAAGTTAGAATACACAAAAGAAGGTCTTTTACTGGTTAATGAAGGAAAACCAGCTGGAGATCCGGATGTTTTTGTAGCCGCTCATCTTACAAAGATTCTACAGCCACATCAACTTGGAGGAGTTCGATTTATGTACGATAATATCATAGAATCGATAAAGAACTACGATCCTAACAACGGATTCGGGTGTATCTTGGCTCACAGTATGGGATTGGGAAAGACTTTACAGGTAATTTTTTGAAAGGTTTTTTCAATTATTAATTCGTTTTAATCTAAAATACGTTTTGTAAAATACGGTTTGGTTATTTATTCAGTTTTAATAACAAAAATATTTTAGGTAATAACCTTTGTCGACATCTTCTTTCGAGTCACAAAACGGAAGAAAGCTTTAATTATCTGCCCGGTTAACGTACTTCAAAACTGGTATAACGAGTTTGATAAGTGGTTGCCAATGGACGAAGGAAAACGTCAATTTAGTGTATTTATCGTGGGAGATGCGGCAAAGACGATAGATCAACGTTATCGAGTGATAAGTCAATGGGACAAACAAGGAGGGGTTATCTTGGTTGGGTATGAAATGTTCAAGTTGTTAACACAGCCAAAGAAGAATGAGAATTCATCAATGTACGAGTATACCCAACAGGAAAAGATGAATGAATGTGAGTTTACTTTTTATATTATAATTGATTTATTAATTCTTAGCTAATGTTATCGTAAAATTTCAAAAATTGGAAATAAAATTTGTTTAGTATGTGAACGTGCCTTGGTGGACCCAGGACCAGACCTCGTCATTTGTGATGAAGGTCATCGTATCAAGAATTTGAAAACAGCATGTGCAGCAGCTTTAAACCGCATAAAAACGAAAAGAAGAGTTGTCCTAACCGGGTATCCACTTCAGAACAATCTGATGGAGTATTACTGTATGGTTGACTTTGTCAGACCATCGTATCTTGGAGATCGCAAGAATTTTTCTCAAAACTTTGACAAACCTATCAAGAATGGCTCTTGCATTGACTCTACACCTTACGAAAGGAAAGAAGCTCGAAAACGGACTCACGTGCTGATTCAGCAGCTAAAAGGTTTTGTCCAAAGGAGAACTCAGCATATCTTGAAGAAAATCCTGCCAGAAAGCCGAGAATACGTGGTAATGCTACGAAAGACCGATATCCAAAAGAGTTTGTACAAAAAGTTCTTGTTGTTTGTTAAATCTCAACTCGACGTTAAGGATTCTTGCTTCTACAATCCATTAAAAGCATATGCTATTTGTTCTAAAATATGGAATCATCCAGATCTTCTTCACGATGCATGGAAAGAACAGCTGGCGTTGGCTACGAATGAACCAAAGCCTGCACCACAGACACCGTTCTATTCAGAACCCTCAACTTCATACGATCCAAATAGCTTTGGAAGTATGATAACAAAGTTTACTGATGTACCATTTGAGTCTGGAGCTCCTGGAAAGAAGTCGAGGAAGAAGAAAAAGGCTGTCAGCAGTATTGACGACGATGACAATTCTATTCCTTACTACTGGGTATGTTTAGGAGTGTTTTTAATGTTTTAGAGGTTTCTTATAATGTTAAAATGTGATAGAAATATAGTATTTGGATTGGTTTGGATACTAAAGATATTGATTTAGAAGCATATTGAACATTTTATAAGATAACTTAAATTTTCAGGCAGATGACGTTATGGCATCGTACGACGAGCACAAAATAATCAATAGCTACAAAATGTTGATAGCCTTGACGATTATTGAGTCTACAGTAATACGAGGCGAAAAGATCTTGCTATTCAGTGGCAGTTTGAAGACGTTATCGTTGATAGAAGAGTTTCTCAAGATGAGAGGAGATGTATCAACAGTTCATGGCAACAGACCCTGGAAAAGAAATGAAACTTACTTCAGATTTGATGGTTCAACTTCAAGCACAGACCGTGAGAAACTTATCGACCGGTTCAACAGTGATCCAGGAGTACATTTATTTTTAATATCGACGAAAGCTGGCTCTCTGGGTGTTAACCTTGTCTCAGCGACGAGAGTTATCATTTTCGATGCTTCGTGGAATCCATGTCACGATGCACAAGCAGTGTGTCGAATCTACAGGTATGGACAACAGAAGAAGACCTTCATCTATCGATTGGTCACACACAACTCAATGGAGCGGGCTATTTTTGCTAGACAGATATCTAAAAATGGGTTGCAACGTAAGTTATTGATAAACAGGCCTATATGCATAGGATTTTTAAATTATCAGTAATAGAAGGTTTTGATTTTTTGTCTAAAATAATGTTAACAATGACTGTTTTGTTAAAATAAATATTTTTATTTCAGAAAGAGTTGTGGATGAACAACATATTGATGCCAAAGTGACAACGAAGGAGTTAGAGAACCTAATAGCGTACGATGAATCGTTGGACTTTGATTCAGAACATAAAGATGTTGCTACGTGGAAAGAAAAGATTGACGATGATTTACTACGTGATATTGCCATGTTTGACTCAAAAATCTTTGCTGAGGTAGGATAATATTCTTTAAGAACCATATTTTGTAATTATCAATTTTGTAGTGATTTCATTTTGTTAGCATTATTTGCTTTTGAATTTACTGATTTGTAGTGTAACTTTTGTTTTTTTACAACTTTACATTTATAGATATTACATATTTGAGCAAATCTTTATAATTTCATGTTTTAGTGCCCATTCCTACACGACTCATTATTGTTGGAAGGTGAAGAAGCTTTAAGCCCAGAAGAACGATTAGAAGCTGAAATGCTATACGAAAAGGAAAGAGCCAAGTTCAACAGTCAAGGATCCTCGAAGAACGATGGATTGAACAGAATTCCAACTTATCTACCAAGCATGTACAATCAATCCATGCCCTTTATGGGACAACGACCAATCACTGTGGGCCAAATGATTAATAACATGAATTACAACAACCAACCGTTTAACCCACAGCAAAGATTCGAGTAAATTTTTAACTTTTTAATTTTGGGTATTTAGTGTAATATTAGGTTGTTCAAATAATTCTGTGCCTTATCTTAAAGCAAATTTTTGGGATTAGGGACACAGGATTATTTGAATACCCTAATATAATTTTTCCATCTTCGCAGTTTATTTTTTGTCAAACAATGGAGATAGCTGTGAGCTTCGTGCTAGTCTAATATAATCTCAACTTATGTTTTCAATTCAAAAGTATCAAATTTTAAAGTCTTTTTAAAAATAACATTTTCTACTTAATTTCTATAATTTTTAATTTTCAGTATGCCACGATACACTGCAGCACCGCCTGGCCCTATGTCTCGTGATTTGATGATGAACTCTGACTCGAATGCTCAATACCCATACAACAATCAGTACCGACCACCTTACCCCAAATACAATAACATGCCAGGATCACCACAACAACCAAATACAGTACCTTTCTTCAATAACAGTTACAATGGCAATCAGAGCGCTTACAGTAGTAGTGGAAGCCAGAATTCATTCAATGGCAATGGTAACCAGAGTTCTTACAATGGTAATCAGAATTCGTACAGTAATAACGGAATGAATGGCATGCCTGTTGGTGAGTACAATGGATCATCAGTGAATGACTACAATAATACGCATAATAATGGTTACAATTCGACATCGAATGACGGTTATAATGGCACGCCTACTACCAACTACAGTAATGGTAATAACTACGTGCAGAATGGCGCACAAAATGAATATGCTAATGTGGTAAATTCTGATGGTGGTCAGAATAGTAATGGAGGTATGGACTACGGTAATAATGGAGATACGAACAGTGGTGACGGAGTTACAGGTTTGAACGGTAATGGTACAGGAGGTCAAAGACAACATAATGGTCAGAATGGTAATGGTAACAATGGGAAAGAGCAACAACAACAAAGATCACAAAATAGAATCATCTCGAAGAATGTGAGGGCTCATGTTAAGGAAGGTAAGCGGTGTTTGAATTGTTTTACTTTTTTACTAAAAATAGCAAGGACTTTTTTTACAGATTAGAAGTTTTGCTCGGAAGGCTTCAAATAGCAAAAACTTTCTTTACAAAACATAAATTTTTATTTTGCAGATATTGCACTGCCAAGCATAGGCAAAGCCGACTCCACAGTATACCTGAAGAAGGGCGACCCAATCTTGATAGTGCATTCAGTCAACGGCGGAGTCTATATTCGAACAGCGACCGGTCAGATTGCAGATGCGGCTAATACGTCCTATGCCAACGACGAACAAGTCATTGACCTGGATTAATATAGCTATTTATAGTAACCTAATCTTTCCTATTTATGTTTTTGTTATCTCACATTCTTGCTACCTTTGGTTTTACTGTGGTATTAAGGAGACGAAAAGGGCAATTCAAGGAAGTACATTTAGTTGGGGTGTTCAGAAAGTCTTGAGCTCTTTCTTATTGTTGGTGCCTTTATTTCTAAAGGTATTTTTCTGTGAAGTATGTGAACGACTTTACTGTAAGACCTGTAAGCCCTCAAAAGCACCGTATGCCTTTTAAGCCTGTGACATTGTTAATGCTTTACATCTCTCATTGTTTCGTGTGTTTGTCGGGTGTGATCTTTCAAGATGTATTGTGGATCTCTGTGTCTAAAGTTATATAGTGTATATACTAATATCTGATAAATTTTTTAAAATTTAATTTTGGATTTTGATTTGGTGGCAATGACGGTGATTTATAAGCCTTTGCCTTGGTTTAACTTTTTTTGTTTTGGATGAAAAAGTGAGGAAGTTGTTTTTTCTTGTTTATTAGGTGATACTGGCTTGTGAAAAGGTTCTAAATATATTTATTAGTACTTCTAACTATGCTCAACTGAAACAAGAAGAAAACTCTTTGCAGTTTCGAACATTACACACGTATGGCACTCTTCTTGTTGGGTATAATAATTGTTGATTCTTGGCTAAACGCTTCCGGCAATAAAAGTTAATTGTCTGGCTGCTGTTACAACGAACATTTAAAGCAAAAGAAAGATGTAACACGCAAATATTTAAATTTTCTTATTTATTATTTAGGTATTTTGCCGAAATGTGTTATGGCTTTCGGTATTTTAGCTATGTTATTCTTGTATTGGCGTTTTGAAAATGTTGTTTTAGTAGTTCAGGCACCATATTTTTGTATTCCTCTAGTATGTCAGGCTAATTATTGTTGCTTTATTTTGGTATTTTAGCAATGCTATGATTGCGAGCACTTTAGCCATGTTATCCTTGTGTTATTGTAGTATTTCAGCCATGTTGTTCTGAGAGTTGTGAGGAAATACGCATTTTTAATTGTTTTTACAGGCGATTATAATATTTTTAGGTATGAAGTTGTATCTACATTTTTAAATAGTTCTAAGAATAGTGGTATACGTGATTGAAGTCAATTTTATGACAATAGCTACAGATTGCAATAGTGACATGAATTATTTGTGATTTATGCACTTTACACGCCATTAACAAGATATAGAGCCAACTTTTATAAACTATTATAGTCGCAAATTTGATTTTTTTACTTTAATATTAAGCTTAATTTTAATTTTTTTTGCTTTTGCCTTTGTTGCACACTCAATAAAAGCTATAGCGACATCTTTTCACTATTCGACTTAACATTTATATGCAAATTTTGTTGTTGTTTACTTAAATCTAGTCTAAATAGCTGAATAAAGCAAAATTTCGGATTAAAATAGAATTTCAAAGATCGTTTTAAGAGTACTTTGTAGCAAAAAGCTTTGTAATTGAGATACTATTTTTCAATCTATTTACTTTGTGCTTACTCCTCATGGACAGATAGACCAATAACAATTTAAGGCTCTGTTATTGTAGCGGTGAGTAATTGCTTTTGTTAAACAATTACTTTCAGTCAAATTGCTTGAAAATAGGTAACAAAGTAAGCTATTTTACTGGTAACATACTCGATTTTTTCGAAAATAGCTTTGTTAATGGGGCTGAAGTTTGAAACGTTTTGTTTATTTTAGCTGTAATATTACCGTGCAACCGTGCAGCTTTAGTTGTGACCATTTTTATCTATTTTCAATGTTTTTTTTCATAATATTATTCATGGTAAAATTGCTTTTTTCTGAATCTTTCCAGTTGTATTTCATGTCAAAGCCTGTTGTAAAGTTTTAAATTGGACTTATAGTTCTAGTTGATATCATAAAGTTGTATCTTTAATATTGTGCGTAGTTTACAAGTTACTGTTGTTGTGTAAGTTCAATTTTAAAGTTGTAACAAGTTGACGTTATTTGTTGTTTATTAGTCTACACGACATCTGGTTGTAGTAAGTTTAAAGCCGTTTGAACTATTTGTCTTGCTAGGAAAGAAAGGGTAGGGTAGGGTAGTGTAGCGAGGTTGCACAAAACAACTACAAATGCCATCAAAACCCACCTTCATCTAAATTTTTAACATTTTTCTCAACTTCATCATACAAAATCTCAGAAAGTCCAGGTAGTGTAGAAACGTAAAAGAAGCTTTTTACTTTGTATCGTTATTATATCTGCCAAATATATTCCTATTTACTGTGAAATGTTTTATATTATGTGCTTGTGTTTCGGACCGTGTGACCACAGACTCTCATATACTCAAAATACTTTGTGTACGTTCTTATTTGGCAGGCTTTACCGAGTTCGTTTGCTTTATCTATGGCAACATAATCAAGTGTGTAAATGTAATTCATTAAATTCCACTTTTGCAAGCAAATTTGATTTCTTTGCATTTATTAGAAGTTACTTTATAAAGATTAAAAAGTGGTGTTTTAAACTTTACCGAATTTTTTAATGTTATATATTAACGTACTTATACAGTATTATAACTTGTGGGGGGAGGGGGAGGGAATAACCTTTATTTATGTTTGGCATGAACCATTGAGTTAAGAACTTGTTGTTAATAAGGTTATATTATTAGTTTTTGCCGTCTTTTCACAATTACTACTGTTTTTCCTTGTCTGTTCCTAGAAAACTCGAAAATAGAAATGGCATTTGGTTTTCCTTGAACTTCCTTACCGTTTACATTATTTATTTTTGATTACTTTTTAAATAACTAAACAATAATCAAGAAATCATAATCATATTAATATTAATGCCGGGTTCTTTCGATTTTATAGCACCTTTTAAAAGTTTATGGCATTACTTCATGTCAAACATCAGTTTTTGTAGCGTGAAGTTTTTTAAAAATTTTTTGGGGAGTGGAAAGTTAAATCCAAAGTGACACTGGATGTTCAGTATATGTAATAAATCGCTCGAAGATTTTAAATTTGTTTGTTATAAAGATTTTGGGATACAGGGGTTTTAAATGCGCTCTGTAGTAATGGCGAAGGGCCTAAAGGGCATTTCTTATACAGGAGGCAACATGGATGTTTCTCTTTTTAAATACATTTTTAAATGTATTAAAATATAAAGTTTGATAAAAAATATTGTTTTTTAATTTCTTGGTAACTTCAATAAAATTAATACAATTCTGTTATTGTAGCTATCTTGTGATGGTACGTCTTAACATTTGTACATGTTGCCGAGCTATCTTCTTGTAAAATACATTTAAACTTTATTATTCTCACTTATCACTACAATTTAGTTTTATTTGTTCATAAAGCGTTAAGGCTGACAGTAAATTTCAAATTTTATTGTAATTGTTTTACTACATATTATAATATATATTATTATAATAGGCATTACTTTTGTATGTTATAGCAGCCTGTTTTTTTAGTCTGGACTTTTTATAAGACCTGTCGGATAGTTTAAGTTGTATATTGTAATAAGCATTACACTAGATAGTGCTGTTGGCTGTGTTTTTTATTTTTTTGTGTTACTGTAATTTGTATTATAGTTTACAATAACTAAAAAACGTTGAATTAAATTTTTTAATTTTGAAATTAAGTGTAATATACATTTTACGATGTATGACATACGGGATCTCGCGCCAATTTAAATTATAAGTGTTTTTAAAAAAGCATTTGTATTTGAAATGCGCATTTTTTTTAAATGTTATATTGTTGTAGGTAATAATGTCATATTGTTGTAGGTAGTTGTAGTTTATTGTAAAATGTCTGTCTACACCAAAATGAAGTTTTCGGTATTAAAACTAATTGTAACATAATTTGAAAGAAGGTGGCGTGTTCAAGAATGTTGCTTTGTAAAATTTGAAGATTTTTTGTTTTGGCCAGGGTAAGGCACGGTTGGGTAGGGTAGGTTAGAGTAGGGTAGGGTACGGTAAACTATGTTAGGCTAGGCTAGCCAATTAGACCTGGAAAATGAGACAAGCCGAGCCTACATTTTTTAGCCCCGACTCTTTTGCCAGGTCTATAGCCAATAGCCCTTGATTGTCAACAGTCAATTACAGTAAAATTGAACTGTTTACATATACACTTGTTGTAGTATTACTTCCGCCAATTTTACCCTCAACCTTTATGCATCTAAAAAGTATAGTAGCTCTACCACCTCTGTATACATGTTATGCCGGCGGTAGCTCATTAGGTCATTGCGTCACTTGTTGTCGAGCTTTGTTTTTTGTATCTTCTGAAGTTAGTTCCCAGCTTGCCGTGCTTGATACAACGAATTTCTTGTAGCACATGGTCGTATCTTTGCTACAATAACACTTTCTGTTTGATTTATGCCACAAGATGTTGTTTAGTGATATTTGTGATACAATATCATATTCTTAACGATAATTGTGCTACAATTTATATTCTTCATGATATCTGTGATACAATATCACTTTTCTTATGGTGTCTTAGCTACAACAACACTTCCTCTGTGATAGTTGTGCCTACAATAACATTTCAATGGTATCTTGAAGGAAAATATTTTTCTCATGTTATGGCAATGAAAATAATGTTGTTTGGGCATTCTACAACAATATTTTTTTTCATAACAACTTGCTACACCATACGGTTTCTAGTCTTTACTAAATAATGTTAAGCTTGGTAGTGACATGCTACAATACGTTACTTTATATTTACTTTGAAGGTATCATGCTACAAACTATAGTTATTTGGTATCTTGAACGAAGTATTTACTATTGTAAAACCACCACAAAGTATGCTTTTTCTCGGTGTTTTGCTACAGAATATTTACGGCCATCTTAGTTCAACTGCCCAAGTTCGTAACAGTTGTAACATATGAGTGTGGCAGTTGTGTTCTCCTGCTTTTATATATAAGGTTTTTCAAATAATTCTGTGCTCTCTAATTCCAAAAATTTGCTTTGAGAAGAGGCACCGAATTATTTGAACAACCTAATGTAGTATGTAAAACAGTACTTGCTTTTATAAAGTTACAATTACTTAGCGGTCAATGGTATGTTTGAGTACTATCCAGTGCAAAAATTTAATTTACATGTAAATACTGTCTGTTATAAAAGTAAGATTGTTAATGTTGTTATAGTAAATCTAAGATGTAAAAGTAACTATTCTTAAGTAAGTCATAATTGTTAAAAATAAGTTCAAAATGCTAATGTTATTATCAAAAACATAAACATGTTACATCTGTATGTTATGTTATGATAACAGGTGTAAGCTTTTGCTACTGAACTATCTCTATTTTTTACAGCACTTTCTCAGGTTTTTATTTTCTTTTTCAATTCTTTATTGCACTTAGTGCAGTCAAAGACTAAGAAATTGTGAAAATTGTAAATTTGATTTCTTGAACGTACAAAGTTGTTGAGAGAAATACCATGGTATCTATGGTTTGTTCACGTCTTTATCCTACAATTTACAATACAATAAGACAAGAAGATGTAGTTTACACATCTCAAGTGTAACATGACTAGTTGGGACTTTCAATTTGTTGTAGGATACATAGTGTTTTCTGTGTTTGCTGAGGGTTTTTAAACATATTTTGTAAAATACGGCGTATTGAACATAAAGTCTTACTTACTTATAGCTTGGTATTTGTAGTAATTTAGTACCTGTAGTAGAATTACTTGAAAAATGTTATGTCATTTTAAAAAACCTTCATTTTTAGTACTGTTAGTACAATATACCAGTAATACTGCTCCTTGCATCCTCACAAAAACTGTAATTCTATTGTTACAGCAGGTCTTTGCTTGGTAAATGCCTACCAAATTATAGTTAATATCTGTGTGTGTGGGAGAATAGCATGGTATAATTACTATCCCTTCCTGGCTTTACACATTAGCATATATTACTTTACATTTTAATAGGTCTACGTTTGTCACTAAGTATGTCTGTCGTAAGCTATTCACAGGATATCCTAATGGCTATTTGTTTATAGTACTTTTCTTAAAAAAACATAGCATTGAAAAATGGAAAATATCTTATCATATAAATGTCATATTAGGTTGTTCACATAATTCTGCGCCTCCTTACCCCCCTCCCCCCCCAACTTACTTTGAGAGGGGGCGCAGAATTAAGTGAAGAATTAAATATGTTTATTCTAGCAACTTTTTGACCAAGTTTAAGCTTATAAGGTGATAAATTAGATGTTACTACGTTAGCAACGATGCTTACTGGTCGTTTAACTTACAATTCGTTTAGCTTTTTGCAAACTTGCAGCTTTGCACCTGTTGCTAAAGTTCAGTCCAAAGGTTTTTTTATTCGCTAGTCACAGTCATGTCCAATTTTAGATTTTTACACTAATAATCGTAACAAAAATTAAAAGTTACACTTTTGTACGCATGTCAACTCTGTCCAGACCTACGTGCACGTTAGCTATTTTTCTACTTTGCGTTTGCGTTTTATGATCTGGTGTAGTTTGCGTCAGTTTACTGTGTGTTATAGTATCTTTTTAAAATATGTGAATTTCGAATTGTCGTGGAATTGAAATTTTATGACATTTGAGAGTTGCATGACGTGGGTTTTGTAGGATCTCAAAAAGGTCCAGGTTTTTTTAAACTGCTTTTTAGTCTAGTGTGAAACTCTTATATAACAATAACGAACTCCTCTAGAATAAATCTGTAAAGAGGCTGGGCTTAATTTTTTTGACCCAGCTTGATCCATTTCGAATTTGTTTCAGCCTTCCCGATTTATATCAAATAAAACTTATAAAGGAGCAGATTAGTTTTACACTTTTTGCAAGTCAAATCATTCGTTGCAGGATCTAAGCCGGACTGCTGGTGCAGGCTTCTGGGGTATTGGTTTGAGTTTTATTTATTTCAGGTTTAATCTGAAAGAGAAACACTGTGTATTTGAGACTCCTTAATAAAGGAAAAACTTTACATTTTAATGCTTTTTGTTATGCAGGAGTTGCACTGTGTAAGCAAGTACTGGAAATAGTGCTTGTGGAACAGGAAAACCAAAAAAAAAATGTTTTTTTAAGTTTGTTTACTGAAAGTCAGAAGGGTGGAGTTGAGTGACCAAGTTCAAAATTTTTAAATTTTTTTGTGCGGGAATACTTTTTTAAACCGAGCTTAAAAATTATTACCTAAAAAATAAAAAACAAGGACCGATTTTCACAAAAAACCATTCATAAACTTTAGAATCGGCCATAAATATGCAAAAACCCTCAGTAACCTTTTACATTGCATTCTTGCGTGCTGAACATGGCCCGAACGTCATTGCGCCCTGGGGGGAACTTTGCTTTGTTTCACCTGTTCCTAGCGTGCCGTGCCTCAGAATGGGAATAACGCAGACGTAGACTAGTTTCTTGGGTTTAATTGGCCTGGTCGAACATTCGGTCGTTACTTCTATGTTGTCGTTTACATATTTATTTACCGATTTTAATGGGTAACGTGTTACTATCGGGTATGGCTGTTTTTGTGGCAATATTGTTGTGGTTTTGCTATTTTTAGGGAAGAAGAGGGAGGGTGGGGGAGATAATCTTATTTTGATTTTAATGGTTTTTGCTTAATTTTTGATTCATTTTTGCTGTTTTTTAATGAACCTTGCTTTATAAAATACGTTTTTCTGAAGTTTTAAGTCGCTCGAATAATTCTGTGCCTCCTCGAACATTTGCTTTGAAACGGGCACAGAATTATTTGAGCCAGTGAATATTATGGCTTTTTGAATATTCTTGCTGAACTTTTTATTTTGTTTTTTCAACGTTTCTACCGCGTTGTTTTAAAATTTTAAAAAAGTTAATAATTTTTATTTTTTTATTTCCAGGCCTTACCTATACAATCATGATGTGTCTTGACGTTTGCGTAAGTTTACTTTATTTATTTTTCTATTTTAAACATTATAAGAGACAAAAAATTTTTATAAAGTCCATTCTAGTAGAGTATTATGTCGTTCAAATAATCCAAAAACTTGCTTTGAGAGGGGACACAAGGTTATTTGAACGACCTAGTATTTTAAGTTTATCGACAATTTCTGACAAGAAATGGCCTTGAAGGATTCTATTTTTAAATTTTGCGCCATTTTGGCATAGTGTTGATATTTCGATGGAGCACAGAATCATTTGAAAAACCTTATACGTTAAAATTTGCCACAGGCTCACTCACTACTTACCATTCTATGCAAGTAACCACCGAGGAAATGTAAATAATACTGTTAAGGTAATAACCTGTACAGATTTTGGTTACAAGAAAAACTGAATTTGTAATTGCAATTTTGCTTCCAGATTGTAACCAGTAATTACATTTACTATTCAGTAAAGTTTTTATTTTTTTGTTTTTTTAGTTCCGATACCACCTGTAGGCATATCGGAACATTTCAATTACTTAAAGTTGAGGTTTTCCTAATTTCAGAGAAGTTGTGCTAAAATTAAGTTGAGGTTGATTTTGTTTTTAGAATTAGGTATGGGTTGGTATTGTTTTCCCAAAATAAGGATTGTTTTCACAAGAAAAAGTTTAAGTAACTCATATTTTCCAATTTTATTTAAGGAGAACATTACAATAATAATTAAAATGTTATAATTATATCAAGTTTGTTTAGATGTTCTAACAATTAAAATTTCAGCATTACTTTATTTTGTAATGTTGTACAAGCCTGCAATTGTAATAGTAGGTTAGTAAGGTGGCACAAATGGATAAGCTGTTATTATGTTCTGTAATTGCACGTCTGTAGCCGTGCTTTGGCCGTTGTTTTGTTTAATTAATGGCTTATCAATGAAAAAAGTGTAATATTATATATTTTTACTTTTTTTGTTACTAAAAATAGATTTGGCAGTACTATATATAAGTAAACGTATAAGTACATCTTTTTTACTTACAACTTCTGAAAGCTTACGTTTTGTGGCAAGGTTTCAAATTGAAAGTGTAGCAAACGCTTTTTTGGGTATTTTTTAAAAATTTATTAACTACCTTACCCTGCCTTACAAAATTAAACGTTATTATATACATTGACCTTCTAAACTATGTGGTCTATTAAAATGTGTTCAACACTTTGAGCTTTAATCAAATTATTTAAATTGTTCTTGCTCAAGGGTTTTAAAGAGCCAGAAATTAATGTCTTAGGCGTAAAACAGGTTCATATTTATAATAAGCTGGTCGGAATTAGTCTAAAATTACATTTTGACTCGATTTAAAAGCATATTTTTAAATGTTTTTTTACTTTTAGCTTAGTTTCAAGTTTAAAACTAAATTTCCATAGACCTTTTTACTAGTTAAGATATTTTCTATGTATTATTTGACTCAGTAAAACTACTTTTTGTAAACTCTTATTACTCAATGGTTTGTACTTTTACTGAGTACGTCATTGTTTTTGCTACAAAAAACTAGTTCCTTATTCTCAAAAAACTGTTGTCATTAAAAAGAAGTAAAAAATGGTGGATATTGTAGTACTGGAAAAAAGCGGCCGATATTGTAGGGCTAACAAAAGTGATTGATATTGTATTACTAATATGCATAAATTGTCACAAAGTTAAACACGAGGCCTTTCACATGAGGAATCTTTAGTTTGTGCCATTTTAAATGTCTTATGGTTTTGAAGTTTGTATAGTAAACATGGTTTTTGAGCCTTTGAAGGTTTCAGATTTTAAACTCTAATTTTTTCAAATTTCAATTTTGAATCATGGTTTGGTTTAGGTGATTTACATAATCCTGTACCCCCCCCTCCAATGTACTAAAATTGAAGTTTTAAAAGTTTTAAATTTTTAATTTCAGGGCTGGGACACGCCAGATAACTTCTTCTGTTACATGTATATCCTTCAAGCCATCTTGTCCATAATCGGCTTCATAGTCAACTTAATAATTTGCATATTCGCCTTCTCGGGCGACCGTTTCTCCCCACATACGGCGATGACAAGGGCATTATTGTGGGCTGATGTTATGAGTAGCTTCGCCTACATTGCCGACAGTATATCATCGTTATTACAGCGTAAGTCGACCGACCACTTGACATACTTCAAAGTCAATTTTTTTTACATTTTGGATACAATTTCACAGTATTTTTTGTATTTTACTACGATTTTTGAGTTAATTGTTGTTTTGAAATCGAAGTACTACATTTTTTTTGTTAAAAAAATAACTTTAAAGTTCAACTAATAGGCGTGCTTTAGTAGTACTGTAGTTTTTTAGTTGATAAACTACATTTTTTATTAAAATTTCAATTTTTTTAAGGTGTATAAAAAGTAATGAGCTACAATGGTTATAGCGATATGGTGTTGAGTAGCTCATTACTTTTATACAATTTAATACTTTAAAAACTAAAAAAATTCAAGCTTTATAACAATGACAAATTTTCAGGTAACGCAGACATAGTACTAGGACCACCACAGTTCGAGTACGTGTCAATCAGCACGTGTGCCTCTAACAAACCCCAACTCTTTTTCCTCCAGATCGGCCGCCAGTGGAGGAGTGTAATCATATTGATCATGGGCGTGGAACGCTACCTTTTCATAACATATCCCTTATGGTTTAAAGTGGTGCGAGTACGACGACTACCAATACTCATCTTCACAACGTGCTACGTTCTACTGTCAGCGGGTATTGCATATACGAATGCCTTGGTGATTGATCCAACTGAACTGACACACTTTTCATGTGAGGTGACCTGGGCATTTGGAGACAATTATGGCTGGTGCCAGTCGGGAATGGTAATTGTGGCTATTACTGTAGCTTTTCTTTTGAATTACTACGCGAGGTATGTGGTGAGGAAAGATACGGCGTTACTGCATTTTGGCAACAATCGGCCGAGGTTGAACAATGAAAAGAGGAAGATTAGGTAAGGTTTTGCAAAAATTTTGAAAAAAATTTGTTTTTTTTGCTAACAGTTTATGATTTTTCATCTTATATAGATTTTGTTCTAAAACCCGAGGTATACTTGGAGCAATTTTTTTGTAAAAACTACAATTTTTTTCCAAATAACATAAAATTGTAAGAAATTGTTGTTTGGCGCTGGGACTACAACAATTAGTAACTTTAATTGTATTGCGGAAGTTTGGGAAAGTTATTTACCATCAGGAAATTAATTTGTATCTTACTACACACAACAATTTTTAGGTTAGACTGACATTAATTTAGGTTCAGTCTTACATGTAAGGTCTCTGAGAATGTAGAAATTTCATAGAATTTATTGAAAGCATAAATTTTTTTCTTAAAATGCACTTTAATAAGGGCTTGTAGGTATAGTAAGAAATTTCCAGAGTTAACGGGGCACAAAATTTTTTAAACAATTTGATATAATCAACAAATTTGACAAATCTGTTGTTTACTTTGTTGTAGTACGTTTTGAAAAACATGCTATAATGACTTGTATTGTAATGTATATGTAAATTACAATATATAATAAATTAGGCTATAACACGATAGATTAACATATTAACTAAAATTGTCTGTGGTAATCCGATAAGCAGGTCAGTGCTTGCGAATGTAAGGTAAACAAAATTAAAAAGTGGATAGATTACTAAACCTTGCCTAGCCTACCCTGCTCTACCCTACCCATTTAAAAATGAAATACTTCTTTACGTATATCTAAAAGGTTAGAAAAATTATTTTTTAATTAAAAAAACCGTAGATGTACAATAATATCGAGTAATGGGGCTACTTTTTAAACTCACCACACTACAAATAACTTATGCCTTACAGTAATGTTAGCTTTATTTCAAAAACCATACTAAACATGCAAGTTTATCAATTTTAAAAACGTTCTAACTACAACAACAACATGCATAAATTTGTAATGTCTCATAAACCACAACTTGAATACACAATTCATTACCTAAATATTTACAAACTATTGTTTCAGAAAAGCCATGTGGCTCATAAGCGCCACCCTAATCACCTGTGTCATTCCACAAGTCCTACTGGTCGTGCTACGTGCCCTCGACCAACGAGGCCTTCAGAAGTGGAAGCTTCTGGTTTCACAACTCTTTCTTCTCAAATTCATTGCCAACTTTGTCCTCATGGCCAAGTTATCTCGAGTTGGACCACAACTATCCTTCTTTGCGGTAAGTTACAGCTGGTTTTTGTCATTTTGAAATGTAATTGTAAATTAGCAATTTATAGAGATTTGAATTTTAAAGTGAAAAACAAGTTTTTGAAACAGAAAATTTTAAAATGAATAGGTTTTTAAAGTTTATTTTTGAAATTTTACAGTATGTTTAAGGCTCAAAAACCATAAATTTTTAAGTGTTTTTCGAATTTTAATAAATTTTTTGTATTTTAGCCTCGATTTTGCTGTTCAATGACATTACGAAAGGCCAGGGTAGACCACAACGACTCAATCGCTTCGGTTTCTTACTACGTCAACTAGGTTTAGAATACTTCTAAATATATCTGATTAAAACTACGGGTAATAAAGCTAATAATTTATACTGTTTGGAAATAGTTTTATGTAATTTTACAATTTAAATATAATTAAACTGAATATTGTTATAACTTTTGAATTTTCAAAAATATTTTTAAAACATACATAGGCTTTGGGACAATGTTTTTCAAAATTAATTTTTATCATATAAAAGTACAAAAAACTGTCTAATCCAATCAGTTCCAAGTACTTTTTAAAGGTATTCAAATATTTAATTCAAACCGTCAAATGCGCGCGCTTTTCGTCTTTTCGTAAATTTTCTTGGCATTCCGTTTCAAGCCCGTTCGTTATTCGCGCTTTTTCGTCGCCTCTTGAAGATGTATTGTTTCGACGAGTAAAAAGTATGTTCAAACCCAAATATTCAGCAAATTTGCTGTCGTGCTTTTAATCAATTATCCGGTTTTAACCAAATTTTACAATTTTTGCGGTCATTTTGTGATTTATTTGATGGTTTCTTGTAAAAGGCATATTTTATTGCGAATCGAAGGTCCCATGACACAGTTTACAGCAATTATACGCCTTTATGTGTTTTTTACAATAGTGGGAAGGAAGGAGATTCTTACGAAAAGAAGAAGATGCGGTTCTTTAGTAATTACTTGTATAATAACATTGTTAACAATGTTTTACGTTTTGTTTATGATGAACATGTTGCCTTTGGAAAAGTTGAATGTGAGAGGAATATAATATTCATTATGTACTTAAACTATATATACATTTTTGGATTAAAGAGATTAGTTTCAAACGTTTAAACGCTGATTAAATCAGTCGGATATCCGAAATTCGAAAAATTTCTAGCCCAGAGGGCATTTAGCAGATGGTCAGCTAGAAAACGAAAAAAACTCGAACTTACTGACCCGATTCTATTGTTTTGTGTGAAATTTTGTTAATCGTCTTTTTATTTTGTCTGTTTTCACTTTTCCCACTTTAATCTTTCATTTTGAGGTCTTTTTCGGTATCAAATTGTTATAATCCGGAACTGTTCGTTTGCGAGTGAATCACTTCTCCATTTTACGGGTCTTGCTGAATGGAATCTCACGAATTATTGCAGATGGGCGCCAGTACCGGCGGGCCAAGACATCAGGTACAGAACAGAAGGCATCAACGGTCGATTTCGGTAGGATTTTATGTTTTTTGTTATGATTTTAGGTATGAAAAGCAAAGAACACAGCGGAAAAATGGATTTTTTGTTAGAGTAAATGTTTGTGGGTAATTTTTATTTTGCAGAGAATTCGCCGTCCACACAATTATGGACACAGAAGTCATTCGGGAGTATCATGCTGTGTCAAGTACTTGGTATTTTCGTTTAACGTCATCTTTTGGATCGTTGGTTTCTTGATGATTGCGGCTGGAGTGTGGGCACAAGTAGAAAAGAACAATCCTTATACACAGCTTAACCGTTTGTCCAAGTTTTATCTTGATCCGGCGTTGATGCTCATTATTATTGGCACATTAACGTTTGCTATTGGGTTTTCAGGTAATAATTTTGTTGTCTTGGTGTTTTTCTTATAAAAAAAACTGATTTTACAAATTCTTTTGCTAAAAAATTACTTTTTAGGCTGTATTGGAGCTCTTCGTGAAAACACTTTCTTCTTAACCATCTACTCTACCCTACTTGGTCTACTTTTACTGGCTGAAATAGGGATAGCAGTGACAGGTTTTGTGAGTAAAGATTGGATCGAAACCGAGTTGAAGACACGTTTGGATGATATGGTAATCTTGTATAGGGATGATCCGGATCTTCAAACCTTGATTGATTGGATGCAAACTGACTGGAAGTGTTGTGGTATCAACAAACCTGATGATTGGGACATGAATATCTACTTCAATTCCTCGGCCAAAGCATTGAAAAGTGAAGAAGCTGGCGGTGTGCCATTTTCATGTTGTGTCAACAGTTTGGATCTTCAGAACTATGCTTGTGGGCACAGGGTTAGAATGGGGGTATGTTAACATGTTACAGTTCAGACATATATATATAAAAAGCTTTTAAAAACTTTGAAAAGTTATGTTGTTTAATACTGTGATGATAAAAGGAACAATATTGAATTGTACTTGAATTTTTGAGTTATATAAACATTAATTTTAGTCAAAGAACATTCACGACAGAATATACACAGATGGTTGTTTACCCAAACTGCAATTATGGTTTAATAACAACATGTTATACGTTGGAGTAGCAATATTTGTCGTTGGTATTTTGCAGGTAAGCTTTTGTTTTTATTTTTTTGATTTTAGGTAACAAATAGGCAGTTCTGGAGCTTGAGCTAATAAGCTTTGGTTTTTTGGCTTTACGATACAAAATAATGATATTTTTGGCCTAAAGGAAAGGATGAAATATAAATGATACGAGTACAGTATATATCACCAATACGAATGATCTTTAAAATTATAAATGATTAAAAATTAAAGTTTTAGTTTATGGGTATATGCTTTGCCCAAGACCTACGTACCGACATCTACGAGCAGAAGATTAAATGGACGAGAAGTGGCTATTAAAGGCCTTGACTGTTGAAGTCAATGAAACCTTTTATTGACTGTCAAACTATAGTTGGCAAAGTTGACGTTGCCCAATTACATGGATACTCAGGAGAATCACCTGCAGGCTTTAATTCTTATATTCCTATCACCTTATCAACAAGATATACGATGTAATTAAGTTAAACTACACAAAAAACTTTTTTTCTATTTTTGTTATTTTGTCTACGCATACTGTACTCTTTGCGCATTTAAGGTCCTACAATTCTTGTAATATGGTAATTGACTATAAGTAACTTTTAATAACTTATGATAAGGTAGTAGCCTACTGTCTTTAACTTTTTATGGGCAACGGTAGTAATGCTAATACCTTTCGATAAGGTGTCGATAGTACTGTCTTTACCTTATGATAAGGTGCTGATTTTACTGTCATCAACCTATGATAAGGTCTTTAAGTCAATTATGTTAAGGTACTTACTAATAATCATATATTTTGCCATATGCTTATCCGTGACATTTTTTAAGTGATAATATTTTTTAAATTGGTATTTTGTACATTCTAAGGTCTATGTTCTTTCAGTTTGGTCTTGTTGTTAATAAAGTAATAAACGGTTTTTTTGTTTAAATGGTAATTTGTTTGCTGACATAAAGTTGGACACTTTAAAATACATGAAAGTAAGATTAATCTTATTTGATGGAGAGAAGTATATATTATAAGTTACTACTATTACTATATACATTAATAATATTACTAAGGTCGCTATAGTTAAGATTATGTATCTGGCTTATCTGGGATAGGAAATACTGTTTTTTTGAGCTTTTTATTATGTTTTTGTTCATGAATTAGCGGACGTTTCTGTATAATAAAGCGTAAATACTAGGATTTCACAAATTTTTTAATCATGACTTTTTTGAAATGTAGGTATGTCCGAAACCGACACGAGTACGAACGGGCACAGTGCAGACGAAAGTGATAATGCCGATGTTAACAAAGATTTTGCATATTTTAATAGTAATAACATGTTAGATTCTGAAGACCAAGACGTTATCAATGAGATTGAGAAGCGAGTAAGTTTAGGAATTTTTTGATTATACTGTCTAAAACTATGTTATAATTTTAAAAGTAAAAAATATTTAAATGATATTATGAAAAAGTAAAAAACGGGCATATTGATGTGTTAGATTGTTCAAATAATTCTGTGCTCCTAGACCTTGAAGATTTGCTTTCAGAGGGGCACAGGTTTATTGAACAACCTAATCATTATTTAAAAAAAATAATTTCAGGAATTGGATGAACTACCTTTCGACTATCTACGCTCACTACAATCCAATCTTTCTTTATACTACTTGCCAATATTCATAATATTAATACCAATTTTATGGTATTTGACCACTTTTCCTTACCGAGCAGCTTTACAACCTTTAGACCCGACTTTGGACCGAATATTGGTGCCATACAACATTTCTATTCGCTCTAAACGACAATGGAGGAGTCCAATCGAAGAAGCGATCCAGAATCTTCAAAAACAACATGAAAATGTCAAATTCTTTATAAAATACGTAGTTTTGGAGGAAGAAGCTGGAAAGGAATTTGTTTTAGATCGAAATGGATTGAACTTGGTGGTTTTTGAAGGGAAGACTAATTTGATAAGATTTGTGAAGGAAGATTACGTTGTAGTTGAGCTGAAGGATCATTATCAGTTGGAGAATCTACTGAAGAAGGTATTAGGATTAGAGCGATTGGACATTATTCAAAAGACCGATGAAAACACGTTGGATGTGGTAAGAATAATAGTTTAAAGTTTTTTTAAACGCAATTTGAGTATTTTTAAATCATAATGTCACAAAAAATATGATTTTAAACTTTTTCTTTAGCAATCAATGTCCGTATGGGATCGAATGCCAATATCCAACTTTTATCATCTCCAACTTGTCTATCTACATGAAAATGGAGTCCGAAGTGCTGAGAAAGAAGAAAAGATTCAACGAGAAACAGAAAAGTTTGTCCAATTGGCTAGTAAATATGGTTTTTATGCTGATATTGGAATAGAACACTTGTGGGACTTTGATGTGGACGATTATATTGAGGTAGGTTAAACATTCCTCAAGCTTTAAATTGAGCTCAAGTTAAACAATAAAGTAGATTTATAACAAGTTAGAGTAGATGTATTTGATGCAGCTTGTTGATGTAATGCTAATATTGTTATAGGTTGATCAAAAGTCAGGCGAAAAGAGATTTAAGAACGACAAGCTCGAGACATTGACTACAGAAGTTAACAAAGGTACGGCGTGGACGAGGTCGCTTGGAATTGACAAGCCTTTGATTAAAATTGCTATATTCAGTTTGAATGATAATATAAACTTCTACAATAATGTAAGTTTAGACCTTTTTTAAATTGTAGTAGGTTTGCAACAGGTATTTTATTATTGCATTATCTTTAAAATTTATGAGGTTTATATTGTCAACAAACTTTTTTTGAGTTTTAAATGAGCTAAAGCGTTTTTTTCAGGGAAAGCTTCTAAACGGCCAAATCATAGCCTCATGGGGAGGTATAACATCTACATCAGTGAATTCAACCACTCAATCTCAACAAAAACGATTGTTCTCGGCTGTGGTAGATATTGTAAAAGCTCAACTTGGAGTATCAGAGCTTCCACACATTCTAACATTACTGGATGATAACAACAAAGCGACGGATGTTGTTGTAGATAGTAATGATAAAGGCTTACCAATGGAATACGAATGGAGAAGATTTGAAAAGGCGGCATTTTTGGAACATTGCCAGAGGGCACGGGCAGCTTTAAAGACGATTCACTTATTGAAGAAGAAGCTCGAGTTTATGGTGATTACGAGAGAAGTGGCAGTCCATTTCTATGAAGCTCATGAGATATTGGTACAGACCTTGTTGGAGGCTAGGGTGTACGGGAAGTTGGGTGAGTGTTATTTGTGTTTACTGCGTAGAAGTTTAAAAGTATGTTGAATCATATTGTAGTCAGGACGGTGCTACAGAAGTTGGGGTTAAATAGGTTCTTTTAAACAACTACTTTCAGACATCAAAAAGGCGATCCGTGCCCGCTTATTGGCCGAGAGGGCTGCTGCTCACAAGGATTTGATTGACAATCTCGATTTTCCATTTGAAAACCGTTATGCCATGTACATATCTCTGTTTCTACCAGTGTATCACATGATGTATGGAGGTGGAATGGCTGCTCTGGCTTTTATCGTATTCTACTTCAAGGTAAAGAGAGGCAAGGAAGTGAAAGGCAAGATGTTACCGTATTATTAAGGGTTTTTATAAAAGTTGAAAATGCATATCTTACTCTATTTATTGGATCATTTAAATAATTCTGTGCCTCATTAACTCTGAAAAGTTTTTTTGAAAGGGGGGCACACAATTTTTTAAACAACAGTCGTTTTTATTTTGATATTGTACCTGAGTACATTAGGTTGTTAAAATAGTACCTTGCCCCTTTTCAAAGCAAATTTTCGGGGTTAGCAGGCACAAAATTATTGGAACGACCTAATATATATCGGTTTAGGGTTAAGAATATACGTATGATAATATGGTCTTTTATGTCTTATATTAAATATGTACTCATGTAGGTGTAGTGGAACCCTCTAAAGGTCTATTTTTTATAGTAATTGTGACATATTGTAGTCTAAAACGTTACTTTTCGTATTTTACGAGTAGTTTTTAATAATTATATAGTATAACAGTATTTAATGCCTGCTTTCGGGTTTTTGTAGGTTTAATGTTAAAATAATGTTACCATGAATTTTTTTGTATCTAATTTAAAACTTTAATTTATTATTTATAAAAAACTTGTATAACATTATATTGTGAGAAAGACAAGACATAAGTTATATAAATGTTACTGATTCGTACACAAACTTTGATATGCTATAACTGATGATAGAATGGAGATTTATTATAGTAGACAGTAGTTATGGCCTCCAAAAGCGATACAATTTAAAGACGACAAAGTGGTGTAGCATAATTCTCTAAGGTGTTATATTTTGTAAAATATTGTAGTTGAGTATGAAAACTAGTTATTTGTACTTTGTATATGTCTCTCTTACACGATAACTATCAGTCAAAACGTTGTCCCATTGTTTTTGAAGTTGTTCAAAGTACTGATGGCCATGCTTCTTGTTGATGTTCAAGGTCTGACCCCAAACGTTATGAATCGTTGCTATCTGGGTTTTCTTTCTCAAACTGAAAGGGTGTACTTTTAGTAATGTATACATACTACGTATATAGGTATATAGTTAACACGCACAAAGTTTTAAAAAAACTTTAAATAAATGAATATAATGTTAGTTTTGAATTTTAAAACAGTTCATAAGCCTTTTCAATATTTATTTTAAAAAACTTACAAAAGCCGAGTTTGAATATCTTCAGTTTTCCAAATGTAAATAGGCAGTAATCCTTCGATTAGCTCGAATGTTGTGTCATGAACTTGATTTATTATCACACTGATATCTAATCGACAGCTGAAAATGACAATTTTGAAAAATAAGTTAGTTTTTGAAGATATAATCAATATATTACACTGTTCAAATACGAATGAGCTTTTTAAGTCAACTTTGGTTAATATTAGGTTGTTCCAATAATTTTGCGCCCTACTCAATGCAAATTTTAGGGGTGAAGGAGTACGTAATTATTTGAACAACTCAATATACGAGTGAACATGAAGATGATAAATTTTGGTGATGAAGTCATTTCACATGCCAAATAAGTACTTACCGTGATGGAAAAAATATAACAGAAAAGTAGAGAGCAATGGTTGAAACCACAACTCGAAATGCCACAATTTTGTTTAATTTTGATAGGATTCTGATCCCGCGTACTCTAATTGACATCTGAAATTTTACTTAATTTGTAAAATCGTAGGAGAGGAGGTAACTATAGTTCTAGCAGATAGAGATCAACTTTTTACTGGTTTTTTCAAATTTTTTGCAATTTTCTATAGAGAGGATCTTTGGCAAATAAAAAAAATATTTTTCCTAAGGAAAGGTATCGATGGCTTCAAAAACTTACCTTTGTTTTAAACCTTACATGTCCAACATGACCATTGTATGCGTTGCGGTTTACATTTTGCAAATGTTGAAATACGAACATACTTATGACTGATGCACTACCGTAGCACAAACCGACCATACGATATGTTTTGCCTACTGAAAATTATATGTGTAGTAAAGAAAGTTATTGCAAGTGGCTAACTCTCTATAAAACTTAACTACTGCAGTTGGTATTTTAAGCATATTTCTCAGCTACGGTAATTTCTCAAGTTTACAAATGTAAAAAACGTACTATGATTAAAAGTAAAAACCGTTTGAAGTGCCGACAAACCCCAAGTGCCCAACACAGTAGAAACTAGTGCTAGCGTCTTGAACTCCGGATATTTCAATCTTAGAGGTAAAATTATAGCCATCAATGGCACACTGATATAGTGGGTGTTAAACCCTATGTTGTGAATCCATCTAACAACAGATAAATCAACTTCATATTCAGGTAATACCATCGAATAAAATAGTAAGATCATTCTGGCTGGCATATACATGCAGCTGCCAACTGTTTGTTGCACTAGTAAAGTCTTGGCTGCTTTATTTAGAAGACCGCTTTTTACTGCGGATACTGTAAATAGTAGGGTGGTAAGTAAAGAAAATATAATTGCAATATATTCTACTACCATAAGGTAGATATTGACAGTAGTAACGTCATGTTTTTGGTTAAAGTGAATAAAAGTACAGTTCATTTTAAAAGTAGTGTCTAACAGCTTAAACTTAGAGCCATAAAGTAAAGTTTACTATTACAATATACAAAGCAGTAGCACAGTTAAACCTTTCACTACAACGTACATTACAAAGTTAAAGTATTGAAGTGTCGGCAGGGTCTTGTAATGTTCAAGTAGACCCAATTTAAGTTATAGGTTGTAAAGCTAAGAAAATAGATGAGAGCAAACTCATATTGTAAGTATAATCGTATGTTATGAAAGGTAATATAAAGTAGTGCAATTTTATTTCACTCAAGAATTTGTACTTTACATTGGCTTGACAGGCTAAGCGTAATGGTTTTGCATACAATAACAGGTACTTTTTTGTCTGAAGACCATATATTGCTTTACAACTTAAAATTATTCCTTTCTTTATGTAAAGTAAGTGTAGAATACTATATTTCCTTGGTAAAATAAGTGTGAATAATGTGCAAATTAAGTCACTTTTATTTTGCGTGTATTATTATTCTATAAATTGAGTATTGACACGTTCTTTTATGATTTTTAAAGTTGTTTAGAGGACTAATGATCATGACTTTGGCAGATTTGCAAGGTTTGACCCCAAACAGCATGAAGCGGTGCTATTTCTATGTTATTTTTCTTCCTCAAACTGAAAGGTTATATTATATATTATATTAATATGTATATATAAATAGATATAATAATAAAAAAATACAAAAACTTACATTTATAATTTTTACACCTTATAAGCAAACAGAATTTGCAAAAGCTGATGAGTGGGGAATGAGACCCGGCATCAGCTCCGTCCGTTGCAAAGCCTGATTCCGTCCTCTTTTGTTATCTCTTACGTATTGTCAAAACATTAACATATCTACATACAATCCCAGGGATGACATCGTCAGGGAAGTTACGGTAAACTTAATTTGCCCGTCATTTGTTTAGCTGGGCTGGACGGGGCTGGTCAGCTGGTTACAGTGCAAGATGTTAAACTTTTGTGTCGTGTGCAGAGCTTTGGATAAGACAGATGTTAGGCTCCGACGGCCGACGTACTGCCGCTGGCCACGGTAGACTATTTCAATTACAATTTGAGCAATTCCGCTGTAAATCTATACATGAACATGAAAGGGAGTTGTCGTATCCTGGAGGCCCTCTATAGGTTGGTCAGTATAGCTCTTTGGTTATATTGTACAAAGCTCTTCATATGACGATGGGTTACGCTGGCATGGATCTCCTACAACCAATAGTCGGTGGATGCTAAATGAACTGGCGGTTACGCCCGCTAATGATGTAGTCACTACGCCACCTTCGTCAAACAGCAACATTTGAACTGGCATTTGATGTTTGACCAAAATATAGATGATGCGAGACGTAATGACTACGAAATTGTTCGTTTGGACCTTGTGTTGACTTGTTTCAACCCACGGCTCAGCTCACTTTCCAATGGCTTAACGTTGTCGGCGTTGTAAAGCACACTGATTACGGAGTGCGTGTAGAATCGTTCAATGAGCCCGATTTGGGAATTCCGAACTACACCGGATTACGACACCAAAGCACTCGTGATGGTAGTAATGAGCGTTTGGCTAGTGCCATCAACAAGTTTACGATTACGGAGTTCAATTGCTACTGGCAATTTAACCAAACCAGAAGAATACATAGCTTCTACGATTGCTCCCATCAGGAACGTTTTTCCTGAACCGATGAGGGCCTTGGCCATTGAAGCTGTTTGGTCCGTTGTGAGAGCCTCAGTTACGGTTTTTGAGACAAATCCACGTTAGATTTTTGAACCAGCTGGCGGTATTTAGTAACAGCTTTGGGACTGTCGTCAAAAGGACTTTACGCGAGTCGTGACATGTTTGAAGCGGCTACGCTGTACGGCCGCGACTGTTTACGGTCCAGCCGAGTCAGATCCTACGCCGGCGGGTTTGGTTAAGACCCTTCCGTGCGTCGGGAAACAGCGTAGGTGAATTTTGTTAAGATAATAGTGGTTCTTGACCCTTTGGGGTCGTGCGAGACAAAAACTTGACTCGGAAAAATAGTATTTTGTGGCCCCATGGGGCTAAACCATTCCACCTGAGACCCGCCGTAGGGCATAACGCAAACCCCCCCCCCCCCCGAAAACTGGCCATCAAAATTGGCCTAAAAACTATCCGCGGTTTTAGGACGCAACAGATCCTTCCAGTGATGACATAAATGCCATTCCCGTTCAAAGCCCGGAGTTTGGCCAAACTAGGTCCAGAGGGTAGGCTGGCTTAGCTAGACTCAGATTCGCTTCTCTTGACAAAAAAAAATTGTAATCTGAAACTATATTGGCCTACCTCAGTCAGCGATTGAGCCTGAAAAATAATACCCTAAATTACTCCCCAAAAGTGGAAGAACAACCTCTGCCTTTCCTACTACGACGCTCCGACTGGCGTTAATCATATGATAAGTGCGCACTTCAAATTAAGATAATTTTCCCCCCAAAGATACTTTGTGGTGTCTGGGCCACGGTTCCTTTTAACAATAAACAGCGTTTTAAGCCGGCTGGGTCGACCTCGAGTGATCGAAATTTGCGCATTAAAGAGTCAGCTATTGTAAGCGACAGTGGCCAGCCCGCGATCTGCCACGATCCGGCCGCCTTCTGCCTTAGCGGCGGTTTCTGCTTTTTCTTATCGAAGAGAGCCTAGACGACTACAAAAAAGGCAAAAATTTTTTAAACAGTTTTTTACTGTATTTTTAAAATCTCAAAAATTAATTTTTGATTTCAGAAAACCCAATTTTTCAAAAATTCTAATTTTTGTTACCTAAATCTCCGTTTATAACAATGTAATTTGTATTGTAAGAAACCTATCGTCTTGACGTGTCTTTGCAAAGCGACTACAACGAAAGTACTTTTATTCTCGATACTTCCTTACAGATTGAGTTCTAATTTAAAAATCTATTTTATTTGTAGGTAACACTACATTGAGTGCAACGCCGGTGCTCGAGAACTGTCTGTTAGGACGTTGTTCCATTGTTTTTCGAGTTGTTCAAAGTACTGATGCCCGTTTGCTTTCTCTACTTTCAAGTTTTGGCCAAATACATTTTGAAGCGATGATACACAGTGTGTCTTCCTCGTACTAAAAATGAGTACGTGTCAAGTTTAAAACTTTACTATTTGTAGTTACAAGCTTAAAAATGTTTAAAAAGAAAGTCACAAGGCACTGAGTATGGTGGTTTGGCATTTTTACGTAAAAGGTATTGTATAAAATGTAGTTTCATGAAATACTTACAAAAACAGGTTTTGAACATTTTCCGTTTTCCAAATGTAAATTGGCAGTAAACCTTCGACCAGCTCAAATGAAGTATCATGAAGTTGTGACACAACTCGGCTGTGATCAAATAAACATCTAAAACAACGGTTTTTATCAATTGTACTAGTTATACTTTCAAAATGAAAGTTTTTTATATTATAAGGTTATAAAAATCATTACAATCTATAAAGGTCGTGCCTTCTCCGCCTCTTACTATCAGACCCAGCAACACAATCTCTTCTCCCAAAGCCACCTTGTCATCCCGCTTTAAATAAAATCAGTTTTATCATTTACACGTTAACAAACTATACTTATAACCGTAGTAAACATCGCTTACCGTGATGGAAAGTAGATAAGTGAAAAGTAAAGTCCAATAGTCGAAACAGCAACACGAAATGCAGCGATTTTGTTAATTTTCGACAGTATTCGAATCCCACGAACTCTAATAGAAGTCTGAAATTAAATCGATAAAATAATATATTGTAACTTCTGTATAACGAGCTTCTCTATGACAAAAATTTCCGTATAACGAATAGTTTTTAAATCCTAAGCTAAAACTACACAGTGCACTTGAAACTAACAACGAAACTGCTTCATAACGAACAAAACTTAAATCTCTAGGCAATTCGTTATACAGGAGTTTCACTGTAATTTTAATGTTTTTGCTAGAAATGACTTTACTTTTGTGCCTAACCAAAAAATTTTTAGATGTTCAAGGTTAAACACCTTCAAATTAAAAAAAAATTAAAAAAAGTAAAATTAAATTTCTAAAACTTACCATAGCTTTAAAATTGACATGTCCAGTATTGTCATGGTACGCTTTTCTGTTCACATTTTGCAAATGCTGAAACACCACCATACTGATAACTGCCGCTCCTCCATTGTAAAGAAAGACATTGCGAAACGCTTCGTCTACTAAAAATATTATTATGTATGATACAAGTAGCTTATATTATTAGATACAAAGCGTTTGTAACAAAAAATAAAACTCAAGAAATGACATACAGTTAACACCAGAAGATAACAATGCTTGAATTGTTGACAACACCCATGTGCCAATAACTGTACATACTAAGGCAAAAACTTTAAGGTAAGGGTACTTTATGCTCACTGGCAAGCTTATGGCCGTTAATGGGACACCAAGGTAATGTGTGTTAAAGGCTGTGTTGTGAATTGTTTTTAACAAGTCAACATCAATGTTAAGGTCAGTTAGCCACATGATTTTTAATAGTATAACTACTCTGGTAGGCATGTATATACAAGTTCCAACAGCTTGCTGAACTATTAAAGTCTTTGTTACTCTACTGATAAGACCACTTTTGACGGCAGATATAGTAAATAACAAACTAGTGACCAAGGAAAAGGCTATAGTAATATCTTCGACTATCATCAAGTAAAAGTTAGCAGTGTTAGGGGGTCTTTTATGACCGGTTTGACTTAACGAACAGTTCATATTGTGAATACGTTAGTTGTAAAAGCAACTTCTATCTAGTAGTATAGCCTTAGACGTATAGAGAAGAACAATTGAACATAAGATACCTAATAAAAAAACCGGTAGCAGAATATTAAAGGGTTTAACAAAATACTCGTAAGAGAATAGAATGGAAGTGAAATGTAGTGAAATTGTGCGTTTTATTATCTTCAAAATTGTATTTCATAATTAAGAAGTCATAATGTAACGGTTTGGGATACAATATCGCATGTGCTATTGTAGGGACATTTTATATTGTAAATTTTTGTGTTTCACAACTTAAAAGAAAAGTGCCTGACCTGCCTCGCTCTGATTTACTTTAAACTTTAGATAGGAAGACCATGTACATAGAGAAAACGACCGGTAAAGTTTTGTAACAGAACTTTTTGCGCACCCTGTAAAGCCTTCAGTAAATTACTAAACTGTGTTTTTCAGCCAATCTCGAGAAAATTCAAATCCAATAGTTATGTTTTGAACTTTCCGCCAAATTGGCATTGTGTTTCAAGCTTATAACTGTTATTTTTTGACTATTAATCAGTTTTCTTTGATATATAATACTAGTAGAAAACCTTCAAATAAACTTACATCTTTAAAATTGCAAATGTAGCTCTGAAAAGTCGAAAAAGTTGCTTGAAACACATTGCCAAATTTGCTAAATTAGCGGAGAATTCAAATATTTAAATTTTAAATCTCAAAAGCGCTAGCTAAACATTTTTATGTGCACTCAGTGTTTTGCCCGGACCGGTCCGGAGCGTTTTTCAACGGTCCGGTCCGGCGATTTTCGGATCCGGTCCGGTCCAAAATTCAAATTTTTGGGTCCGGTCCGGATCGGTCCAAACCCAAAATTTTTTTTTTAAAACAACAAAGAGCGCTAAAACTGCTTTCTTTACGTTTAAAAACACTTAAAAATATGTTTTCTTTGCAATTTTTAGAGCAGTCTTAATAAAATTTAAAAAAATTTTTCTTCCGGACCGGTCCGGAGCTTTTTCTTCGGTCCGGGTCCGCAGGTTTTTGGGTCAGGTCCGGTCCGCAAAAATTTGTGTTTCGGTCCGTCCGGTCCGGTCCGGCAAAACACTGTGTGCACTATTGATGATGCAAAGAATTTATATCAATAAAAACTGTGAGCTGTTTTTGAGTGGAGCAGGTTACTTTCCTTTTTAAATTACAAAATACACAGAACAGTTCATATTCCGTACTTAAAAAATATGTGTTAGTCATAGCAAAATAAAAAATATTGTCTTTTGTATTATTTTTGAGAAACATGGTTGTTTTGTAAAAAGTATGACTATGTTTGTATCGTTAATATTTTTTAAAATCACATTGCTCTAAACCAATACTACAATAACTGTAAATACTTAGCTTATATTGTTAATATTGAATCTGTTTTAGTGCAATACATTACTCTGTATGTTATAGACATAACCAATTGGTTGTTATTGAGCTTTTTTTGTTGACTGACTTAAATAGTTGACCTATTTGTATACATAATTATTACTGTCTTATTTTTCAGTGGAATTAGCATAAAATTAGTCAACAGACAACCTGAAAGTACGTTAATATAAAAAGACAATAAACAACGATATCAAGTTTAAGTATAAAATACTCTAGCAGAATTGGCAGACATTCAAAATAGAATTTACTGCAAAACTATTAAAAGTTACAGCAGTTGCTACTAAATTACTGTTAGTCTTACTAACTTGCAGTACTAATTAATAGTATAATCTGCAGTACAATAGTAAATAATAGTATAGTCTAATTATAAGTCACTCTAATAGAATGTTGTTACTATGGAAAAACCTACTGATAATGATGGGATGGGTTAATGAGATCGAAAAGTTTGATACGAAAGAAGTCTTGACAAAGAAACAGACTGATTATATTGTGAATGCTCACAACTCATTTCGTCAAAAGTTCTCGAACGGAAAAGTTTATCTGAATGGTGTGCAATGGCCTCAGGCAAAGAATATTTATAAATTAGTAAGTCACTCGAGTACAATTCAAAGTAAAAGCGATGTATTATACATGATATCAAAGTACTGTAATATACCAAGTTGAGCCAAACATGGTTAAAATATGTGTAATATTATATTATACCTTATAGACATACAGAAAACTGATGGCTTCAGCAGCACAAGATCAAGTAAATAGCTGTAGCTTTAACTCGAACCTAGCTCGGTTTGGACAAAATATTTGTATATTAGACAAGGATGACCATGGTATGTTGTTTTCGGCCAAAAGTAAACGCTATATTTAAAAAATATGATCATTATGGCAATTATTAAGCTGTTCAAATAATTATGTGCCCCCTCTCCAAGCAAATTTACTATGATAAGGAGAATATCTTGAACAACCTAATATCTCTCGTAATAAATAGCCTACTGTTAAAGGCTCAATTACAAGTTATATTACAGATAATATTTAAAAAAATGTTATAGACGATGTAATTGAATCATGCTTCGATAACTGGTCAATGAGCGCAATCAGGTTAAATCCTCAAACTGATTTGACATTTGATAAGAACATGTCATTGTCAAGTAACTTTACTCAGTTATTGTGGGCCAGAACTACGCTTATAGGGTGTGGTATTAATGACTGTAGAAAGAATGGCAAAGATGTTACTATTTTTCTTTGTAATTACTTCCCTGCGTAAGTTTATTTATATAAAAACTGGTTTTGTATTGATATAACTCATATATTGAGTACCCATGGAAGCAAAAATACTTTCACCAAACGTTATAATACATATATATCAAAATACTATACGAGACTAACATCAATAAAACCTTAAACTTTAGAGGGAACGTGTTGAATGAACAAGTGTACGAGCCAGGAAGACGTTGTGTTTATGATGAAGACTGTAATTTGCATAAAAGTTCTAAATGTGAAAAGGAAGGGCTATGTTCAACAACACACGATCGTGTCATCGGCGATCGACTACCATTCAAAATTCAAACAGAATGGGACGAGTTGTAATGTTTAGAGGTACTGATAAAATAAGACAGATTTAAATAAAAATAGCGTAGACGTTGACGAGTTTTTGCTATTTTTTAATTTATATAACAATTTTTAAAAATTAAAAAATTATTTAGATTTGCCTTTTATTGTAGTAGTTAGTTCTTGCATTACTAGTAGATCTTGTCTTTACAACTTGTTAAAGAAATTAGTTAAATTTCGATTTTTGAGAATTTTGATCGAATCTTGTAGCGCAAACTTGGTTCGTAGATTAATTTTATCTTTTCGGGCTTCAGCAACATCTTTATCCACAGTAGTATCTTCAGAAAAAAACATAGCCATAAGGGCCATAGCCTGGGCTTGATGGGCAAACGCCAGTTCATATAACTCTTGTAACTAAAACTGATAATGATATGTTTTCAGAAAAGGCTCAGAAGTAATTTGAGAACAGGGTAATATATATTCTAACCTAAGTTTCTAAAATTATTTGTTTGGCTTTGACTTAACAGTTTCAGCTCCTTAATCCTAGATTTACATGTATATATGTATATTATTACTAATAACTCACATTTTCCAACGTATACGGCACTTGTTTCCCTCGCTTTTTGTATAAACTGACAATTTTTTTATAGTAAGCTTCTAAGAATAGTGGAGTAACTTCACGTCGAACTTCTGCATCAGCACAAATCGTCACAAATCTAGCAACATCAAACATTGGTGATCCTGAAGTAAAATATTATTATTTCAAGATACATTTTAGATTACAGTTTATTGACTAAAACTAAAGCTAAAATTTGTAAAACAGACCTTCAAACAATGTTTGAAAATCGATGTAAGCCAGGACTTTAGTAGCTATACTGCCATCAGGATTTCTATTAAAGAAGATGTTGTTATTCCAAGTATCACCATGTATCAGAGTAGTAGCATTGAGCTGTTCAGCTCGTGTTTGTAAAGCGTACTTACTGTAGGTCTTGTAATCCATATTAATTAGCTTTTCTACATCTTGTTTTAGTTCTAAAGAGCATTGGAATAAAACAATCGTATTTTACAAAAAGTTTAAATTTTTTTGAAATTTGAGTTTCAAATTCAAATTGATTTTTAAAATTTACTGTCTTGACGTTTTACCTGAACAACAATCTGCCATTCTCTTCAATCCACTAATCTGAGCGTCTCTCAAATGTTCTCCCATGTTAATCTGACTATCAAACTTGTCTTTCCATTTCTTATCATCCAGTTGAGCAATATAATCATGAAAAACTGCAAAATCTTCAACAAAACTGATACACTGTTCTTTCGTAGCTGAAGAATATTCACTTAGTGAGACTCCATCAACAGCACTCATTATGATAATGCCTGAGGGCTCCTTGTCCAATCCATTGTCATATGGTACTCCACGTTTTTGCACAAAATAAGTTTTTGGTGCTGGAAAGTTGTTAAAGCCGGAAATAAGTTGTAGAGCATCGCATTCTGTGTTGTGACAAGTTGTTAGGTAGTCCTTCCAGAAGGCCGGGTCTTCCTGAAAGTTAGAAAGTTTAAAATTTAAAAAATATTTTTTAAATTATAATTTCTTTTGATTTTTGTATTCCAACCAAAATTCCGGCCCCCAGGGCAACTTCGGCTGCAAAGGTGGAGCCAAAGTCGGGCCTAAATTAAAAAAAAAGCAAAGCTAGAGCTGAAGCCAAAGTCAAAAAAATTAAATTTCAAAACTCTAATTTCGACAGAAACTATCTGCCTAAAACTATTCATACACAATCATAAATTAACATAAAGCAAGCAGTTAACTCAACTTACAGCTTCAGAGCTCTTCCTGGTATTGATCCAATTCTCTAGAGCATCGAAAGTTGGCACTTTTAAAGCCACATTGAATGATCTATCGTTATCAAAGGTAAATTTTACAATAAATACTCGAGAAAAGTAACCTTTGCCTTCTGATATCGGATTTACATCAACCTAAAAGTTAGATTTTGTAAAATTCTGCGAACAACTTTTTGTTTGTAAACACTTGACCATGCGTCAAGTTTTTCACTAATTGTTTCTTTTTGCAATAAATCCTTTGGCTCCATTAGACCTGTAAATGGGTAGGACTGGACTGAATTTTCAGCCTGATATTTTTTGAATTTACCTGGGCCTTGCCATGCTCAGTCCAGTCCAGGCTCGGGCCAGACCTAGTGACTGTTTTTTTCAGGTTTAGGGTCTATATGTATACCTTACACTTCATAGTTAAGTAAAATCACAGACAGCTTTGCCAACAAAAAGCTAGCAAAACTGTCCAAAGTTGTTCGAAACTAAAAAAACTAACCTCATCAACCTTACTATTTCCTTTAGTACTAACATAATCATCGCAATGCTTCTCCAGTGTCTTTAGAATCCACCGTAACGAATGACCAGTATTACATAGTTCTTGATCTAGAGTTGCATCAGAAATTGGAATCATTGATTGAGAAAAAGCAATTGCTAAATAGACTACTTTCGCAAAATGACGTTGAAAAGGGTTGTTATGAAAAACGTGTAGTAATTTTTTAAAAAGTTATTGATGAAGGGAAGAGTCAAAGGTTTACGTAGAAGATCAATGATAACATTTTTATGAAATTTGGAATTTTCGAGTTTTTGTCGTAGATTCTTAGGCTTATAAGTCTTATAGGGGGCATATAGGCTTTTGTTATTTTTTTTGGCCAAAAGAGATGCTTGTAATAATAAAAAGACATAAATCGCCAAAAATTTTTATTGCCAAGCTTTTGTTACCTAAAAAATAAGAAAATACGACAAAACGTATATTTATAAAACTTTTTTAAACTTGTACAAAGACCGAAGACATATTAAAAGTACGCTCTGATTGAAATTTTTGAGCTGATTCCTAGTGGGGAAGCTTTGGTACTTTCTTTGCGAGATATTCAAGTTTATTTTGTACATTGCACGAAACAATAGCTTCAAAATATTAAAGCTCTTTTGGAGTAGGCAAAAATCTAAACTTTGCTAAGTTCCGACTTTCCCATACTTTCAAAGCATCAATCATGACAAATTTACACCTCAGATAACTTTTGGCTATTTGTGCTTCGCGTACTTCTTCAGTATATAACCCTACACCTTCTTTCTCCATAAATGTGGCCATCATGGTGTACATGTAGGCTTGGTGAAGGTAGGCTAGGTCGTAGAGCTCGTGGCACTGAAAGACAGCATAAATTAAGGGTTGAAATTTACTTAACTAAAACTATATAACCATTATCATATGTTAATCATAAACTTTTAAAAAATGGGGTATAACCGCTTATTTAAAAAAATTTTTTGAGCTAGTTTTTAGGTATTAAAACTTTAACATAAAATTCGAAACTTACAGCTTCTAAAGTGTACGGCAAATTAGCACCACGTTTGCTGTACAACTCTGTCAATCGATCGTGGTATGTTTTAAGTGCAATATCTTTGACTTCTCTTCGAACTTCACCATCAGCACAGAACGTAAAGAAGCGAACAATGTCAAAGAGAGGGTTACCTTAAAGTATATTAATATATTTTTAGTTTTAACGATAACTATCGTACCACTAACAGAAAAAATTATTCTATGCGCAAAACTTATATATAATATTTAACCTATAACAATATAATATGTCGCATTTGTCTACTGAAGCTGTGTAAATATTATTTACCTTCAAATCCAATTTGATAGTCAATATAAGCCAGAACTTCATCTGACACACTGCCATCTTCGTGTTTCTTGAACATAATGTTGTTCGTCCACGTATCACCGTGAATATAAGTCCAAGCATTCAGTGCGGCTGGTCGATCATGTAAAGCATACTTTGTGTAGTTTTGCCAATTCAGGGTTTTAAAGATGTTGGTGATTTCAGAAATTTCTAAAAAAGCTTAATATTTTATGTTTCACAAGTCGAGTCAACAGACTTTGTTTTACTTCCGCACTCTTACAAAGCTACAGTTCTCAGGTTACTCTAACATTTTTAATACTTATACAAATCCTTACCCGGAAAAACTTGATGAACTTTATCAATAGCACATTTGGCTGTCTCAAACATATCCTTCTGCCAATGCAATTCACTTTGAAACTTGTTCTTCCATTCTTTTTCTGGCATCTGAGCGATGCAGTCATGAAGCGTTGCAAAGTCTCTGACAAAGTTTAGACATTGTTCTTTAGTGACAGTTCTAAAAGCACCCAAGGAAGCGCCATTTATGGCTGTCATCATGATTATTCCTGGCGAATCTCTGTTTGGTAGGCCAGATTCAAAGCCTCGGTTCGACTTTTCAGTGTAATATATTTTGGGCGATGGAAAGTCTTTGAATGAGTCTACCATAGTAATGGCATCACATTCAATATTATGAGCATCGGCCAAACTTTTTTTCATTTCTTCAGCGCTTGCTTGCTGAAAATCTTGGTTTAGTGGGGTTATTGATCAAAATGTTAAGGCAAAATATTGGTAATGCTTTGCATTATTTTGTCCAAATATAAATGAGCTAAAATATATAAAAATTACGTTAACTCATTCAGAATTAGACAATGGATTAATACTAATTTTCCAAATTTAAATTTTTTTTTATTTAACACTTCTTATGGCAACTTACATCAACTCCATCCATAGTTTTGAATTTCTCTTCTAGGATATCGTATGTTGGTACTTTCATGGCCAAAACATAATCAGTAAAATCGTCGAAAGTAATTTTTGTGATAAAGACTCTCGACAAGAAGCCTTTGCCATCAGAAACGTCGTTGGCTTCTATCTAAAAAGCATTATTTAAAAATTATTTTTAGCTCGCAGTATCTAATTTCGTATTTTACATTTTTCACATAACCTCAAATTCGAAATTCAATGCTTACTCACATCAACAACTTTTCTATCCTCTTTGGCAGCAACATAGTCGTCACAATGTTTGTCCAATTTGTTCAAAACCCATTTCTTTGAGAATCCAGTAATATCCAATTCTTCGTTTAAATTCAACTCTTTAACACCCATTATTACTCAAATTTTAAAACTTTTCAAATTCTAAAAAGTGTTCTCAACTTTATTTAGATTGCCTTTTATACCGTGTTTTCGGTCACTTTACTCGCGATGATTACCACGTTGCTGTAACTCTTTGACAGCCCAAAAGTTCTGTCACTTTGAAATGGAAGTAAAGTTTTTTACAACACACCTTGTGATTGTCTGTCTTCGTAGTTTGGAACTCCGATGATACGTACTTTATACAATTTACCAGTTTTTGTCTTAAATTGCCTATTTGTTGGAAATGCGAATTGAGAATAGTATTTTAGTGTGTTATTATAAAACTATGAGGTTTTTATATAAATTTTTTATTTTTATAAGAAGTGCTCAATTTGAAAAATTCTTTAAACGTTTTTTATTGAAATATTTTGTAAATAAAAGAATTTTTTCAAGGTATTTTGTTGCAGTACTAAGAAAATCGAGATCAATTAAGGACAGAGCTGGACCTGCCTTACTCTGACTTCAAACTTTTTATATAGGTAGATCATTTAAATATAAAACCTTCAGCAAATTACTAATTTGTGCTTTCCAGTCAACCTCGAGAAAATCGAGATCAAAAAACTACGGTTGGAATTTCCCTCAAAATTGGCATTTTGTTTCAAGTTATGACTTTGTCACTTTTGGTCTTTTAATCATTTTTCCTTGACCTACTGATATAAAATTTTAAATAAAATTGCGTTTTAAAATTTGGAAGCCTATCTTATCTGCAACATTAAAAAAAATTGCTTGCAACACAAAGCCAAAGTTGCTATTTTAGCGGTAAATTTAAATAGCTAGGTAATATTCTGTGAGATAAGCAGGTTATGTGCTTCTTCCCTAGTTTTTTCGAAAGATGACTTTTTATTATTTTTTTTGTAATTTTGACACGACAATGTAAACAGTCAACTTCTCATATAAAGAATTAAATTGACCTTTGTTATTTTTTACAAACTTTTGCTTATACATTCACATTATGTCGACTATATACAAGTTATTGTTTGAATCACTTTCTTATTTGTTTCTTTGGTCAAAGTTCCAAACCATAAAGTATTTTAATTTTAATTATTTTACAAAAACTTCTTTTCGTTAAACTTGTCTAGCTTTTTGAACCCAAGTTGTGCCACTTTTTGTATTTAATCGCATTTATGTTAGTAACAGTCAGTCATGTTTTTTTATCAGGGATTAAAAAAGAAAGGTCTGTGTTTTCAGCTTTCTTAATTTTTTTTGTTTGTTGTGTGTTAGTGTTTGCACTTTTAATTTCACAAGAGTAAGGTAACCTTGGACTCTGGAAATGCAATAAAAATATAAGGGGTGGTTACGGCCGGGTTGTGTTTTCCCTCTTTTTAATTTCATAAAGCAAATTGAAAAATAAAAATAATTTTCAAAAAAAGTTACAATACAGCAAAACTCTTATATAACAAATTGCAAAAAGATTTTAAAATTGTTCGTCATAAAAGAGTTTTGCTGTACGAGAGTTTTAAATGCACTGTATACCCGAGAATTTAAAAGCTGTTCTTTGTAAGTGAGTTTGTTATAACACGAGCTCTTCTGTATGTTACAGTTATTTATTCTTCAACTTCAGTTAAAAAAAGACCAAGTTTTTCCAGATTATAGTCATGTAATATCTTGAAAGCATCTTGTATTAAAAACTTCATGCGTAGTGCCACTTTAGCCGACTGTGCTTCTTTCACATCTTCTGAAGCATCACCATCCATACCCAGAAATTTCAACAGTGAACATGCTAACAAGCTCTGGTGAGCGAATGCTAGATTGTAGAGTTCTTTTACCTAAAATTTGTTTTGTAGTTTATTGAATGGTTATATGATTTGGTAGTTCTATCTTAAATCACTTACATCTTCAAAGCTATACGGCACTGTAGCTTTGCGTTCTGCATAAAGCTCTGTTAACTTATCATAATATTGTTTTAATGTTGGTATAGTTGCTTCACGTCGTATCTCGCCATCAGGACATACACACATAAAACGTGCAAGATCAAATAATGGGTTTCCTTAAAGTAACCTTTTCTTAAAATTTAAATTTCGCAATTTATTTTTGTTTTAAAATACAGTAAAACTTCTGTATAACAAACTGATGTATAACAATCAACTTTTAAGTCCGCAAGCAATTTGTTATACAGAAGTTCCACAGTATAAAAGAAGGATTTTTGATCTAACAACAATTGGTCTCGCAACGAAAACAATAGGTTTAGTAAATCAAGCAATAAATTAAATCAAAAATGTCAAAGAAAGGGCGAGCATAGGAAGAGTAAATTTAGTTTATAAAAATTATCACCAAGCATGTATTTTATTTACCTTGAAACCCGACTTGATAGTCGATATAGCAAAGTATCTCGTCCGACACACTACCATCACCATTTTTCTTAAACATGATGTTATTGGTCCAGGTATCACCATGAATATAAGTCCAAGCGTTCAATTCAGCTGGACGTTCATGAAGTGCATATTCAGAATACTTACCCCAATCAACCTTTGTCAGTAGTTCAGTACTCTTTGAGAGATCTAAAGGCATTTATCACAGTAATATGGATATACATAATATATATTTATGCTTTTAGTATAAGATTACAACAGATAGTACCTTATGATAATAAACTTGCCCGAAAAACTTTGTTCCAGCTCTTGAGCGGCTATTTTACCATGCTCAAACACATGTTCATCAAAGTGTAAAGTGCTATGAAACTTTTCTTTCCAATCCCCCTCCGGCAATTGCGCTATGTAATCTTGTAATATAGCAAAATCTCTGGCCACATTCAAACATTGTTGCACAGTAACTGATTTGATAGCTCCAATTGATGCCCCATCCACAGCTGCCATTATAATAATACCTGGCGATGTTTTACCTGGTAATCCACAATCTCTGCCTTGATTTGACTTTTCAGCATAATAAAGTTTGGGCGATGGAAAGTTTTTAAATTTCGATACCATAGCAATGGCATCACATTCAACGTTATGAGATTCGAGTATGAAGTCGTTCATTTTTTCAATTTGTTCTTCCTAAATTGACATTGATATCAGCTTATGTTTAGGTTACGTTTCTATGCTCAGTACTCTAACTTAATTTGACATTTGTGGCTTTGCACAGATTATATTTGTAAAATACGAAAAATTTAACTGCGATTTTATCATTTACCTACAAAAAGTAAAAATATGAAATAAACTTACAGAAATTCCTTCCACGCCTTTCATTTTTGATTCAATAATTTCGTATGTTGGTACTTTCAGTGCCAACACATACTCAGTTTGGTCGTCAAATGTGATTTTTGTAATAAAAACTCTGGACAAGAACCCTTTACCATCTGATACATCATTGGCTTCAATCTAAAACTTTATGTTATAGTTAGGTTAGTAAGAGTATTATGTTGTGTATAAAGTTTTGGACTCCCCTCAATAAGAATTTTTGAAAAATCAAGGAAATTTACATAAATAAATTTGAAACCTAAGGTAGAGCCCGGCTTTTTTCTTCCTCCACACTGAAAATGTTAAGAAGTGATAAGTTCTTTGGCATAAAAAATATGCTAAAAAATGACTAACTTCAACAAAAACAAATTCTTACCCACTCTCTCAACTTCTCCTTCCTTTAAAAAATCAGGATTTATTATATCGACTTACATCAACAACAGTTTTACCATCTTTTGCCTTTCTATAGTCATCACAATATTTTTCCAGCTTATCCAATACCCATTCTATTGAAAAGCCTGTGATACTCAATTCTTCAGCCTTGGTTAAGCCTTTTACCACCATATTAATCTTTGCAATCTAAAAACTTGTCATCATTTTAACAACGAATATAAGAAATTACATTTCAAATTTTAACGACGCATTATTACCTATCGGTTGAACGAACGGCAATTATGACTTCCAAACGCTGCCTGATCAATCAAAAACAGTCTTTTTTACAATTGCAGAAACTGTCAAAAAAGGAAGTGTTACTCAAACAACAAAACTTGAGTTGAGTTCACTGCGCTCTTGATCTGCTTTTTAGAGTAGAAATGCTTATTGTAAAACACTTATTTTCAAACTTCTTTACGCCCACAACAAAAAACAATTATTTACTTTAATGCCAATTTTAAATTGACTTTAAAAAAATGTTACTCCATTATAACTCCTCTATAACAAAAATCCCTTATAACAAACAACTTTAAGCCTCCGGTTATCACTAGACAGTAAATTTAAAACTCTTCTGTACCAAAAGTTTTTAATAACAAACGAATCGAAAATCTCTGCTTTTCCGTCTTTCCAGGTATTCGTTATACAAAAGTTCAACTGTCCAATGAAAAACATACACGGTGCGCCAAAAGTTGTGTTGCAAAACTATACCAGTCGTTCTCTGTAGTTGAAGGCTCATTTCTACTGTTTCAACAGTTTGTTAGCCAGAAGTCCCACTGTATTAAATAAGCGACAAAATAGTGTTTTTAAATCTTATTTGACAACTTTTGATTCAACGTCACGTTGTAGATAAGATATAAATTTTAAAAACGCATTTTATCAGTGTTTGAACTGTTATACCAATAAAGCTTTTAAAAACGTGACAAGTCTAGAAAAACAACGTGATTTTTTAAAAACTAATAAAAATATGTTTCATTCATTATTAATCTACATACATTTACACATTTGAAGTTTGTGAAAGCCAATATTAATTTTGTTTCTAAACATCTTTGGCAAAAAGACAAGAGTGTTTAAAACAGTGCATAGACTAGTCAAAGCATTTTCAAACCTGATAAGATAGAATACAACGTCAGCTGTAGAGTCAAACAGAGAAACTTCATGTCTCAGAAGTTGGTAATCATTGTTATACAAAAAACGTTAAACCAGATAAATTAGAGTTGAAAATTGAGCTTCAGTTAATTTTTAATGATAAAAAAGTATTTTTGTTATTTTTAAATTAGTAAGTTATATTTTTGCATTTTTTGACCTTTCTTTGACCTGAAAAATGTTTTATATTCGTCGTATAACTTGGATTTCCTTTCGTTTTTAGAAAAAAGTAGAAACAAGGACAAAACAAGCTGCGCCCATTTTCGAATTTTAATATTTTGCTTTTTTTTCGCGGCGTGATACTATATTACATTATAGTAGCTATGTGTGGCAAAAAGAAAACATTATAAAATTGTTTTTTAAATAGAAAAAAGCGTACATTGGTTTCAGTGTAATATGTAAATGCACGTTTACTTGACATTCACTTCGGAAGCCGAGGTTTTTGAAAAAAAAATTAATTTGTGAGTAATAAGTCTTTGAAATAAGGCTTTGAAACGGCAGTGCACTGCAGTGTTTAGTTAAAGCAGGTACTGTTGAACTCTCGATATATAACGAATCGCCTGGGGATTTAAAGTTTGTTTGTTATAAAGGTGTTTTGTTATAAAGAAATTTTAAATGAACTTTGTAGTGTTGGTCAGGTATTTGAAAATCAAGTTTCGTAATTTGGTTAAGTAGTAACCAATTGTTGTGCCCATTTGTGTCGTGATTTGCGTGTTTCTTTGATCTTTCTCATGATCGCTATAAACTATAATATTTTTTTTGAAACTACAAAATTCAAAGATTGCTAATGTTTTTTCAACTACAAAAAAGTTGAGAAAACATCAAGTTTTATATTGTAACGCGCTTAAGGTTGTTATCTCGTCAATTGGGAAATAAACAGTTAATTTCGTCATATTTGTGAGTCAAATTAATTTACACAAAATGTTTGTTTAGCATTCATTAATTTAGGTTCAGTCGGAACATGTGATTGCGTGCAAGTTTAGTCTGTAAAGTGGTTTTTATTATAAAGTTGGTACATATTTGGGTATATTAATATTATCATAAGATTTTTAATAGTAATACGGCCCGAGCAATTTTGATCTAAAATGGGAAAAAATTGATTTTAAAAAAATTACTACAGTGGCACTCTTGTACAACTAATTGCCTAAGGGTTTTAAATTTGTTAGTTATAAGGGAGTTTTAGTATACAGGAGTTTTAATTGCACTGTGTAGTGTTAGCTATGTAATCAAAAGTTATTCGATATAAATAATTTTCTTTTGGAGGAGTTCTAATTTATTGACTTACATAGTTAATACTAAAAATATTTTTGTTTTAAAAATATCAGCAAATTGTCGAAATTTACGTGAATTTTATAATGGCAATACTTTGCGTGCAATTTTTACCTAAAATGGAAAGAGAGCAATTTTTAAATTCTCGACCAACCCTACACAGTGCATTTAAAACTCATGTACAGCAAAACTTTAACAACGAACAAATTTTAAATTGAGCGTTTTGTTCTGCTCCACTGTATTTTTGCGTTACTATAACTTTAAAGTTTGTAAAATTGTTACATTTTCATTAATTACTTTATTTTTTTATTTTAGAGTAGTAAATAATGAATATGAAGTTAGAAGACGAGTTAGAAAACAGTGGGTTCTCAATCGGATGGGTACTGAGAAAACTGAATGGTTACTGTGATGATTATCTACTACGAAAAGGCAGCAAACAAGTTGTGAATGTAAGTGTTAACTCTAAAAATTTGTTTATAGAGGGGGCGCTGGAACAACTTTTAACTTAAAATAATGTTAAAACACTGTTAAAACATTATTTTAAGGCTTCTTTTATTGTAAAAATTCTTTTTGTAGTAGAAATTAAATGGATTTATCTTTTGCAACATTTATTTTCAGATAGAAGCCAGAGATGTTGCTGACGGCAAAGGATATTTATCGAGTGTTTTCATTACAACGGTAACTTTTGATGACAAAAGCAAATTTACATTTGCTATTAAAGTGCCTACATTTGAGCGGGTGTTCAAGATTATTGAGGATATGGAAGGAACGACAGAGGTAAGAGATTTTATGATTTATAATGTTCATGTAGATCGACATTTATAAGTTATATTACTAGTCTATATTTATAGTATACTGTGCTGTATACCTTAGCTACACGTACATATAACCTAGAATTCAACACAATTTTAATATAGGATTAAAACTTATCTTTAGGATTCAAAAGAAGGCCTTAAAGACAAAGTAAAAGCTGCCCATAACATTGAATGCGATGCCATTGCCTTCGTATCTAGTTGTAAAGATTTTCCATCGCCCAAAGTTTACTATGTAGAAAAGTCGGGTCAAGATATGGAATGTGGACTGCAAGACAAGGTATCACCAGGTGTTATCATTATGAGTGCTCTTGATGGCATTTCTTTGGGAGGTTATGTTACAGTAACCAAAGAACAGTGCTTAAATTTTGCTAGAGACTTTGCTACTTTGCACGACTTTGTTGCCACAGTACCGTACAATGTGTGGGGAGGGAAGTTTGACAACAGAATCCACTGGGATCCGTTAATGTTTGAGAATGCGAAGGCTTGTTTGAATATCTTTGTGGAGGAGTATCCAGGTAGGTTAATATTATTGGTTTTAGAAAGACTAAAATTTGATTTTTTATTATATAATGGTCGAAAAGTCTGGAGTATTTCTAAAAATTTTTATTTTTTGATTAAAACAGGAAAACGAAAAAGCTGTTTTGTGCTAAAAATATTGTTGTAGATGTAGCCAACATCTGTGCCAAGCTAAAAACAGTCAATTGGCCCAAGTACGTTGACTATGCTTTACATGAACGACCAGCTGAATTACATGCTAAAACGTATGTTCACGGTGATGTGTGGGCCAATAACATAATGTACAAGAAGAATTCGGATGGAAGTGTGGGTGATGAAGTTTTAGCTTACATAGATTATCAATGCGGGTTTGAGGGTGAGTTTTGAGGAGGTATAAGGTTATATTAACTGTTTTTCATGGAGAATTTTGAGGTTTACTTAATTAAATTTGCTTTGGTCAAGGGTCAGCGGGCAATTTTTGGTTAGGTGAGGTCAAACTTATTTTGGGAGATTTGCTTCTCTTCTTTTTCTTCTTCTTTTTCTTTTATCTTTAGACCTTATTAAGCCTGGCTGCTATTTTTGATATTAATTCTTGTTGGTTCTTCTTCAGGTCTATGACGTTTAATTTATACTTTTTTAAAGTCAAAACAACATTTTTTAATGTGATACTTTAGGAAATCCAATGTTTGATTTTGCTCGTTTCTTCTCAATCAACGCCGATGCCGAAGTACGACGAGAAGTGTACAAAGCAGCTTTAAAAGTATATTACGAGAGGTTAACAGAGCTGTATGCACAACGAGGAGCTAAAGTTCCTTATGATCTTGAAGCGGTGAGAATTTTTCAATTATTTGTATTATATTGTTCAAATAATTGTGTGCCCTCTCTTAAAAAATATTTTTGTGGTTAAGGGGCACATAACTATCTGAACAAAATAACATTACTAATACCAATATATATATACACAATTATACATATATACTTTTAAAACTTTTTTAGGTAATAAACTAAATTTTTTTAATTTTATTTTTCATTTGTATGTAGGTAGAAGAAATGTACGAACTTGCTTTCATGCAACAATCGACTCAGTCCGCTTCGATGGTGCTATCGTTGAACAAAGAACACAATGGTGACATGGCAGATGGTGTAGCTGAAGCTCGATCTGCCAAGGCTCTCCTAAGAGTACATTTTATACTTTTGGATGCTGAAAAGATATGGCAGAAACGGAATTTTGATGATCTGCCTATTTTTGATTGATGCATAAATTAAGGTCATCAAGCTTTTTTAAATCCTATGTTGGTGAACATGGATAATATAAGTTTCCAGCGCTTTTCTCAAAAAGTATAAACTCAATATGCATGAAACTTTGTATGTTAATAGATGCATTAGCTACAAAGTATATATTGCCTTCTACATGATATCTTATCATTTATTATTAAAAAATGACTAAACAACAATAAGAAAAACCAAATTTTAAAACGAAAAAACCCTAAACAATCGCACAATACGATGTAAGAGATATTCGTGGATACATTGAGCTACATTGATACGCTACAAAGACAAGAGAATTACCCGAAATTCCAAGAGAAAACAGACGAATCAGCTATAACAATATCGACCAAAGCAGTCGGTCGCTACCTACAATAATACGCGTACTGTACAAGTTTCTCTTTCAAAATATACTTATTATAACATGCATAACATCGCCGACAACATAGTAAAAAAACATATTTTGCATAGCTGACAATAAAAACAATATAGTTTGGATCGAAATAGTACTACAAATGCCAAGAAATAGACAAAACTGTTTTAGAAAAGACACACAAATACCACTTTGAGCTATTATAAAGGTAAAACAATACAATATAACACTAAATATAGATGTAACCAGTAATAATAAAAACTCAAAAAGTACTATTCAGTACTAAAAAGACCCAATAATAGTACCGATAGATATAAAAGACAAAATACAATAAAGTACTGTATGAATTTAATTTAGTCCAGTCTAGAGTACATGTCCTCAATCTGAGGTTTGAAGTGCTCCTTCAGTTGTGGTCGTTTCGACTTGAGGGTTGGAGTCAGGAGGCCATTCTCGACCGAGAACAGCTCGTGGAACAAGTAGATGTCCTTCACCTGCTCGAAGCTGAACAATCCAGACTCTTTGCCGATCTTGTGCATGTCATCTAAAATCATCTTCTTCACGTCCTTGTTCTTGCACAGTTCTTCCATCGAGAGGTTGGTTAGGCCCAGTTTAACATCGGCTTCTTTTGGCAGAACATCCGGGTCTGGCACGACGATAGCTACCAAGCACGTTTTTAGAGATTCGCCGTGAACAAACGATTGTGCTACAAAACCGGATCGGCTGTAAATGTTTTCAATCTTCTCTGGAGCCACATATTCCCCTTGTGCCAATTTGAAGATGTGCTTCTTTCTGTCCACAATTTTCAGCGTTCCTCTTTCTGTCCATTTGCCAATGTCTCCTGTGTGTAGCCATCCTTCTTCATCAATTGTTTCCTTGGTTTGGGCTTCGTTCTTGTAGTAGCCTTTGAAGACGTTCGGGCCTCTGATGCACACTTCTCCGGCGTCGTTCTTGGCAAAGTATCCGAGTTCGGGCACATCGACCAGTTTGATGGCACAACATGGAGATGGTACACCAACATGGCCTGGTACAGCGTCGCCTTCTACTGTGATGGTGGCACAGGCTACACACTCAGTTTGACCGTAGCCTTCGACGACAAAAGCTCCAAACACACATCGAACAAAGTTGAGAACGTTCTCGGCGAGGGGGGCTGAGCCGGTGATCATCATGCGGACACGGCCACCCATGCCTTCACGGATCTTCTTGAAGACGACTTGGTCAAAGAAGGAGGTTGAGCGTACGATACCGCTAAAAACAATATTAATTATTTTCAGTAATAGAAATTACTACAAAACATAACAATAGTTAGCTGACAGCCAAATTTCCCCTACAAAATATAATAACAATAAAAAAATTTCGGCCACTCATGCCTAAGGAACTGTCCTTACCTGTTAATCTCCCGTTGTTTGAAAGCCAACGCGGTTTCGAAGAGCATTTTCTTCACCTTGGACTTGTTGACTTCGCTCATGACCTTGTCGTAGATTCTGTTTAAGACACGTGGTACAACTGGCAGAACTGTTGGTCTCAGAGTCTTGATATCATCAGCCAAATGTTTGATATCGCCTCGGAAGAAGCCTACACGGCCTCCGACGGTATACACCACAGATTGGACAACTCTTTCGAACATGTGTGCCAAGGGCAAGAATGACATCATGCAATCGTCTGGGGATACCTAAAAAGACGTTTTTATTCAAAATTTGCAATTTTTAATAAATATAAAATTAGGTAACATTAGAATTACTGTAACCTAAATGTACATATAAACTTTAAACTAAAAAAATAATTTTTTATAAATCAAAAACCCACATTAAAGTTCTTAAAGTAGTCCAAAGTAGTTCCATCAGCGATAATGTTACCGTGAGTTAGCATTACGCCTTTTGGTGTTCCTGTAGTTCCACTAGTGTAACATAAGGTTGACAAATCTGCGGGCTTTGGTGGTTGATGCTCTTTTCTATCAGACTTGGCTCCTGTTGCTTCAAACTCGGTAAAACTGACCAATTTGACGCCTTCGGACTCGGCTTGAGCAATCTGTTCTGGCTTCAAATCAGCGTCGAATACAACGATGATAGACAGAGATGGGCATGAGGACTTTTGTTTCAACAGACCTAAAATACCGTATGTTAAAAAGGTTGTTAATAACTTGATTTTAATAAAGTTAAATAATGAGATCAAGAATGTTATGTTTGCCAAAAATATCTTGCAAACTCAAGCCTTCTACTCTCAAAAACCTTACCCATAGCCTTCGAAACAGCATCACAAAACACAATCTTGATCTCGGCTTGATTCACGATGAACGAGCACGCATCTGGACCCAATGTATCGTACAATGGCACCAAAACATTGTTAAAGTTGTATGTTGCTTGTTCTACGATTACCCATTCTGGTCGATTCTTTGAGTAGATTCCGACAAAAGTTTCTTGACCGGCTGGCAATTCGTACTGTCTCAAGGCCAAACTGACATCATCGGCACGCTTCAGTACTTCATCATAGTGTAGCCAAACGTAGGGTTCTGATCCGTCGACTTGTTTCTTCCTGTAGCCAAGCATTCGGCCGTTCTTTGAGACCTTGGCTCCACGACGAGACGCTTCATAGATGGTTGTTACGTCGCTGTGAAGAACTTTGAACAAATTGTCAGATTTCACATAAGTCGAGACTCGGGAACCGTCCTGAAATTTAGAATTTAGACTTGAAATCGTCATAATTTCATCTTTTTACTATAAAATCGTTAAAAATATAAATTTTTAAATTTAAATTCATCAGAATTTAAAGTTTTTGTTTCGAATTCATCTCAACATGCCTTATTTATGTTTTTTTCTTTATCAAATTAATTATGTTTATCACAAAAGCTAAAAAAGTTCCCAAAGGACCGTAAATAACCTCTTTGTTCTTTGTGTTTACACTGTAAAAACCAACAAACCTTGACAAATGAAGTAAGTCATTTTACTCAAGGTCAAAAATGATTGACTTTCCATTAACATTTGCAATCCTAATTGTGTCTAATTTTTTGTTAAAAAGGGTTTTTCTAATCAGTTAGACATAACTTTTACCTACGTTAATCAATATGAGAAAAACCTCAATCAAATATTCAAATATTGTCCATAGCCGCCTTTAAAATCACTTTAAAATGCCTTTAAAATCACAAAACTTAAAAATGAAATCATTTTTGTAAGATACTTTATCACCTATTGCTTAACCATAAAAACTCTTTCAAAACCCACATTCAATTTCCTAGTTTGTGAATTAAAATCCAGAATGGGCTTGACTTTGCCCTCCTTCGACCACATCCACCACAGACCCATTGCGCCGATTGTTGCTGCCGCGCCTACACTATAATATACTGAGCTCGGTGCTGATGACAAGGCGTTCACCAGTTGTGCGTGAGTTCCGTTCGCCGCGAGTTCGGACAAGTCAGCTACCCTGAAAACAAAAAGCTTTAAACATTGCCAAGAATTAATTTTAAAAAAATATTTTAGATTACAAAAGTTATAAAAATATATTAAAAAAAAAGAAAATTCACATAGATAACATAGTAAACAAGAAAAAAACTAAAGAAAAAAAGTATAAAATCAAAGTAAAAGCACAAATTTGTAAGATACTAACCAAATGAAACATAAAAAGCTACATAAACCGAGAATAAGTAACACGGACAATTTCATTTCATTTCATTTAAAAAATAACCACAAATAGGGATTAAACCAACAGAATTCGAAATTAGAACCGAAAAAGTGTAAACAAATTAATTGAATTATCCGAAATTTGATATCTCATAAACATAACAAACTTAATTTCCAGAAAACATTCTAAAAAACGTCTGATTAATATGTTAAACATAGGCATTTTAAAAGTTTTCTTGCTGACAAAATGCCAATATTTAACAAGTTTTTGATCAGAAAAACAGAAAAAAGCTGGTAGAATTATAATAAAATCCACTTTTTAAATAAGCGACTACTTTAAGGTGAAAGTTTAGCTAAATTAAAGTGGAATACTAATATAACAAAAGCTAAAAACTAAAACACAAATGAAAACCCCTCACTTTACATTCCTCAGAACTACCTTTTAGATTAACAAAGTAAACTGAATGTTGGTTTTGGAAAAAGTCATCTAAAGAAAACATTTGCAAATGGCGTGACAATCTCTGAACAAGATTGACACACACGTGGCGATAAGATAATATTAACATAGATAACCTTCAAAGAATTTATGTTATCTTAACTACACAATTTTTTCGTTGAAAAGTTGATGGCCGAGTGATTTCTGATCAAAAATATGAAGTAAAAAGTTATGATTATATAAAATAATTTAAGAACTGAATTTTCTAATTTAAAATGGCAAAATTTTAATTTCTATTAGTTTGTGCACAAAGTTTCAAGCCACCTCCCAGTACAGAAATATAAGGTGTGGGGTTCAAAACTTTTGACACAACCTGATAAATCACAAAAATCCTCATTCCCAATGAAAACACAACAAAAACTACAATAAATGCCTTATTATTAGGTCAATTCCCTAAAAATGCCACTTTAAAGCCACCAAGATTAAGATAACCCAAGAATTTTAACCGATCTAGCCTCTTATAACAAAACACATCAACTTCCGCTATAAAAGCCAAAACAGATCGAATAAACAAAACACATCAAAGCAATTGTTCATCACAATATATTATAATCGACTGACCGACTGCCAACATTCAATGGGACAACCCAGAGCGACGAGGCTGCGTCCTTTACCATCGTGGCGTTACAAAGTTATTGGCACTACAATAAAACATGGTTTACTTTACAATGATGTTTCATCTCTCGAAATTAACAATACATTACTTTTCTCGATATAAATTTAAAGTTGATAAGGTTTTCAATAAATTTACACGTACACCAATGTCTTAACAAAATGTAAATATATATAAAAAGCGTTTTTGAATAAAATATCAAAAAGTAGGTAAAACGCCAAAACGTATTCAAATTGGCCAAAATAGAACAAGATAATCCCCAATGTTCGTTTTACCACCCATACCTAAAGCTGTACCTTCTTGAATAAAGCTATATCTTTCGACTAAAAGTATACCTTCTTAAACTAAAGTAATACCTAAAACGTTACTTTTTCAAGAACTTCATAAAAACCTTCTTCCTCTCTTTATAAAACCCTCCTGCACTTCAAAGTATTCAAATCAAGTATAACATAAGCCTATTGCAATAACTAAACCCTTTATCACTTAAGCTCCCCTATAACTAAAACGTCCAAAATTCCAGAGAACAGAAGACAATCAAACATTTTTATCGAAAAACGCAAAAAACGTTGAACTTTGAAACCTTTTCCGATCGCTCCGCCTCTTCTTTCAACTTCAGCCTCGAGGGGATTTACTCAAAATCAAATTAAAATTCAAACTGTTAATTAGAGAAATTAGTCACAGTGTTCAAGACAGTCCAGAGTCCAATATCCAAACAGACAAACAAAGGAATTAGCAAAAATACATAAATTTTACAAAAAAAAATTTAAAACTTCAAGTTTGATCACCAAGAAACCATGAATACCATCAAAAAACTAAAAATACCTAAGAGATAGAACAATTCTACAGCCAATGTTCTATGCAAAACATACTAAATACTCTTGCAAAAGTTGTTTACATTTTCAGGAAAAATGAGAGAGCTAACAACAGCAGAGCCCTGTTATCCATGGTAAACAAGCAAATGAGTGCCCACTTTCGCTCAAAAACCATAAAAAACTCTTAAAATTAAAAGTAAAGAAGTAAAACTAACCTGAAAAGCTACTGAACAAGAGATATGAAGCAACAAAAGACAAAAAACTACAATATTTCAACTGTAAATTAGAAAAATGAAGAAAAAGCAGAGTCGTCATCCAGAAAATTCGTCATCGTTATGATATAGTTCAAAGAGCGAAATTTAATTCTAATACACAGTTATAGTAAAATAGATTAAATAAATGTTTCAAAACAAAAATTCTTTGTCTTTTTGAAAAAATACATCATTTAAATGACGAAATTTTTAGATGTAATGTTCAAAAATATTGCCATCTAATGCTTTATTTTTGAAATATATTTTTGCCGTAAAAGTAATGTAAACCAGTAATATTTGACACAAATATTTGCTTCATGCACCCCAAAGTAAAAGCTGCGTTCACAAATGTCCACTTTGAATACCTATACCACACCTGCTTAAAATGCGCATATCTATTTTCTAACTCTCCCAGTTCCAAAAACATACCGTTCCCGTACCAATAACATACCATACTGTGTAGAACAAGCATATCGAGCAACAAAAATGCCATTTATAATAAGTGCGACACGTGCTCGGCGGTGGCATAAACAAAAATGTTTTCGGCCGAGCTTAATGCCAGTATATCTTGTTGTAAAGCGTTCGTAGTTGACGTCAAAAATCATGCTTGTTTTTTGGGAAAGAATTTCGAGCCAACAAGATAAACTTTTGTTGTTGGGGTTGAATGAGAGCAAAACGTTTGGGAAAGCAGGTGTTAAAATTGATCAGAATTTTAGAGTACAGTAAGAGATATGTCGCACAGAGAATTTAGAAAAATACAAAAATGTAGTGTAGAAACTCTACAGAAGGCAAGAGAAGCTTATTTTTAAAGTTAGAGAGTTTTATGGCATTTGAAACCATTTTTTATACTATGTTATACATGGTATACCATGGATAATATAAACTCACACAAAACACCCAGACTAATCAATAATTTTGGTGAAATTAGTTAAAAATAAGCAAGCTTAACCAAGACGCTAAAAATATAATTCTAAATATTTTTTGACCAAACAAGATTAAAATATTACCTAAAATACGTAAAAAATTACTTACTTTTCAGGCATTGTATAGAGTTAGCAATAATGATGGAGAGTGATCAGAATTCAACCCAACTTACGGGTTTTGGTAAAAAATGAAAATAATAAAAATTTGTTGATTTTGAAATTTCAATTAGCATTTTTTGAAATAAAAAATTTAAAAAATTGTCAAAGGCCATATCCTAGCTTTAAAACTTTTCAAGTTGTAAGTCAAAACTGCAAAAAAGGCTTTAACATTGTCTCTCCTACCTAGACCTAAAAGGGGGCCCACTCGTCCCGGTCCAGTCTGGCCCTCAGCAAATTTAAAAAAGGCTGTGCCGGGACATGTGAGCCTCAGGGACGGGCTCAAACTAAGGCCATAGAGAGTTTACCGGGCCGAAAATTTGAGCCCGGTTAGCTCCGTTATAGGTTTACTCCTACCCTCCCCCCTCCCATTTACAATGTACAAAGTTCCAAAATAGCCTTATCAGTAGTTGCACGTTAACTCAATGATAATACTTTGGTCATTTCTGTAAAACGTCGAATCCATCAAAAAAAAGAAAAAGGACCGCAATCCAAACACAAAAAGAATCACGCCATTTGTATAACAAGTTGGAACTCTACAGAGATACGATGATGAGTAAACAGTAGAAAAGGCAAGAAGTTAATTTGAGAACAAAAGTGTAATTTGAATTTAAGTTGGAATTTTTTGAATTTTGTGAATTTTAGTCTAGAACTTTGCTTCAGGGGTCATTTCGAAATAATTTTTGATAAAGTGATAATTTTTTATTGTATGATTGGAAGGGTGGGTGGGCTAGAAAAAAAAACTCAAAAACTTTTGATAACATACCCTGCCTCTTTTCGTTAAAAAGCGTCCCCTTCTAAAAAATTCTCCTACACCTCAAACACATGCCTATCCTCGATGATAATATACACCTCTATCTCATTATTTACAGTACTTAAGTTACTAAAAAATTATTCTAAATTACTAAAAACCCCCTAAATTACCATAAAACTAACTAAGTTACCGAAAAATACCTGAAAATCAGCCCAAAGTACGTGAACATTTTATGTTGTTGTTTCCGTCGTTACCATGTTGCTATTCACGTATCAGTTCGATTTCACATGAATAAAACATTTCGAATTAAATGCAAACTTTGCTCGTTTAGTTAGCGATAAGAATGGGTTCAATTTAAAAGCGCCCAGTCTTTTTTAAAGAGTTTAAAACTGATTAACAAACAAAAAAGTAAAGGTACGAGACGTATGGCGTGATCCTACTGAATAGATACGAGATGTACTCGTATCTATTCAGTGTCCCACATAATATTGTTCTTTTAGATAATAGGACCCTACTTGTTGTTTGACGTCCATCGTTTCACAGTGCATTTAAAACTCTATATAACAAAACGATTTTATAACGAACAATTTTAAAATCCTTAGCTATTCTTTATATAGAAGTTCTACTGTACTTTAGCAGCATAAACATTTGTAGCAGCCAATGCCAGATTTATAAGGTAACTTTTAGTTCAGAACTGACGAGAATCATTTTGAAAAGTTATCTTTTGGCAGAAAATCAATGGTTTTTAGAAAGAATGTCTTTTGGTTATGTAATCAGTAATCTAACCGTAAAAAATTGTTTGCTAAAAGGATTAGAATGCAAAAAATATTTTTAACTTTAGCCAAAATTTTATTACTAGAATTTGCCGACGACAACATTGTTTACTTTCAGGTTGTTCAAATATGAATGATAATAACAAAATTTTATAATCAAAAATAGTAGGTGCAACGCAATGCCAAATTTGGCTTTTTGTTTGAAGCCTTTTATTACAACCATAGTGACACTATGAAACCCAGTTTTTAGCTATGATAAAACTAAAATTAAATTTAAAAAATGTTAAAACAAATCAAAAAATCAGTCTACAGTCTCCCATAAAACAACCCTTACTGTAATTAAACTCTTACTGTAACTCCAAGATCTAATGATTACATTCTTTTAACGCTCCTCTTTAACATTTGTAACAAAGTGCAAAGTATTTATTTTTCGTCTAATTTATTATTCTCTCGGTTTTCCCGCGTTTCGGCTGATCAAGGAAACAGACTTTGACCCGGTTTTGTGTGTCACAAGACTTGGCCAACTGACGAGCACAGAATACTTGGACGAAGACAAACGCTTACAAAAAGTTTACCACGTTTTAGTATTAAGTGACAAGCATGCTTTTCAAAAAAATTTGTAGTGTAGCTAATTAAACCTAAATTGATAAGAAAAAGTAAAATTCACCTTACAAGGAACGTTATAGAACGCTCAAAATTCGTTCAAAATTTTATTTACTTAAAAAATATGGCCATAGTTCTATAAAAAACACATTTTTTTAGAAAAGATAGTATGTAAAAACACCCTAAAAACACCAAAAAATAAACTATTTTTTGTTAAAATTCCGTTTTTAAATTCACCCTTCCTGTTGTTTTTAAAATGCCCTACCAAAATTAAAAAACCGATCCATTTCGCGCTAAAATAACACTGATCGCATCATAAGCTAAAAATAACACATTACAGTAAACCATTACGCACGGTAAAGCGAGACAATAAGGTGATCGCGTGCCAATGTCATCAATCAGTACAAAGTCTACAGCGAGCAAACTTTGTACTTGTTTTCTCCTCGTGGGAGGCCCGAACTTCCGGCCGAAACGTCAGGTATTATAGTGATAAATGTTTTGTTTTTAGTGTATTTTAAAGGTTTGAGCTAGACTAGATCAAAGAAGTGGTTGGGCTTTTAAGGGTTCTAGGCTGTACTGTTTTAGTTAGATTAGATGGTTTAACTAATTATGTGCCCTTCTCAAAACAAATTTACAAGATTTAGCACCACAGAATTATTTGGACAACCTAATATGAAAACATAGTACTAACAGTACCACAAAGCTAAAATTTATTGCTTAAAATATTCAAAAACCTAAAATTTTCCCCAAAAATTCAAAAAATTTTAAACCCTGCATCTCTATCGCAAAGCCTTTTATAAGGTAGCCCTCAAAAAACTTATCAGACCCTCAATATCGAGTACAACCCTGATAGCGCATCCTTAAATACACGTTAACATGAGCAAGTTCAATGTTTCAAATTGTTTCAAATTTCACTATTCGAAATGATAACAAACCAATGGTGTGATTGGTATACCAACCCTTGCCAAGAGTTTAAAGTATAGCGTAATCTTTGTTTTATGAGTGGTAAGGCTGCAATTGTAAGAGGTCATTTTGCTAATTTTAAAACGTCTGTTTCATTGGTCGTAAGAAGGTATTTTGAATCAAGATGGGCCTTGGAAATTTTTAAAATAGTGATTGCAAATGAAAATAACCAAAATGAAACCAAGTGCAGCGCAACTTATGCTTTAGAAAGTTCTGGGCCAAAATCTTCTTGTATTTTTTGTCAGTATTATTTTTGAAAAGAAAACGTTTGGTTCAGAACTTTCTGGACAATATGTATGCCTAAATTCGGACAAAAACTGTCTATACCTCTTCCTTATTTTATATACCTTTCTCCTATAAACAGTAACCCAAATCAAATCATATTACCAAAAAAAAACAAGAGATGTGTTAAAACCACCAGAATACAGTTACCGAAAAATGACTAACGCGCAGTGATTAAAATTGTTTATTTAACCAGTTCGCAATTTTGTTTTTCGAATTTCGAAAAAAAAACTTGGAGGAGGAAAGAACACGTTGCACTAAAATGAGGGAAGCGCAGGTTGAAACGTACTTTTTGGAGTGAACTACAAAAGCCATTCAAATACGTTTTTCGACTGGTATTTTTTTCATTTTTTATTTTTTCAGCTTAAAATTTTGTTTTTTTTATTTACAAGGTAGCACTTGTCAGTTTAGGCTTAAATAAGGTAATCTTTGTTTTTAGAAAACGATCTAGCAATTATTAGAAAAATCTTACAGTAGCGTTCTATTTGGTTGTTTAAATCATTTTGAGCCCCCTTTCAAAGCAAATTGTTTGGATTAAAGGACACAGAATTATCTGAACAACCTAATATCTACATTTTGTTTTAAAAAACATTAAAGAGTTTAGAAATCTGCCATGAATAACATCCACCTAACCTTGACAAAAATCATAAGTAATTGCAATGCCATTTACGAAACAATTAGGGCCTGAAAAGCCTTGTTAACAAGCATCGTATGTATAAAGAATAAGTTGTTTACTCCACGAACACAAATATTAAATCCTCAAAAAAAATCAAAAACTCAAAAAAACCGCAAAACTTAAAACAAAAAAAAGCAAAAGGAAATCAGAATCCACACGCTACACAATTACCGTCATCATGTAGCCACTTACCAGTCCATTAAACCGAAATTAACACACAATTTAGCCCGTGGAAATATTTTAAACTAAAAGAAAGCCGAGATTCGAAGCCGGGCGTCTAGGCCAGTTAAATTTTCTCGCTCTCTGGCGTCTCTCGCTTGCGTATGGTCTTTTTGTTCGGCTTCCAAAGTGACCACTGGTCTTTTTTCAAGTACAAGGCAATATTTTATTCCAAAGCGCTAATTCGTTCAGCCGGGAATTCATTGTCACAGCCGGTAACAGCTAGTTGATTATAATGATATAAGCATTTTTAGGCTTATTTTTTGAAAAATTGTATTAATACTTTTACTTGATTTGTAAAATGATAGTAGTTTAGTGGCAGCTGTGTCTGAACATGCATTTTTCCAAAATTCACCTGTAAGGTTGAGACTTTCTTATTATAATACTTTTAAAAATTCATCGCCGTTTGCAGTTCTTTGGCTCCAGACGTTCTGAATTCTATGCTACCGGAATCAAAAACTTAGAAACGTTGGAATGATTGTTCTAATGCTGACGGTAAATATTTTTATTAATAAATAGTTGTTGTCGCGTAAAAAAAATTTCTGATGTGCAATTTCGTGGCTCATTACTTTTGGAACAATTTAAAACAAATTTTTGAATAAATTCCAATATTAAAATGTTGTGAACAAGCCGACAAAGCAACAAATTGAAGAGCATGCTCGACATTTCATCAAGTTTCAAATGCACTTTTAAAGTTACAAAGATAAGCCTTTGCCCTTTTATCATAAACCTACCAAGCTACTACTTTGATTGCAACAATTATTAATAATCAGCAACGTTCAACTTGACATTTCACAGTACTACACATACAAAAAGACACTTAAAATTAGTTTGCCACATACAGAACTGACCTCTACTCAATGCCGAACATGCCTTACTATTCTACACTACACCCCCTAGGGCTAAGATAGCGCTAGAGTAAGCATACTAAAAGCTACTTTATTTAATGCTAATGCCGATATGGCAAGAGCAATGTTACGGTAGGGCTTGCAACATGAAAACTGAGTTTTAATAGTATTATTTACTCCTGATTGACACATATCTGCACGATCCGATGCAATAACATTTGCAATTTTGTAACAAAACGAAAAAAGCAAAACGAACGGTTGTAACGATTGTAAAAAAGTCGTAACAATGCTATCGTGCTGCTATTCGAAACCAACAAAACTGTACAAAAAACAATTGGGATGAGAGCTTGGGCTGATAAGGACAATCAGAAAAATGTTGCGGTTATAAGCAAAGAAACTGTCATAAACATACAGTTTTATCAACAAATTGACTGACTATTTGCTTGTATTTGGTTTGGGAGTATTCTTTAGCCTTATCGACGTTTAGTTTTTAAAACATTCTGATTAATTTGAGGTAACTTTAGTTACTATAAATTAATTTTGGGCCTGTAGCTATTATATATTTCATTGGTTTAAAAGCTGTAAACTAATAACATAATCTTATACTAATTGAATAATTGTAAAGTGCTTATACACAACATACAGTAAGTTAGCTCGATATTACTATAATTCTGTGCCCCCTAATCTCGAAAATTGGTTTTGAGAAAAGACACAGAATTATTTGAACAACCTAATACAAATAAAAGTTAGTAGATACATTAGAAAACACTTTTCTATTATTAACCACAACCTCAACTTATATAACTCTGCCACCAATAAAGCCACAATTTTAGATGTCATTAGCCTGTGTTGGAACCAATTTTTTAGCTGAAATCATGGCTGAAGACAGATCAATGAGAAATACCTCGTTATCCGCAAGTTCGAGTTCAAGTACATTATCATCAACTAATTCGATTAATACTGAAACTTCATTAACATAAAACATAGACATAATTTTTATCTCATATACATGTATATTATATAGATAGTGAAATAAATATTAATAATATCAAAATGAAAGCTCAAAGATTTATGGTTTTACTATGAATATATAATATTATGATTGCCTTGTAAAATATACGATTATAATTGATCGTGTCATAAAGTTAATATTTTCATGAATCTTTTTATAATTTAAAATATTAAATTTAAAGTTAACAAGTTTATTTAAATTTATTTACAATATTTTAAATTGTTTACACTTTGTATATCTTGAACCGTCTGTGTTCTGAACTAAAGGTAGTTTCATTGCCATAGACACTGATAACAACACCTCCGCTGACAATGCAAATTTTTGGGACTTAAGTAACTTGTACTATCAATAAGTTTTCATTTGAATAGCCAGAAAAAACAATATCAATTTACTCAATTAAAAATATAAAACAATTTTATTTTTAGTGAAATAAGTAAATATCTTAATTTCATTTCACCTGGAGCCGTCTATTTAATAGTACGCTCACTGCTATGGATCAGAACAATCAAAATTGCTCAAAAAAATTGACCTCTTAAAATTCAACGCATTAGTTACATAATTGAGCACATTATCCTTTTTTATCTTCAAGAAATTTCCAAATCTCTCAAAATTCTGCTTCAAAAATATTATTTTTAATAAAACACGACGCCACAAAAATCAATCGTGGTGAAACGCAAACTAAATAATTTAGACTTGTTGGAATTCCATGGAAATAAAATAATCTGTGTTATCTGTAGACAGCGAGAATGTATGGAATACTATTTTCGATCGTCTTCATATTTGCTACGTTTTGTTTCTGTGCGGCTAGCGAATTTGACTATACGATTGAAATTCGTCCCGGGAAATATGAATGTTATTTCCAGCCGGTTAGCAACCCGAAACACAAGACGATGGAGATCGACTATCAAGTAAGTTTGTTCTTTGTTATATTGTTTATGGTTTAGGTAATTGATGGCGGTGATTTGGATGTTAACTTTATGGTTATCTATGGAGCTGACATGATTGTTCAGGATCACAAGAAAACTGAAGCAAACCACAAGTAAGTTGAGGTTACTGGTAGTTTTAGTTAGCATATATAGTTCTAAAAGTTATGTTTTACAAAATCAAGTTGTCTATGTGTTGTATAACTTATTTTTAATAGCTGTATGGCTTAAAATAAAGTATTTGTTTTGCCTTACCTAAAAACAGTTTTCTTTCTTAAACTTTTTTCAATTACAGGATTCAAGTGCAAGGTCAAGGAGATTACCAGTTTTGTTTCGATAACACATTCAGTTACCAAGCTCGTAAAGTTGTCTACTTCGAAGTCTTTTTGATGGACGAGCACGGAAACGTTGAAGATGTTGATGTAGGTCAATACGGACAAGTTGATGAGAAGACTAAAGAAAAGCTGAAAGATTTGGGTATGACAATGGAGTCGTTTGCTCAAGGTACGAACAAGATCAAAGGAAATTTGAACCGAGTTGAATATTATCAATCTGTGCTGAGATCTTACGAACATCGAGACAAGGCTATTATGAATGCAAATCACTCAAGAGTGACATTCTGGTCGTTCATCAACACTGTAGTTTTGTTTGTTGTCGCTGTTCTGCAGGTTTACACTATTAGGTCGTTGTTTGAGGAGAATTCGAAAGTAGGAAAGTTGTTGAGAAAGAGTGGTTAAGGGTAGATAGTATTAAAGGATAATATGTTATGACAAGACAGCTATCATAACGTTTTAAAGTATCTAAATTAATATATTGAAGAAGCGAAAAAACAGTTTTGTAAATAATTTAAAGATTTTATGGGACATTTATGGCAATTTTAGCATTTATGGATTTTAATTTAGGTATTTAAAGGTATTTTTTAATTTAATAATTATTAGCTTAAAATTTTTTATTGATTTGGGTAGCAAGAAAACTCTAATTTTGTAACATTCTAATGTCAGCTAACATTGTTTAGACTTTTATTCAAAGACGTCGATGGCTATTTTTTTGGAAGAAATGTGATTATCTGACATTTTTGAATGAAATGTCTAGTAACTTATTGCTTCTTGTATAATTTGAATTTCACATATCATTTGCATAATTCACGGTTACTATATTCTAACTTATTTTTTTTCAAATAAATTATTTATTTTATTTTGATATTGTTATTTACACAGCAGGTCAAAGCCGGTATTTGTTACTTCGTAGTAGTTTATGAGCTTTTTATGCTCATTAGCAGCTTTTTTGAAATGTTTTTTTAAACAATATTTTCGGTGTAAACACGTGAATTTGTTTTGAAGTTGAAATATTTTCTTTTGGTCAAAAATATTGTTGAAAGGTTGTATTTTAGAAGTTTCTTTTGCCTTTTGTACTGTTTTAATTAACGATTTATCTTGATTTAATTTTCGATCTTATACATAACATTTTCAGGCCAAAATGCCTTTGATAAGGCCGTTGTCTTTCATATTATGTTTCCTCCTCATATCTACTACAATATCCCAAGTGAAAGTCAACTTTGATGAGCCAAAAGAAGAAGTGATCATGGTGTTAAAAGTAGAACCAGGTAAAATCGACTGTTTCTACGAACGTCTCAACAATCCGAAACATGTACAAATCGAAACGGACTTCCAAGTAACTGAAGGTGGAGAGTTGGACATTAGTTTCCATGTCAAGAACCCCAAAGGCTTGATTGTGGCAAAAGATTATAAGCAGATAAATGGTGAGCATAAGATAAACCTGGAACATCCGAACAACGGTCATGGTGAATATGAGTTCTGTTTTGATAACAGCTTCAGTACGACTACTGCTAAAACGGTAAGACTTTAATTTAAATTTGGGGTTGATTTTTTAGGTATGGTTTCGTTAGAATTTTACTTTGGGACTTGCTGTATATGCTTTGAAGTATAAGTTTCTTGTTACCTATGTTCATCTCTGATATTCATATTATTCTTTCACATTTTATGACTCAATATATTACTTATTGTAATTTTGTTGTTTTAGGTATACTTTGAGCTCTTTTTGCTAGACAAAGACGGCAACTTTATTCAGGAGAGAGACTTGAAAATGTTTACGAATGATTCTATATCTGAACGTGTGGCTGGCTTTGATGTAAGTTTTATATATCTTACTGTTTAGCGGTGTAATTTCTAAAGTATATAATGTAGAATAAATTCTTATAACGGTTTGTTTATAAGGTATAATAAAGCATATAGTATATTACTTTGGGTTAATAGTAATCATTATAAATTTCAGCGAATCACTTTGAAACTGAAGAGAGACATGAACGAGATCGAGAAGCATCAAACCCACATCAGAGCTGTCGAATCTAGAGACAGAAGCATCGTAGAGCACAACTTTGAACGTGTCAACTTCTGGAGCGTTCTCAATACGGTTGCCATCTTCTTGATGACTTTGCTTCAGATATACACTATCAGAGCACTATTGACCGAAGACTCGAAGGTTGGTCGAGTGTTGAGAAAGGGACGATTGAACGATTAAAAAAGTAGGATGTCTACATTTATGTAGGATGATTATATTTCGGAAGCTTAGTGTTGTGTACTGGTATATTTTTAAGTGGATACAATAATATTCATCATTGTAATTGTGTTCTGAAGGTCTTACTATCAGCTTCGGTTATTTATTGTAGTTTACGTGTTAATTTTGCGTTATGTTGTTATTGTTCATTTAACTTTAATTACAAACTAATTTATCTTTGCTTAGGCTGGTCACAAAGTCTGTAGAATTAGAATTATATTTTAAAAAAGAAATGTCCTAACCTATGTTTATATAGGTAAATACATTTGACCATATTTTTTAAAGGACCAGTTCGCCCATTCAAATATCATTGGCATTCTGTCGCAAAAATTCGACGTTCATTTTTTTCGTAAAAAACCTGAGCAGGTCGGTCCCAAATTGGAAAATTCATTTCGACACCGACCCACTCACGTTTTTTGAGAAAAATGATTTTGATTGAAATTGCCTGATTTTCGACGATTTTTGCGACAGAATGCCAATGATATTTGAATGGGCGAACTGGTCCTTTAAACTTGTGGAATATTAGTGTAAAAAGTGTTTTACTGCGAACTGTGGTTTGATGAGGTTTTAGGAAGTTTTTTCTCTTGAATTTTTAATTTTTTTTTACATTTTTCAGCTTCTACATGTTCATATCGTATGTTCGGGTTATCTTTGTATACAGTCGCGTGTTTTCATTTTCAAATTGCTCCAGGTAACTTGCCAATAAACTTTTTCAACATTAACTTACTTTTAAAGTTGTTTATATCATTATCTTGAGGAATTTTTTAAATCGAAATTCAAATTTTAAATAGAGCAAGACATAACATAATATAATTTATACCCGTAATATATAAACCTGGTTACAATAGATAGAGTGAATAGAAGAGATTTTGATTTCTTTGTTTTTGGGAGACTATATGAGATGTTGATGGTATATTGAAGGAAATAACGAGGTCTTGCTGCTTCAATGTTGACGTAGTTAATTTTCAGATAATTTTATAGCGTCATCCATAGTTTGACCATTTTATGTTGTTACAAGGGTACGTGAAACCATCTTAACACAAAGGTACCAAAATAGCGGTGAAGTCATTCTTTCATGTAGCTAGCAGTTATATTAGCTCAGTCTTGATGTAAAACGATAGTAGCTCAATCTTGCGATAACAAAGTTTTAGATGTTGCTAACATCGACAGTCAACATTCGTGTCAAATGGTGTAGCTTGTTGCCGTTCGTCGTATTCTTAACTGGATACACGTTTTTGCTTTGACTGTAGGTGTTCTGTTGGCGGATTGACTTCATTGTAGTCAAACTTTGCATTCGCACATACTTTAAGGGTTGCACCTGAAAAGGATGAGCATGAAATCGATGTTTTAGTAAATGTTAGGATTTACTGACTTCATATAATCAAGTTCAGAGGATTTTAAGTACTTTGAAAGCACATCAGACTATACTAAATGCACATCAAGCTGTACTAATATCAATATAATGATCAAAAATACTAGTCAAACGAACAACATCAAGGTTAGTGGAAACACGATTGTTAATACTTACATTTTTACCTTTATGTAGCTGTCCCAATGACACAGTTCGCTCTCGACTTTCCTGCTTCAACAAAGAGCTATTCGAAGAGTCAGATGGAGTGTTGTTAACGGCTGTTATGTGGATTCCAGTGTAGAGGTTTGACATACAAGGTGCTGTTAACGTTGATGCTGACGTATTGTAGAATTTAGTCTGGGTTTGAGCAGCGGTTGATAGGGCTGATAAAGGTATCCACATGAACGCTGGCATTAGGTATGGGCCGAAGAGGGCGGCATCACCTAGGAATTGGGTCTGCCAGCCGGCTGGATTGAAGTCGAGGTACTGAAAAAGGAAAAAATTGATTATTTTAAGTCTGAAGAATTTTAAAAAAATAAAAAAGATGTTTTTTTAGAACTATTTTTAAAGTTTTTTAATTATAAAAGGTCCTTTTTTAGCAAAAAATATGATTCAAAACTCACATCAGATAATATAACACATCCCACAGCCATCCAATGTGGTGCATGGCAAGCAAAGAACAATACAGCGATGGTCAATCGTATGTTTTGCATTTTTCTGGTCAGTACCTTGGCCTGTACTCTGTGAGTTTTTGAGTACCAAAACAAATGCAAACTCAATACGGTGATCATGGCCAATGGAGCGACATAATCAATGAAGAAAGCTGTCGCATTGATTAGAAGTCGCTGCGAACCGCGACCAAACGTTGTTAGGCACTTGAACGTTCGTATATGGATTACCACGTCCTTGGCGTAGTCTTCTTGAATTACTTCTTCTACTAACTGAAAGATTGGGGTTTGAAGGAGTCTGTGTGCTTATGATAACACAACTACATGGTCATGATAACACAGAATTACTATATTCTTATCTTTTTTAGATTGTCTATGGAAAAATACGGAATCTTAATTTATCAACACTAAATTTGAGTAAAAAAATTTTAAATTTCAAAAATCACAATTTTTCTTACTCAAATATAGAGATTAAGTCTCATAATTGGTAGATAACTTACTTTGATATATTTGAAAACTGGAAAAATTGATATGGCACATAAGGCAATAACGAATAAGGCTGAATGGAAGAATATCTTCCGTTGTTTGTTTTCCGAAGGCTTTGGAGATCCGTTAATGACTGCCTGGAAGAGATATTAACTTATTTTGTCTTTTATATTTTGCAGCAAGCCTTATTATTTTGAGAAAGGACATAATGTTAAGATTGGCATTGTGTTTCAAGCACTGTTTTCTACTTTCTAAGCCAGCTATGTTCACAAATTCAAAAATGTATTTTAATTTAAAAGTTTTCTACTAATATATTTAAAAAATAAGTAGAAAAGACGACAAATTTATAAGCTTGAAACACAATGCCAATTTGGCGGGAAATTCAAAACGTATTTCTTGAACCCAATTTTCTCGACATTCTCATTTTTAGCCAATATTATACGATTCGAAACATTTCATAATTTTTTGAATTCAAAATTTTACTTATTTCATGTTTTTCAAAGCCAATTAATCTCCCAACTATAACATAACATCTCAAAAAGTGCAAGGTTTTTAAACTTTCTTTTGTTTTTTCGTTGAAAAGCCACTTACTTGATCATAGAACAACAAGACAATTAACCATGCGCTGGCGGTTCGGCCAACATTAATTAGTACAAAATGGGATGCGCATGTTATCATACCAAACATCCAGATCTGCACCAAATGATCAACAATTACACTCGGTAGAGAGAGGGCGAAGAAGAATTGGATTATGTACAGGATGCCAATGTATAACTGAAAATAGTTTGTTAAATTGAAAAGATTAATTTACCGTATTAAATTTTAAAAATTTTTCAAAAATTTTAAAAAACCAGCCCTACCTGAGTACAATTCGGGCTAGAATCGCTGTTCCCCACCCTCAACCGCCTCGAGTAATACTGTAGAGCTAGTTGCGAAAAGTTGCCACATATGCTTAACGTAAGCAGTGTGATTAAGGCCGTCGTGGTGAACAAACAATGGAACGTGGGCTCGGGCGTGGGTGGGTAGATAAGCAGGACTTGAGCATTACTCGGACTTTTTGGTACACTTTCGGACATTAATCATACATTCAAAAGCTGGAAAAGTATAACTTTAAATTTTTTAGGTCAAAATAAAAGTTTGGGACACGATTTCTGGCAATTGTAAAATACGTCTTACTCGATAATGACAAAAATACGCTAAACACGGTAAAAAAGCTTGAAATTCTAAAGTTATTATAGCCACCTTTCAGAGAATAAAAAAATTAAAATATACAAATTTGTTACCTAAAAACAAAAAAACAAGCCAACCCCTTTAAAAAGTGCTGTTAAACTGAAAATTTGCCACAAATTAAACCTGCTTTAAATGTTTTAATTAGTATTTGAAAAAGTGAAACTGCAAAGACGGTCCCCAAACTGTACTGTTCAAAAATCATAACACTCGTAAAAGCAACAAACTAACTTGAAATGGATATTAATATGTTTAAATGAGGCTTCTGGCACTCTTCCGACACATGGATTTGTGTTCTGTGCCATAAATGTTATATGTACATTGTAATACACCATGTAAAAATTAAAAATACAGTAGACTATGGTTAGTGGAAACACAAAATTAGCATATTTCAGCGTGAAAATCGGCTAACTTTTTTTTTACTTTTATCTTTTAGCTACGTGCAACAAATTAAAAAAATGCTGATAAAGTACAGTAATCCGTTCAAATATTAACAAAGTAACACAAGAATTCAGTTCAACAGGAAATAAAAAATTCACAAGATTTTGCAATTTTTAAAAAGATTAAATCACAAAACTTTTCGCAAATTAAAAAACACTAAACTACGTACGTATTATGCTGACAGTAAAATAACATCAAGAGATCAAACAGCTTTGAAAAACAGTTTACAACTTCCGTTGTAATTTTAAGCTCTATTCTATCAAATTAAGACTAAAAATGGTACTGTTTTGCAATATAATGCAAACAGAAGTGGCCGGAGGCTCAGTATGATAAGGTATATGAGAGACAAGGAGTATATTATAAAAAGAAAGTTAGTCAAAAAACAGTTTTCTACAGTGTTTTTGAAGGTCAAAAAAAGTGTTTTTAAAGGTCAAAAAAGTATGAAAACTTACCCTCACCCCACTCTCCCCCCTGCCTCTTTTTCCTACACACACCCTTCTCATTCCTTTCATTACACCTTACCCTCACTCTCTTCTTATCTTGTCCTCACCCTGCCCTCAAACTCCGCCACCTTTCCCTCAACTTCGCCTCACTTTCTTCCCACCCACCCTTCACCCTCTCCTAACCCTCACTTCATCATTGACTCATCCTGCCCTCACTCTACTCTCATTCTCATCTTATCATCCCATACCCTACCGCCCAATCCTTCCTATCTTGCCCTACCGAGTTTTTTTGTAATTTAAAAAAAGTAATATACTCTTACAACCCATACTGAGTACTCACCATTTAGTACTAGTAAGTATCAGATTTAAAAAATGTAAAAATTCTCGTCTAATCGGTTTCAGCCCTCCGCCCACCGCGAATCTTTGGTCTTAATCCATTACCAGATAATTACATGAAACGTAACTGCACAATGTGTAATATAACACATTGTATTAGCTCTAATTCGCGGAAATATTACTTGAAACAGTAAGCTAGCAATAATGGGGTAGAATTTCCAAAGTTATGGGTTTTCATGTAAGAGTTGCATGTGAAAGGGCGTGGTAAAAAGGTCTTAGTATGTGTATTAAATCTAATACTACTGTGCTAGAACTAGTTATACCATTAAAACAGCGTACTAAGAAACAATAAGCCCATCATTTCAACAAAAACAAATTTAACTACCGTATATCAAGTAAAAACCCTGAGATAAACCCTATGTCAACCTACGTATGCAAAACATTTTGTAACACGTACATATAATCGCTATTTTAACATTGTAAAACCTGTCAGTAAACAATTGTTGAAACCCCTAATCGAACGTCATAAACAGTCATAATTGGAGTTGTAGTCTCCGCCTTCCAACCAAGATTAAAACACACAAACAACCAGATTTGGACATTTCTTTTTGACTCCCGAATTAGAAAATGTTTTAATCGCGATTGTGTCGTCAAATTGGAGATTTGTGAAGAATACTGTGAGAAATACGACAAACATGTACTACGAGCTGTTTTAGAAGAAGTTGCTACTGTGTTTCATATTCATTGCAGTTTTAGTATAAAAATGAAAGTGCAGATACATCTACAATATATTGCAAATTTTTCGGGTTAAGAAGCACAGAATTATTTGAACAACTTAACAGCTAATGAAGCAATTCGACTAAAGTTTTTTTACGTACGAAAAAAGAAAATAATTTTTTTGTAAAAGTGCACATTGTCAATAAGCTAAATTGTACGCAGAACAAATGGATTAATAACGTATTTTAATTGATTGTAGCAAACAAGTGCAAGTCACATTCAATACAGTACGTACAGTAATTGTCATGTTTTGTTTGACAATTATTTTTTTTAAATTACTATACAATTTTTTTACAAAAAATACATATTAGGTTGTTCGAATAGTTATGTGCCCCTTTTCAAAAAAACATGCAAATGTATAAGGTACAGAATTATTTGAACTACCTAATATTTTTAAAAGATATAATAAGCCATAGCAAAGTAAAAGCACACCCTTAAACAAACATTCAGCAGTTACTGTATAACCAATTGTAACATAACTAACAGTTACAGTACTACCAATTGTGACACAACGTTTGAATCTACCTCGTCTTTGTTTATCAATTTTGGAAGTAATAACAAATTGGCCCAAGAACCATAACATAATAACTGGATACCAAAAACCGTTTACAGACAGACCGTTTGGCCTTTAGAAGATCATAAACCCAATTTTATAGATACTAGGAAATGGAAGATGATTTGAAAGTAACAATAACAAATTTTTCAAAAAATAAATTTTCATAAATTAAAAATTTTGAAATTATAAAGCTACTGAACTTTAAAATACCCTTCCAAAAGACAAGTTTAAAACTAAAAAACTAGCAACAATGCAAAAAATTTTCAAAAATAGCAAAACCTCAAAGAACAATAGTGTAATAACTAAAAAACTCACACGACTGTACGTGATACGTTTCATATACCTTTCGCATCACGTAGAGTCGTATAGAAGTATTAATGCCTAAAGTCGTCTTAACTTTGCTGTACTATGTCAATTCGATTAGTTTAATGACAACAAGTACAGGGCTAAACCGGCTTTGTAAAAACGGCCAACCAGGAAGAGTTTTTCATAGCATCAAACTTGTTTTGATGACAAATTCTGCAAAATTAGCCTTAACTAAAGCGGTTTAACTAAACAAAAAGTTTTTGCAATGAAGTTTTGAAAAAAAAATTACAGTGGAACCCCCTGCATAACGAACAAATTTAGAACCTCCGGCGATCGTTTCTCAGTGCTTGAAAACTTCTGCATAAAGAAACTCTTTTATAACAAACAATTTTAAAATCTTTAAGCGATTCGGTATACATGTGTTTATAAAACTAAAAACAAATTTTTAAGCCTAATGTAGCCAAAAGTAGATTTTCCTTTTTTAGTCGCAAATATGGATAACTCGAGTTTTTGCTTCCTGAAAGCAAGAAATAAAAGTAATGACAACTTTTGCGCACTTATTAATGGCGTTTCCGAAATATAACACTATGGCCAACGTCACTCTTGTAAAATTAGACCTCACAACAACTGAAATTGACAAAAAGAAAACAAGGGTTCGATTCAAAATGACAACTTGTGTCTACAGAAAACTAAAATTTGGCAATCTATGTCTACAGAAAGTCAACATAAATTCCTGGCTTTAAAATACTTAAATTTAAAAATTGTAATCTATCAAAATCTAAAGTCTTAAAAGTCCTGTAAAAAGCGAATTTTAGGCATTATAGCAACAAGTTCAGTTGGCATTTTCCCCACGAAAAAACAGACTTTGCACTTGTGTTTATAAACAAATTATTCTGTCTTATAAATTTGGATGCTTTTGAGTATGTTGTTTATTGACAAGCGTTCAATGAATCCCAAAGTCTGCAGTCTTTTATTAGAAAATAGAAATTTTAAGCGCTATTCAAGCTGCAATATCAATTTAAAATTTAGAAATATTGAAATAGGTAACCTCTTTTAAGTTGTATCACCAAAGCTTTGAACTTGGTGTATTAAAAAATGCAAAAACGGTAATTTTTAATTTGTTCATTATAAAAGAGTTTTAAATGCGCTGTGCAGTGTTGGTCAAGGCTTGGAAAGTTGTTCGTTATATAGAAGTTCAAAGCGCACAGACAGCAAGAAGCCAAAAAATAAATAATTTTTACTTTTTGTTTATCTGTTTGGTAAAGAGGTAGTTTTACACCATAATTTAAACTACAATACTTTATTATAATTTAAAAAGTAATCTTTATGAACCTTTAGTTAATACGATTACTGCTTTTGTGACAAAAGGAAGTAAGTGAAATAACTAAAATGTTAATATGTACTATTATGTTTTACTTATTACTTATAGTAGAATTTTTAAAATAACAGTTTATACATTCAGTGAAACGTTTTTATAAAGAAATTTTTTTAAATGAATGTATAGTAAACTGTTACATAAGAACTACTTTATAATCACGGTAATAAACTTCACATTAATTACGTGCCTCCAAATGACAGGTGATTAAATTATTTATCATATTTTAATTAAAAAAATTAAAAAATGCCTAAGGGAGAACAAAGATTGGACTTCAGCAAATCGCCCTATCATGTGTCAAAATTAATAAAGTATTAGTCTACTTATCAAATGTTTACAAGCATGTTTTAATAAGATTATGGCATTTGCGTACGTTGGTTTTTAAAATTTTAACTTTTTTTAGAAATTAAAATTCTTTTAAATTTTCAAACTAAAATTAAAAAATTTAATGCTACAAAGATCTTGTAGTTTTTGAACTGATAAAACAAAGTAAATTTATGAAAAGACTTTACTGACACTAACGTAAAGCTAATCTAGACTAAAAATAAAGAACAGACCAACCGGTCTTAACGTTTATGCCCGGCCTGTTTCAGCTTTACCTCAAAGCCGAGCCGA